TGCGTGCGAACTGGCCAAAAACATCGGTTTTTTGACACAATGTGAAAAATTCAGTAAGTGTTGTTTTCGGTGGCTGAAGTGCTCGTTGGAAAATATTTTCTTTAGTGAAATATACACGTTGTCCGTTTTCAAGATGTACAGCAAGATGCTGCACAGCTGGCTCTTTATCGTGTACAGGAAAACTAAATATGCGCCAGATAGCTTCATTACTACTGATATATCTACCCATTTGGTACTGTGTTATTTCATCATTTTTATTTACATTTTGAACTTCGAATACTGCCAAATCATTGCCTTTGTTAACGTATTTGCAAATGTATTTTATAGACTTCACAGAACTACAAAACTCAACATTTATATGAGCTTTGTATGTTTTTGAAAGTAGTGGTGAGTATGGTACCACCCATTGATTATCGATTTCAACTTCGATAGCATTTGACATTCGCATCGTGAATGTGTGGCCACCATTCTCAGCGTTTCTACGTCGATACAATGGATAACCGTCAATATCTGTAATAGTATCATTAATACATTGTTTTGGGAATTTTTTTTTACATTTTCCATCCTCCATGCATGGAGATATCATGTTGAAAACACCACAGGGTCCGTGAATCATGTGACTGGTAACAATATGAAATAATTCCTGATCGATTGATGGATCTGGAATTTCGGCAGAAATTATTTGATCAATTTCTTCTGGATGGATTTTATCTTCAAGCCAAATCAGGATATGTGCATGGGGCAAACCGCGCTTTTGCCATTCGACTGAATACATCCAGCAACGTACTTCACCAAAAACCGAATATTTCACAATGAAATTCATCAATGATTTTAATTTTTGTTTGAACACGCGCGCAGTAATATCATGACGATGTGTCGATTGTTGGCCTGGTAATAGCAGATTTTTTATTTCTTCCCATTTCGGATTACATGTAAATGTAATAAATAAATCTGGACGGCCGTAATGACGTACATAAGTCATTGCATCTTGTGTATATTCCTGCATGTGCCGTGGACTACCAATAAAACTCGAGGGTAAAATAAATGCATTACCTATATCGTTTATATTTATTTGTTCATCGACATGTCCATTAATAGCATCTCGTAAGTGGATGTATTCTTCTGATCTTAATTTAGCCTGATTGAATCGAATATATCGCAAACGTTCACTTTCAATCTTTGCGTACATATCGACAACATATTGGTGGAATAGCTGGCGATATCGAAGAATATAATTATCCTGATTACGTCTTATCATCAATCGATGGGCATAGTAGTTCATTGAACTAACTTTTTTGTTTGTTTCACGACCTAAAAATTCATAATAAATTAAGCATTAATAATTAAAAATTAAAAAAAAAGTGTGAACATTTTTAATTGATTTTAAGTAAATTTATATGGAATTAATTGAAAAAAAAAATTTAAAAATACAAAATTAATTTTTCTAATAAATATATTTTAGTGAAATTAATTTAATGAAAAATAAAAATGTGAAAAATTAGAAATGAATTTCAATTTTATATAAAAAAAATTAATATAATCAAAAATTGAAATATTAATACCATAAAATAAAAATAAAAAATAGGCAAAAAATATTTAATTTGATATTTTACCAGTAGTTGAATTACGCTGTTTAATATTAATGTGATATTCATCCTGTCCTGCCCAAAATATCAGCGGATATTGTAGTGCATCGTAGGAACGGTGAGTGTCTGAAATTATGCTTATGGTGTTGTCTCGACGTGTAATTTTGATGGCTCGGCTGTCAGCTGGATCACCGGCCATAATAACTGCTACTTCGTCTACGGTGGGCGCGTTGAACCTTCCAGCATGCTCTCCTGATGGTACTCTATCAGCCTTAATAACAATTTGATAGTTGTCGTTTAATAATTGTGGCGATACACGTTTGAACAACTGAATAAGTTGGTTTCGATTTTCTAAAAAAATTTCCAATGATTCCACAATTGCTCTCTCATCTGCTCGTTCAATAAAATTATGAACACAGCGGGTTGATACGCGTTCTTCACAATTTCCCATAAAATAGATTTGCAGAAACTTCGGTTCAGTATCAGGCATCGGCATCAATGACCCAATTTGATGATAAACCTGACCTTGTATCTTAAATGTAGATTCGAAGTAATTACCATCGGATGTGAGATCACAAATTTTTGTTGCCCTAAAAGACGTCATTTGGAAGCAAGAATTAAACTTACGAATCTTGCTCAAAAATAATTTTGAATCATCAGATTGGCCAGCAAGAAGTGATTGTAAAGGTTCCAGCGGAGATGGAAGCGGCTCCAGTACAACTTTTCCTGATGCGCAACACAGTCCAGGTGTTTCATTGGGGAATTTCAACGCCTGACAATATTGGCATACTTTGTTCATTTCACCGATGGAAATTAAAGAATGCGCAGAGTAATTAATATCCGGTGCATATTCAAAGGCAAGACGAACAAATGATCCAAGTTGTAATTCGCGACTGGTTCGCTGTCTTTCATGTTCTTCATGTTGCTGTGCTGACCGAAAACTTCTTTTTGCACGTTTGCGCCGTGCCTCTCTACTACTCGCGGAAAGGTTCGATTTTTTCGGTGGCATTTTACTACAAAAATATTAAATAAATAAATTTCGAACCGGTTACGATGAAAAAATAACATAAAATTATTATAATAATACTTATAATACTACTATTATAAGTATTATTTGAACTATGATAATTTTTTTTTAAAATAAATATAAATATGTTCAATTAATAATTAAATACATACAAAAGATAAAAAGAAATAAAGTCGAACTTACTTAATCAATATCCAAATCAATTTGCGCGATGTTATTCAGTAATATATACGCAAAATTTACAAAAAAATTAACGTGTCTTAGCAGAGATCACAAATTATTACAAACACAAAATATATATCGTTATAATTATGTTGCGCCGTTTTATAGTGTGTAGTGGGTCTAGAATATTCTTTTTATGGCCGATCGAGAATATTCGTGCATATATGTATTTTGGTTGCCTATCCGTCGCGAAGATTCTTGATCGTTCTATTGTCATTACAATTACAATTATTGAAAGAAAATACACGTGGACAGGCGCTATCTATTGGACACTTACATAACTTTAATACCGTTTCATAACGCCATCTATGAGAAAATAATTATTTATATTTATTTATTTTATATTATAAAAAATAAATAAGGCCATCAATCAAAATAAAAACTATCCTATGTTCTAAGTTAGACCTAATCGCACATTTATGCCAAATTTCATAAAATTCGGTTCAGTAGTTTCGGCGTCCATCGCGGACAAAAATCTGACATTAGATTTTATATATATAAGATTTATCAGAAAAACTCAATATTTTTTTGAATTTTTATCGTAATAGATAACTGAAATAGAGTAATCATTTCCTAGTAACTTTTGGTGTTTAAAAAGATTCTACAATTGAAATATCCAGAAGTTAATTAATTTTAATGATTTACTTTAACTAAAAGAATCAATCAAAACAAAGTTGTTAAAAAAATTTACTCAATTGAGATTATTATAAAATTTGATTTTAATTGTAAAAACCATTATTAATTCAGGGGAAACTAACAATCATTTATTTTTAGAAATGATTTATATAACAACATGTTAACAAAAAATTTGGAATATTATAATCTAATAGTAGCACACACAAATAAAGTAAAGTATTATGAAATTACAAAGTAAAATGAATTAATTTTGTAGTTGAAACCTATCATATCAAACTTGTTTCGTTAATTAATACTTTCAAATATTAGAAATGAATGCTTTTAATTGTGTGTATGGAGAACATAGGACAAGTAACTGTTTTATTGATAAATTAGAATTTTTTTTTAATTTTTGAGGGTAAATCTTCAACTAATTGTAATCATTTGACGCATCGTTGAAAAAAGTGGGTCAAGTTAGAGCAGAGAAAATAAATAATAGTCACAAAAAAATACCATCTCAGCTTTACATTGAAGCTAAAACATAAAATATAGTAAAATAATTTTAATATGAATAAGAAATTTCTTCTTAAAATTTGATAAAAATCAAATGAGTTGAAAATTTATTCAAACTTAAAAAGAATTAAGAAAAAAATGCAAAAAATTCCTTGTCATACATGGGGAGGAACCTTGTACCCCAAGCGCGTAAGACAAAAGTGTTTCTGACTGGGCAACTGTACGTCGCTTCCGTTGACTAAAAAAATGGCAATTTTAGCTATTTCAATTTTCAAAGTTATTTTTCTCGACTTAAAAAATAAAAAAAAAAATTAAATAAGTTTAACTTTCTATGCTATATCAATTTGATTTATATAATATTTATGAAAATCAGTCTACTCCCCTTGTCAGTTATTTTAAAATAAAATAAAATACAAAACCCAGAATTTCAACACAAAAATAGCATATTTTTAAATACGGTAGTTATTTTCACCATTAAGACAAATCCAGAGGTCCAGCGAGAGCTGAGATTGAGCGATCACAGATACAAAAATAAAACACATCATGGTAAAAGTAATTCCTTCTCAGCTTCGTATCGAAGCTAAAATAGTAACATCTTCACTTCACTCAACAATCAGTATTCAAAACATCAAATAAAGATGAGAAGAAAAGGTCAAGTTTAAGGTACACATTGCATAGAGATAATGCTCTTGATAAAAGAGAGTTACTTGGGTAATTTGTATTATATAAAACTGTGTAAAGGCGGATTCCAACGACTGGTGTACTTGCCAAGTACACCAATAATTATATACATCTCAAATCATCCAATTATTAACAAGTGAAGCGTTCCCATGACTGGTATACTTGACAAGTATACCATTACTTGTACACTTGTGCAAGTAATAAACAAAAGCCAAGTATACTATTCCTACGACTGGATCAAATGCCAAATAATTATATTGGGGGTGGGATCTGAAAAATATTAAGTCATGTATCATTTGCTTTTTTAGCGCTGCAGTGTTAGGACGTTTTAAGGAGTGATTTGAAATACACTTTTTAGTATTGCTAGTTTTGATACATTTTAATTTAATATTTTTTAGTTTAGATATTTCTTTAACTTTTACCTAAAATTTTTAGTTTTTATATATCTAATTAACCTTAAGTTAATTAAAATGGCTAGTGATAATGATAAAATGGCTATTTATGTTTCATACATAATTATATGTGGAGAGTACTAAAAGTACAAACAATTAATTGAAGAAAAAATGCAAAAAAAAAAAAGGTGGTGAATGACCACAGCAACCACTTAAAAATAGAGTTTTGATTGTGAAACGTATTCAATTTATAACATTAATTTGGTATTTCCAGTAAAGCCTTATTTATTTACTACCTATATTAATTTTTTGCTTGAATTCTTATTATGATTACTTAAAGGTGATACTTACTGATATAAACGTAAAGAGTTATCATTTTACTTAATTTTTTATGAGTCGGATTGCAAAACAAAAAATTGGCCGATTAATTCATTTTCATTTAATTATAGCCATCAAAGCTTGTAATAAAACTATTTTTACACTTATAGTTCTAATATAACTTTATAATATAGAAAATGCTATTACTATAAAATATTTTTCAGTACTAAACTGTATAAATTTTGTTTTTGGTACCTAACAACAAATAGCAATTAAAGCAAAGTTGAGGAAGCTAATTTCCCTAAAAATTAAAGAAAAAAAACACGACAGAGTAAAACTAATAGTGTTTCAGTTTTGCACCGTATTATAACACCGTATATAATTTTTAACTTGCAAAAAAGAAACAGAATTTTACAAATATAAACATTTTAGTAAAATATTAAATTATATTATAATTACACTATAAAATAGTTTTACCTATCTATTAAATTAAATTAACTAATTTAATATGAACAACCGCTATTTTGTACAAATATAGTTGGGTGGGAAGAAAAAATTATGTTACCGATAGCCACCCTAAAATCAAATATTGGCCAAATACTTACCAAGTATAAACAAGTGTTATTCGGATTTTTCCTATTTTTTTCAAAGTTTCCTAAATTATCTATTTAATAACTATTTTTAATTTTTTTTTTAAATAATTTATTGAGATTTGGAAAAATAGTTGGTTCTACTCATTTGCTTTAAATTTTAATTGTGTTTATTTTTCAGCTTTATTCTCAATAAAAGTAAAAAAATTTTCTTAGCTGTATCTTGTATTTAAAGAAGTACTAAGGTGATTTTTGGGTCATAGAAACAAGCTGTGTTTTTATCTATTTTTAGTTTATGTTAGTGATTATGACGATCCTTGATCAGTTAAACGACCTACAGATATCACTACCTATGTTTAAATAAATATATCATAAACCAGCTTATCATTATTTCATAATAATAAAACTTGACTCAGAAAGCTAAGCGAGTGACAAAAGATTTACTCTTCCGACAAGATGCATCAAATATCATTAATATAATTAAATATTTGATGTTATTTTTATTGCAAGGCCATTATGAATTCATTGCCATTAGAGGTAAACATGTAATTAATTAATTAATTAATAATAATTGAATTTTTTTAATTTGTAGATTATCACTGGTATATTAGAATATTTATCTCCAAGTTCTCGTAGACAAATGAGATTGATAAACAGGAAGTGGTATTTTGCATCATTACATCCATCATTAATAAAAAATGAACTTATAACATATCATGAACAGTTCTCAGACTGTCAAAAAATTAAAAATTCTGATATTGATGCCGTAGAAAATTTGAAAAATATTATTACTTTATCTGAAAGAAAATTATTCAACTTAAAACTTTGCAGTATAAATCCTTCAAATAATTTAACAAATTTTCAATTGTTGAAAAATAATCTAGTATCATTATATTTATGGGATATATATTGTCTAACAGATATATTTTTTGAAACTATCTTGGAATGTCACAATTTAGAAATTCTTGAGCTAAAGAAAATTGGTACAACGTCAATTAATGTAAAAACTCGTAAAAAATTATTAAAGTTGAAACGATTAGATTTTGACCAAATAAATTTAACAGATAGTGATTTTACTCAAATAATTTTGTGTACACCCAATATCATAGATATTGGTTTTAAAGATTGTCATATTTTAGAATGGCCGCAAGCAATAAAAAGATTTTATCCGAATTATTTTTCTTCGATTTTTAAATATTTCAATTCTAATGATATATTTACACCAAAAAATATTGTAAATAATTTAGTAACTATGAAAAATCTAAAAAACTTGAGGTTGAACCAATGTTGTTATATTTTTTTACAATTGTCACAGAAATTAACAATTGTATCTCTTATTTTAAATTTAGTTAGTAAACAGTCATACAATAAAATCTTACTTAAAGAAGTCCTAAGTACTCACATATCTCTTATAAATCTAGAAGTTTATTCTTTGCCTTATTCCTTGCTTTCAGCAGTATCTAAACTTCATAATCTTAAATCAATTAAAATTATATTATTGACAAATCCAAACGATTACACCTTGAACAGCCAAAAAGTTGTTCATCTTAATAATTTTTTTATCTCTTTATGTAATTTTCATCATCTTAAAGTATTTACCCTTATACCTTCAATTGATCACTCTTTGTTTCCTCAGGCAGTTATTCCAGACAAAATATTAATCAAATTAATATCTTTGGATTGTTTTATTGATGACTGTTTAAAATTAACACAACTTGGAAGTAATTTAACAAATTTAAGAATACGAAATGGTGATATTTTAACTGTAGGACATTTACAACTTATTTTTACACATTTAACCAAGTTGAGATTTTTGTGGATTGATAAATGTCATACTTTGAACGATAGTGTTATTATAAAATCATCATCAACATTAGGAGAAAAAACCTGTATAATTTCTAATCTTAAGGGTAAATCAAAATACAAGGCTTATTTTCCTATTAATGTTGTTTTAAAAAATCAAATTGAATATTTGTTCTAGGTTTGATTTCTTTAACAATTTTAGGTGCTGAGTTGACTCTTGAAGTATTACGTACAGTTAAACTATTAGATTTAAGAGAGTTATGTATAAGCAATATTACCATACTTGAGTGTATAAAATTGGTAACTAAACTGTTCTATTAACTATAACTATCTATTTACTATGAAATATTGTTTTATGCTGATAAATTTTAAAACACTTATAATCTATTCTAAATTTAATATGCCCAGCTTGACTTATGGATAACTTATTTATAATAGTTATCTCTTTTATATAAAAGTATTTAATACATTAAATAAAAATCATTAATAGTATTATTAATCACTATAAACGGTTAAATATATAATATTAATTAATAAAAAATATGTATATTTTTAAGTATTAATTTAATAATGAAATTCTATGAAAATAACTCCTAAATCAAAGAAAGTTTTTGTCTTGCTGAACCCTACTGTTTTTATTAAAATATATTTTATAATAACCTCATGAAATAACCAAATTAATAGCTTTTTTATGAAATGCAACTAACAGTTGAATAATTACTTAAGTCTTTTTTATGGAAAATTCAGTTCAATGAATTTAAATAAATTTCATATATCAACTTATCAATTAAATAAAAAACTTATGTTATTACTTATAATGTTTCTAGAAAATATCTCATATAAATGTGTTCAGTAAAATGGTAAAATTCAGTAAAAATTCAGTTAAATGGTCAGTATGTGTTTAGCGTTGATAATGGTAACATTGATTCCGAAATACGTATCCGCGACTTTTCATTAATTTTTTTGTGGCTTTTGAGTTTAATATTTTTAATATTTTTTAGTTTTTTTAAATTAATAATATTTTTAATATAGTTTTAATTTTACTTAATTAACTAGCCACAAGTGATCAATTTTTATTATATATCTCATATAAATTTGAATTATTAATAACTAATAACTGCAATCAAACCATACTCTTATTGAATGTTTTTTTTTTTTTTTTAGAAAAAATTTGATGAATTTGATAAAAGTTGTAAATTACTTGGTCAAAATGTTCCTGATTTAGTACAACTATCATTAGAAATCTTACAAGACGAAGCTAGAACAATCAGACATTCAAATTATGAATATTTTAACCCTCTCTTGAAAAATGAATTAATAAAATCTTATTTTAAAACATTAAAAAATGTTAATATTTTATGTTGATTTATTTGAAGATTAATTTTGCATAAGTCAATAATTGTAATATAATAAGGCTTTCATAACTCAGACATAATTATGTTTTACCTTGTAAAAAATATTATTTTTTTAACATGAATTAGGTTGAATATTTAATTAAAGATAATAAATGTTCAACGACAAAATAGAATTAAATTTAAAGTTTGGTTCATGTAGTGTTGATATCTGTAATTAATGTTAGTATATAATAGAGTAATGTAATTTTTAATAAGTTGAAAATTTTGTTATATTTCAGATTATTAAGTTTTAAATTTAATAAAAACAATTTAAGACCTAACATAAAAACAAAAAAATCTTTTATATAATATAACCTACTGAGAATGCTGTCTTCTAAGTTTAAGTACTTCTTCATTTACCTCACCTTTATCCTAACTACTTGGGATCAATAACCCTTATCCTAAACTTCCACTATTTCTTACATCAGCCGTTCTCATATTACATTCAAAAACATCCCTCAATCTCTTTTTTGGTCTTCCACCACTATTTTTTTAAAAATAGAAAAAACTATTTTTTTCTACAACATTTATTTATTGCAGGTTCAAATGATTTACTCTATTGTCAATAAGACATACTTTACAGGTTTTTACATGTGTACTTATATTTATTTTTTTTACTGATTAGTCTCCAATAATTAATTTTATTTACCTCCAACAAAAAATATCGAAAATAATAAATGAGTTCTCTTAATTTAAGAGTACTCAATATTTGACTCAAATTACCCTCTTGGTAATTATTTAGGTGGAACCTTTTGCTCTTAGTTAAAATAAAAACATTATTATTATTTTTTAATTCTATTCTTAGTATTTGAAATACTTTTGTAATGTAATTGAGTATTACTCAAATACTTTTGTATGTAAAGTAGTCAAATAGTATTTTAAATACATTTTTTTTTAAATATTTGAGTATTATTTAAAATACTTTTTAAAAGTATTTTTTACAACTATGACTATACCTATACTTCCTCTTAAATGTTTATTCCGTATTCTATTTTCTCTAGTCTTTCCACTCATTCATCTAATCATTCTTATATCTACTACACTCATTCTCTTGTCAACCACCCAACACTCTGAACCATATATCATAGCTGGTCTCATTACAGTTTTATATAACTTACCTTTCAGCCTTTTTTAAATTCCCTTAGCACATAATACATTAGACACTTCTTCCGTATATACTTAATCCTTTATCTTACATCTTTGTCAATACCACCGTACCTTTGTACAACTGATAGTAAGTATTTAAAAGTTTGAGTACTGTTATTATTATTATTTTACATAATATACTTAATTTCATAATAACCATGTTCAATATGTAAAAAATGTTTGTTCTGACACAGAATAGATTAAAAATATTTCATTAGAGCCATCAAAAATTTTATTTTATTTCTACTATGCATTTGGAAGAACAGAACACTTTAAATATATATGTAGACTAATAGATATTTTTCAAAAACGTTTATAGTTCAAAAAAATATAAATTAGTAATAGTATCAAATATAGAATTATAGTTATGAAGAGCTACTTCAAATATAATTTTTTTTTGAGTTCTATAGTATTTGTTTTTTTAATCACACCAAAAATTTTGATGTGCAAAATTTTTTTAAATATTTACTACACATGTAGTTTAATCACAGTAATTATACAAATTTTTACCACTATTCACTGCTCTGTTTCATACATACATCAAGTTAAACAATGTTTTGCTAATAAATAAAACTTGTATAACATTTTTATCAGTAATAATTAATTAACATTACTTATAGCTTAAAATAATGAAACATTATGTGTATCTATTTTTATTTTTAAAAAGCATATGAATTAATAAACATAAAAACCAAGGAAAATAATTCAGAAAAAAATTTTTAATTAATATAACATTAATTATCCTTAGTTCATTTAAGGTGGTTAAATGATAACTACAAATATTTGATGTTCATTTTTTCAGAATAAGATACTTAAAAAAAAAACTCTGTTTACTGGAATAATTATAACCAGCATAATAACATATTAATTAATAAATGTGGTCAACATCTTCTAACGCTAATTCTGGCTTGTCATATCCTAAAGCTTCAGGTGTTTCAATGCCCAATTCTTCAAGAGTTGGAGAAATTTCTTGTAAAATGTATGGATAAATTTTACTATCAATTTGACTTTTAATCCTTATACTTTCTAAAAATCTTATTGCCATTGCATAATCATTTAAACGGCGACATGCTTTTAATGCAGCAATAATAACCTAATAAAATTAATATACTATTATTATTACTGATATTATTATCAATTTACATCAACATTATTTACCTTAGGATCAGCAACAGCATCTTGCCCGGCAAGATCATTCATTGCTTTCCTAGCTTCCCAACCATCAATATCATTACGGTTGAAATAAGCTTCATACCTTGAGTAAAATTCTTCATCACTTTCCTCTTTGTGTTCTGACATGTTTCTAAAATAGACGACAAAGCGTTTAACAAATGTACAGAATATGTTTTATTATATAACTTAATAAATATTTACCTGACAGAAATAGCCATGACTGGTTTTATTCCAGAATGTCTCATAGCGATTGCACCCCGGGATACTTGAGTACAAGCCCTTATTACAGATATAAACATTTTAAAAGATTAGATAATTTTTTAAATTTTTAGTAAAAGAACACTTAGGTTGCACTACGAAACTAATTAAAGTTCAGCGTGTATTCACCCTTGATGCTCAAGATAGTATATTTCTAATTAATATCAATTTAGTTGAACGAAAAAATTAAACATATGGTATAAGTGAAGTTATAAATATAGATGTTGATAACGTAATGTCAAAGACATTGTAATCTCGGCCGTACACAAAAAAGCGCCCATTATAAATGTTTATACTCTGAGAAAGAGCTTATCTATTAATGAAACAAATGTTAAGTAAAACATTATTTTCCATTTAAAAATCATGTATAAATGCTACCTCTAAACAATTTTACATATGGCGATGAGAATTTCATACATTAGTTACATACATTTTATTTTTTTACGGGTCGAATTTAAAATTTAATAGACTTTCAAGTCTTCAAATGATGATTATAACGAAAACATTATAATAAATTATTTTATACAGAAAGAAAGATTTATAAATTTAAACTTTTACATAATTTTCAATATTGAGACTGTCTATTTAGAATATTATTTATGTTATTAAAATAAAATAAAAATATTAATTTAATTTATTAACGTTTTAATAAATGTGTATTAGTGAGGATTTTTTATTATTATTTATTTATTATACTATTTAATTGAAAATAAAAATTAAAAATATTAATTCTTTTAAACATGTAATATTACGTTATTTTTTAATTTAATCAATTGGATTTATCTTTCAATAATTAAAAATATCTAATTTTTTTATATTTTTTATTACATTTGTATTATAATAATGCAAATTGTTAAAGAATTGAGAACTATAATAAATAGATTATGAAGTTTTTATTATTAAAAATAACTTAAAATTATCAAAAAATCATGTATAGTTCATTATTGGTATCCTATATTTACGCTCTCATAGGTATTCTATAGCTGTTGACTAGTAAACATAAAATAAGTATTCATTTACCAATATTATCTTAAAAATAAATCACACAACACTGAATCGTTGACATAAGAGTCACTGACATTATTGTTAGACCGTAAATTCCACTTCCATCAAATACCATCATTACAACTCAGCAGGTAAACTTTAGTTAATTATACTTTTGATTATTCGCTTTAATGAAATTATAATAATTTTTTATTTTTAAAAATAGTTATATGATTATAATAGATTGTATAAAACTTTCATGATTCTATAACTAAAGCGAATTATTTTTTTCAACATATATTTACAATAAATTATTACGTCAAAGAAAATGAAAACAAGTGTAAACTTACGATTTTGATAATACTTTATTTTTAGATTAAAAAAGGAAAAAAAATTATCCAAATTATATCCATGAAAAATAAACAAAATACTTAATAAAAAATATTTATATATTTTTATTGTTTTCTTATGTTAAAAATAAGATTATAATATGTTCAACTTTCTTTGAGGCCAATTAATCACGGGAACTATTATTATACCTCCTACATTTTATTATTTTAAAGGATAATTGATTGATTTAAGAACAATACAAATTATTTTAAAGATGTCAATTACATAATATAATGTTGATAGTACACTACTAATCATTAAAGTAGTAATTACAATTATAAGTATTTGTACTACTAGAGATACAATTTTTGATAAAGATAAATTACTTTTTTTAGCTCTATTGATCTATCTATAATTTTATATCGGTTAATAGTATTATAATATTCGTTATCGATTATCTTTAGTATATATAAAAATACAAGTGTTATATTGAAATGATGATACGTAATTGATTGTAGATATATTAATGTTCGAATTATTGAAAATTATACAATCGACTTTTTGTTAACAATTATTATTTTAAGTATTAAACTCAATACTCTCAATTCTTAAAATAATTTACTCTAATTTGTAATAATAAAATAATTTTAAATAATTAAAAAAATTAATCAATTTACTTTTATTTTTAACTTTTGTCATGAATTATTTATTATTAAAGATATAATGACATAGCGTTCTAATTTTTGAATCAACATAGCTAGTAGTTGGATTATCTTAGCAGTAAGTTTATTTATTAAAATTTATTGAGTTAAATGAATTAGTAGAATGATTTTATTACGGATGAGAGGTGTTTAGAAGGTTATTATTATTATTATTTTAACATATTGAATCATATCCTTATATAAAGCTTGACGCTTTTACATATTGAAATTGTCAAGTTTACTATGTTCTTTTTTACTAATCATTCCAAGTTACGATTAAAAAAAATAACTATAGTTAAAATCTTATATGCAGACCTGTGAGTGAGATGCATAGTTACATAATACTGTTATATTCAGGAGTGCCGAACACATACTTATTAATAATGTGTGGAGATGAAAGTTTATATTTGGATTAAGGGAAAATGAACTAAAGTCAATTTTCTTTTCTTTTTTAAGTAATTGTTAGTTTCTTATAAATGCATATTTTACTAATAATATTCAAGTAATTAATGAAATTAATAAGAATCATTAGGTTCTTTCAAAAGGAACTACAATGAGTCTGAAAGGTAAGTTCTATAAGACTGTAGCGAAAACAGCTATGATGTATGGTTCAGAGTATTGGGTGGTTGACAAAAGAATAGAGTAAAGAATGAGTGTAATAGAGATGAGAATGATTAGATGGATGAGTGAAGTGACTAGATAAGATAGGACAAGGAACAAACATATAAGAGGAAGTATAAGTATAGTGCCAATCGTGCATAAGATGAAAGAAAATAGACATAGTTGATGTGACCATGTTATGAGGAGAGAGGAATCAGAAGCTGTAAAAATAGTTATGAAAATTAATGTTGTAGGAAGAAGTGATAGTGGAAGACCAAAAAAGAGATGGAGGAATGTTTTTGAATATAATATGAGAACGGCTGATGTGGGAGATCGTGATAGTTTAGGATAAGGGTTATAAAGGTGAGGAAAATAAATAAAGATATATTAGATTCTAAGGAGATGTAGGTAACCTAAATCAATTTAATACTATTATATATTAGCAATTAAACTAATTTTAAATTAATGATGATAATTCAATATTTCATTTTAATACAATCTGATATTATTAAAATAAATTTGAATACCCAAGTAATAAATTATAATAGGAAAAAAGGTGTAAAAAGGATATTATTATATTGCACTGCTCTGTATGATTATTCACATGTGAATAATGTGTCTGTTAAATAATATTCTTCGATTTTTTTTATTTAATCAAATTACAATGTTATTTACTATAATGAATGGTTTACCTTCATTTCAGCTACATACTTAATGAAATCGATTTAATTTTAGCTTCGATGCGAGGCTAGAAGGTATTGGTTTTACTACAATGTGCTTTTTTTTTTATTCTATTTTTTTTTCTGTCTGTTACCACTTTTTCTCAGCTCTCGTCGAACCGATTTCTTTCAACTATACGTCAAAAGATCACAAATCATATCTAGTCGAAGACATTACCCTCAAAAATTGAAAAAATTTCCCTTGTTCCACGTAAATGGGGGAAACCTCCAAAAAAATTACAAATTTAAAATCGCTAGTTTTCGAAATTTTTTACTTAAAACTACCATAACTTTTTTAAAAATGACCAAATCAATATAATTTTTTTTTATATAAATGCATGATGTCTGTATCTTTTATTTTGTATATTTTTTTTATAAATCTGACCCTTTACTTGCCCACAAGGGGGATTTAAAATGACAACTTTTTCAACTTACTATTTTTACTATTTTAATGTAATGTACTTTATCATGGAAAATTTCGGACTTTATTTATTTTGTCTTCACAGTGAAAATGGCTACCGGAATGCTATTATTTTTATGAGAAAATTCTCGATTTTATTTTTTACATTTTTAACTTTATAATGCTATAACTTATTGAAAATTGTATGGATCAACACAATTTTTTTTATGAGAAATAATATTTATATCCCTTTTTCATTCGACATACTTTATCTTAATCAGGATATAAATAAGGAAATAGCAGATTATGTAGTTTTTGTAATAATCCATTAACTTCTTAAAATTAAGCACTATCTAAAGAGTTGCATCGAAGCGTTTTTTATGATAGTGATTTTAATCACTGTCAGATACCATTATAATTGATCCAACTATGCCACGTCATCATTGTGCTGGGTTTTTATTCACAGAATGGTTGTGTTCATTTTCGATGATAGGATCGATTTTTTTTTAAGTTATCTTTACAACACCTCCATAATCAGAACTATATTTTGTACAATGCCACCTAATTTTTATTTAATTCGTGATGTACAATATACATAATGTAGTAATACAAAAATAAGCAAAAATGTTGTTTGGGTAGTATTTATTGACCAATGTTGGATATTTGGGGATTTGGTCAATTCAGGAGCAGGTTCTATCGGGGTTATAGAGTCCGAGGGTTTAGAACAGTAAAGACAAGTAGATATAAAAAGATATGTATTAAGTTCCTCTCATAGAGGTATTAAACGCTGAGGTATTCTTGTAGTGGCCGGGGTCTTGGCCTCCTATCTGACACCCAGTCGAAGCGTGATGTTAACTGGTATGTGCTTTAGTTGAAATACTGAGGCGTTCATGGAGTGACGGAGGCCTCCTCTCAGACACCCAGTCGAAGTATATGACCAAGCACTAACTAGTTATTAATAATTAAATTAAATGATGTTTAAAAAATCTATTGCTTTACCATTCTTTACTCAGGTTATTAATTCTAAATAATTGAGTTCATATAAATTTACTTACTTCTTTTGTATATATTACGTTCAGATTTATACTATTCCTTTTTTAATAAATAAATAAAGTATCGACGTAAAAATAATTGTACTTGATATCGCTTTAAAATGTACCGGCGACAACACGGGGTCGCGGCTAGTTTGCTCAAAATAATTCAGTTAGAAGAATTCTGAATTTCTTATTGAATTCAGATCTTCAATAAGAAGAGAGAATGAGCCGCTCGCTGACACGCTCGCTCACTGATGTGCAAGCAGAACTAAGCCTTTTTATATTATTTTTAATTACCCCTTCATGAGTTGTTGTCGTCAGCGCATTTAGTGATTCTCAATTTATTGTATTAAATTGAACATAACATGATAGTTAATTTTAAGATAAGATGTATAGTATACATCTTAACATGTATATACGTATATAATAGCTAGTGTACAACAGTGTATATGTTATAACAGATAAACTAATTATTTGTTTGTATACTAGTAATATAAAATACAGAGTATACATTTTTCATTGATAAATGTAAAATGCGCAATGCAAAGCATTAGACATATTACGACAATATAGTGTTCAGTTAGTAAGGAAACGAATTTAATATTGTTCTCATTGTTTATAACAATTGATATGTTTCCTTACTTACTGAACACTCAGTATAGCCATTGTACAAACATTTTTCTTTCCCTTTATTAGATGAAATAAATTATTATTAAAAAACTATAAAGAATAAATCGACGCTCCATCTCAAAATTTATATTTTGATTTTTATCTCCAAGTTGTAGTATATTATTTAACATTTAAAGTTTATAAGTCCAATTCAATATAGCTGAATTGTTTTCCAAAAGTGAATGTCTTTAAAATTGAAATTTACATTGGAGATAATGTAAAAATTTATTTTTAAATCATTATACTGGAAAATTATAGATTTTAAGTTATTGTTGTTTTGAACTAGGGCGTCGAAATATACACAATACTTTAAGTTGATATTTTTCGTAATAAAATATTGTAACAGTTGTTTTTTTTTCCGGTTATTTTTACCTTTTAGAAATTTTTTTCTAGAGTATTTTAATACTCAGGTATTTTTTTCCGGATACCATTTTGCATACACCCTGAGGTTGTAATTTAAAAAATTAACGAGGTCTACGAATTAAAAAAAGAATTGCTTTTCTCATGATAATCTCAGAATTACTTAACTTTTTATAAATTTATATTTTAGTTTGTTGGAATTACCTTTTTAGATAAACTCTCCTTTAAAAAAATTACATTTACATTTGAATATCAAAAAAAAGTTTTTTTTTTGTTAGCCTATCAAAAAATTGCATCAACAATATTTTGGTAGTTTTGATATCCAATTCAAATAAAAATCTAGAGGGCAAAAATGAAAATGCAAAGTGTTTTTTATAAATTGTATATATACAATTTTAATATTGTATACATTGCAACATATTGCAATGTTGGCAATAACACTCAAAACTTTACGTCGCTGTTAGTGTAGATTATACAATTCAAATTTTAAAATTTTATAGCAAAATTTCAATCTTAAAATAAAGAAAAATAATAGTTTAGGTTCAGTAAACATAAGTTTAGTCATTAACTGTAAAAAAAAATTATATAGTAAATTTTTTACGAAAAACAAAAACTATAAAAAAGAGCAAAATTCGATCACTTTAAATAAATTGATTAATTAATTTATGTTGCATTACTTAATCTCTATAAGTGATTGCGTGTTAATTCCACTAGGTCATTATTTATATGAATAGATAATATTATTTAAGAAAACTGAACAGTTATAAAATGATTGCATAGTGTTAGTGCATCTATTATAATTCCGTGTTGATTAAGTTTTTTTAATCCTTGATTTTCATTTCTTGATCAAGTATTTTAAGGGAAAAAAATTTAATTTATAACAGACAATATAAATGAAATGTTAAATTTTTACAATGGCTATTTACAAAATTTATTTTGGTTATAAGAAAAATTATTATAATATACAGTAACTTCACTAACTACACTAACTTCAAAAAAAAACGTTTAGAACATTTAAGACATAATGTTTGAAAGGTCAGTATGATAAATTATTTTAAATCAGATAATCTTTTTACACGAATACAGCTTCAATTATATTTACTCGTAGCTCTAACTTAAACAAGAATAAATTTAATATTTGTGTATTAAAATAAATCTATATACTAGAAGTAAATTATCTCAAATCACATATTTTTCGATATGAGTCAAGACTACTTTTAGAAACATAGCCTTATTCAGAAAATTATTTTAAAGGCGGTCCAAAGTATGTTGGTTTGGGTTGGGTAGGGATTATATATATTTTAAATAATTTTTGGAGAGGTTACATACCTCTAGAGATAGTCTTTTTTTTTTAATGAGAATTTCAAAAAAACTATCACTTCTTGTTCAAAATAATGTGTATGTTTACCTCTAGTGTACAGAAATTTAAATATTATAAAATTTTAACACAACTTAAGATGAACACAATTACACGAACAAAAAAAATTAAAAATTAAATTTGTAAACTTAATAGCATAGTGTAACGTAAAAGGTCTACTCATTGGTAATGATGGATAAAAAAAGTAAATCTTCAATTTATACTTCAAAAAAATTAATTAACTTTTTTCAAACCATAGATTTTTATTATAAGGTTTGGATTGTTTAATATTATTACTAACATCCTATACATTATCATATTCAACTACATTTCTGAATACGTCCTTGGTTTTATACTACTTGTAACAAACTAGTTTTATACCTGACCATCGTATTTATATAAAAATATTGTGGTTCTTTAGAACAACATGGTTAATATTGTAGTGTCTGGCCAGTATAGAAGTCTTTATACTGTTGATCCAAAATTATGGCTCAAAAATTATCATTTCAACTTTATAAAACTATGACAGGTTAAATTCAATAGAAATTAGTAGTAAAATTTGCGCAGGTAAATGCATACAAATATTACATACAAACACTTCACTTGGGATAGCTGATTCAAGACGCTCCCGAGACTTTTGGAGGTGTCAAAGCTTATGTACCCGATAAAAATGTTTGTAATGTTATTTATGATTTATACTATTTTGTTTATGCATATTCTAAGATATTTAAGCCAGAATTTTTTTTTCAATATAAACTGAACATTTTTTTGTTTTTGCTCAATAAAAATTTCAGGGGGGATTCAAATACAGACTGCTTTAAACCGCAGTATTACCTCATTTCGCCTAACAAACAAATTATGTTTTTCGTGCTCTTCTCATGAGTCCTCATATGGTCAGCGCTTGTACTTGTACTTCAACTTGCAGACAATTTAACAAGCCTCATCATACAGTATAACACATTTGATAGATATAACACAATTGATTTCAAATCAAATATTTCATCGACTAATACTACATCAGACTCTGAACAATCTCCATCTAAAAAAACAAACGTCCAGTATGCCGTAGGGCTGTTACATTTTAAACATCAAAAATAAAAAATTTACATTGGTCTTATGGGACGTTTTAAATTGTTTATTTATGTTTTAAACAGATTTTTTTTAACAACCCTGGTTTGACGGTGCCGCACGTACAAAATGCACCGTAGTGTTCGTTATAACAACGACCGTTACGTAATAATTATCATTCGGTCCGCGTATTATTAGCAGCGGTTCTCAATTTTAGGCAATTACCAGCGAGTGCGTAATGGACTCGCCCGTCGTCCGTGTCACACAGAATTATTAGACGACCCGCAATTCGATCAGCCGGCATGTATTGACATGCTCACCGGTAGCGACGTGTTTCTTATTTGAATCGACTTAACATAAAGGCCATTCATTCTGAAGGACTGCCATCAGCAATTAATACCTATCTCAACTAGGCAACAGTTCGGTTATAGTGCGCTAAATTTGTATTGTTTTTTGCACATCTTGTTGTGCCCTGGCACCCTCGAGCTTTCGTATCTGTGCACACCTTTAGTGGTCGGCCCTGCCCGTCAGTGAAGTATTTACTTCCTAAGCGACTACACTTGTAGCATTAATCCGTTTACGTCTTAGCCCTTTTTAACGCTAAGCATACATACAGTTAACTTATCATTGTCATAATTCACCATTCATCTATTCTACGTTATACGTCGAAGCTTTAATTGTTTTATTTATTTTATACCTTTTCTATTTTGTCCATAGCCGCTTATAGGCCATTTTAGTAAAAAATAACATCCTTTATTTTAAGATTAATCACTGAAGAACTTTAAATATAATAGTTTAATTATTGTTATGTAATCATTGTCGACGCGTCATTTATTGGATGTACGGTTAGCCGGCAACCACCCAAGTGACCCCACTTACCAGCTCCTTTAGCGATCGAAAACAGGCTTAAGACGACAATCTAGTGCGGTGCACAACTAGATTTCCTACGGTCTAGCTGCCTTGTATGAAACAGTGTCGTATACATTTTGTCAAAGGTAATATTACAAGAAAAAAATTTCATTACATTTCAAATTAAAAATAGTCATCTTCTAATAATTTGTCTCGTCATGATACCATAACCCTTTTTCTTTTGTAATCTCGATAAAACTTATTACATTATATATTTTATTTGTATTATTGTACACGCCTTTTTAATTTGCAGCGTAGACGAAAAAACACATCTAATGACCAGGCAAATGAAACTATACAGCTTAGAAAGAAGTATGGTAGTGGAAAGAAAATGGTAGGTATATTAAATAAGAATTATTCACCCGAATATACTATTCGAAAGAGGCTATATACCATTAAATTGATATAAAAATGTAATGATATAATGATTCAATAGAATATCTAAATTTAATAATTAATTTCCCAATAAAATCCAAATACATATATAAGTGGCAGACAAATAAAGTTTAATCTAAGGATTTTTTTAAGTACATGCAATACATTTTTATTTAAAAAACTTTCATACAAATTTTTTGATTTCAACCTCATTCATCTAATAAATATGACTTTTATTTACAGGTTTTTAGATCTATTTACACTACTATTCGGAATTGGTGCTTGGATATTAGTCAATAGTTTATATACGCAATTGCCATTATTAATTCAAACAACCCCTGAAGGATGGACATTGCCTTCATACATATCAATCTTAGTACAAATTGGTAATTTGGGACCCCTAACATATAGTATTTGGCGCACATATTTTGGAAATAAATATGACAGATCACTAACGGTATTTATTCTTATTGTGGGCTCAGTATCAATGTTTCTAATGGCTGGTTTTTATAAAACTACGCTAACTATTTTTGGTGAACCACATAGTGTTTTACTGTTTTTACTTACATTTGGAATCGCTATTGTCGGTTGCACTAGTTCAGTTTTATTTATTCCCTCATTAAGCCGATTTCCGGGTATATACTTAATTACTTACATGATTGGAGAAGGTTTAAGTGGTTTATTACCTAGTTTTATTGCGATTGTTCAAGGAATTAGTTTAACATCATGTACTACAATTGTTGAAAACGGACATAATGTAACAACGCGCAGTACAACAAATGCTAATTTTTCTAGCAAATTATTTTTCGTGATGATAGGGTTTATTATGTGTGCAAGTATGGTGTCATATATATGTCTCGAATATTTGCCAATTTGTAAAAAGGAAAAATTAAAAACAATAACAGAAGCTGTTGAAATTAATGAACCAATCGAAGATAAAAAAAAATCAAGAATATTTTTATTATTTTTACAAGGAACAACAGCTTTTTTTTCTAATGGATTATTAATAAGTTTTCAATCATTCTCATGCTTACCATATGGAATCTTTGCATATCATTTAGCAACCAATTTTTCAAATATAATAAATCCAGTTGCTTGTTTTATATCACTGTACACTAATCGAACTTCCAAAAATGTGTTAAATATATTATACATTATTTGCAAAATTTCAACAATATGTTTGTTGATAACTGCATTTGCAAATCCTACTCCACCTTTATATAATACAACTACAGGAATAGTTATAATTGTAAGTTTATATTAATAAAATTTGTATAAAAAGTTGCATGTGAAAATGTAAAAATAAATGAAGAGAGTAATTATAGATACATTTTTTTAACTTAATTTGATTTATGGGATCTTTAATATTAGAAAACTATAATTTATAAAATATTCTCTATAATATATTCATACTACCAAATATAATAGCATTTTTACATAGCTTCTTTTTCCATTATTTTATTAAATTTTTTTCTTTAAAAAATATATATTTAACATGTTTTTATATGAAATACTTCAGGTTTTCATTTGGGTATTATACTTTGGATGTGCCTCTTATGTGAAATTATCCATAGCAGCAATATTACGTAATCAAGGCAATAAAGGATTATTCTACTATGGTTGCATCACTCAGATTGGATCAGCTTCTGGAGCTTTAATAGCATTTTACATTATTAATATTGCTAAAATGCTAAATACATTTGATCCATGTTTAAATGTGTCAGAAGTAAAAGACATATAGCATAGATTAAACTTTAATTTTTTTAAAGACTGTATAGTAAATAAATTTTTGTAAAAATCTTTATATAAATTATAATAATTAGATAATAATATACATACAATTAATACTAATCTAAAGAAGCAGCAGCTCTTTCAAATAAATTATTTGATATTCTAGACATAGATAGCAAAATTTGTGGTATATTTAAATCAAATTCACGATTTTCAATTGAATGGTTAGCATTATTAGATTCTGTAACATTCTAAAATAAAAAAAATTTACATGAAATTAACATCATGTAAATAAATCAAAATGGTGTTTTTATTAACTTTTTTATGAAGTTATCAATCTAAGGGGTCGGCCTGGCCAAGTGGATAGAAACTTATATTTCGGCGCACACAGTCCCAGGTTTGATTACCAGGGTGCAAACAAGATTTTTTTGTGATTTTCTCATTGGTAGTGTTTAGTGCAAGCCGGTCATTATACCCATCCTGTCCATCATTGGACTTAGCCAGGAACCATCTTTGACTCCCTAACGTGTGAAAGAGGGCCACCACCCTTTGTAGCATGTTAAGTTCAAGAAATAAAAGGATATAAAACTGATACTTTTTTATTTGAAGTTAACAATTTGAAATTTATTTACGTTAATTTAAAATCTACAAAATTTTCTATTTAGATTTTCAATAATAGTTAATATATTAGTTATATTTAATAATATAATTAGTAATAAATATATTTATTAATCAACTACTAAAAGCATATTATACTAAGTAGTTAAAAATTGAAATGAAAGTATAACCACGACATTTAAAAGAGGAATAAGTTGATTCAATTTTTTATTTCTTAACAATAATAGAATACTTGGAATAAAATTACTTACAACATTAAAACTAACAGACATATCAGGTGATTGGTTTGCATTTTGAGTCAATTCTTCATGTGTATTAACATTTTGTCCATCATAGGTAATATTATCATTTTCACCTACTAAAACGAAACCACTTGCCTAAAATGGCAAATATTTTAAAAATTAGTTTAACAGTAAGTGAAATTAATAAAATATTTTATTTCAATATCTATACACTTAAAAAATAAATGAATGTAACAGAAAAGGCTAAGAAATTTGTTTATACAAGAAAACTTGCATCCCTCCATAAAAAACAAGATTTTTTCTTGAGAACCGTATTTTAAGAATAGACCAAAAATATTAATAAAGAAATATTAATTATAAAAGTATATCAATTAAAATAATTTAAAAATTACCGTTTCATCATCATCGCTAGATGGTAGTAGATTATAAGGGTAGTTCCATTGGTCGTTTGTTGGCATCATTTCAATTATATCATCAGCTTCTCTAATCTCTTCCATAGTCAAATCTATTATATCAAATAGTGGAAAAGGAAATCCTGATTTATCATAGTCTTCATGTTCTCGTTTCATACACATTTTTTAAGAAAAGCTTAAATGAATGATCTAAAATAAAGAAAATTGTATAACAATAACTGCATTCTCATTTTTTTTTAAATTATAATAAAACAGAAAATATAAAGCTTATCAATTACAATTAAAAGAACGTCATGTATTTCATTTAAGTAATGTGCTCATTATTCCTAATAAAAATAAATAAATAAATGAACATATAAGTCACCAAATATTAACAGACAATCATAATACTTAATAATAAACACTTATTTATAGATAACAAAATTTTATTTAAGTATGTACTCCTTGAAAAAATAACTAATTTAAAATTTAGTGAAATTCTTTTTATGTAATATTTACGCAGTGAAAAAGTTTCAAAACATGTTCAGGGTTACCAATCTTTAAAAGTAATAAAATTACTTATTGAAGATAATCGATTTTATAATAAACTACAGAACAGATAAAATGTTATCTTAGTTCGTGTATTGAACCCAATTGTAAATGATAATTAAAAGTAGTGATCGAATGATTTCGTTAATCGAATTATTAGTATATTATGACATTTTCATAAGAGGGAATCTCTCGAAATTAAAATCGTTTATCGTATGATAAAAACAATCGCTTAATTTTACTGATTTTCAGTATATTTCGATAATTAATTTTTTGTCTTCAATTTTAATTAGGTACTTAATCTACTCGTTTGAAATACACCTATTATGAATGAAATATATCTATTTATGTATTTACAATAAAATATTAATATTTTATAAATTTATATACAATATAGCATCAAACCCAACTTAAAAGTTGACACTCATTTTAAAATTTAAAAACAATTTATTAAATTATGAAATATTCTCCGGATTAAATAAAAATAATTAAAATAGATTAAAAAAGATAAAAATAGAAAAATTCCATATATCCATGTACCTAATTTGAAGTTTCTGAAAACCCTTATTGAAAGCTTATAAGTAATATAATTTTTAAGTACTTATCTTTTAAGTTAGTTTTCGTAATATTTAAAATCCTTTTTACATACTTGACACATAACAGTTTTATTAATAGTATTTTTTTTTAGTATTCCCAGATAACAGAACGTTATTTACAGTCCGATCTCATATTTAAATAATGAAAGTTAATAAGTAAAGTACTTTAGAATTATTAAAATATAAACAAGTATCCAGAGACGTATTTAGAGAGAGAGGCAAGTGGGCACCATCGTCCTAGTTGGCAAATTTATTTTGAAATTGAGGGGCAGCATCATTTTTTTGTAACCATAATATATGTAATAGAGGGATATGTAGGAGAGTGAATAAAACTTTACCCGGGGTGTCAATACTCTAAATACTTCTCTGCAAGTATAGACTTGTAAGATGATTCAAAATGAAAGAAAACAATCGTAACTCACAATTCGTCAACATACACATATTAGTTTAATATGGGTAATATAGGTGTATTATATGATATTATTAAATAGTAAGCTTATGAAAAAAAATCATTTGATATAAATAGTCATATATACTGTCTTTTTATAAACGTAGATCGCATTTTTATGTATCCGTTCATACAAATAAGTTTTAATAAATAATAACAATCACCAAACACACCCGTTGACCTATAAAATAACTACCAGATAAGATAGCGACCGCCTAATACCTTATTGAATATCATAATAAATTTATAACAGCAAGTTTTCAGGACTTAAGTTAAAAATACTATATACTAATGTGTGTATACTATTATTGAATATTAAAATATACTAACTCAATTACGAAAGTAGTGTAAATATTTATCAATTGAATGTCACGGCAGACAACAATTCGAATCATTTTGAGATCGATAAAAAATTCGATTATTTTACTCATTATCGAACTCTCTCGATTGTTTTCATAATCGAAATATCTCAACAATGCCCATCACTAATTAAAACGTTAAAAAATGTGGATTAAAAGTAGATTTATGTTCCCAAAAAAGGTCATCTAGACCATATAATTATCTTTTAATATATTTTAAAGAGAATAAATAAATTTATTCACAATAAATAAAACCGTTTAAAATATCTAAGTTCTATTATATAAAAAATGCAAAGTCATTAATTGAGATATTGATAATAGAACGTTAAGACACGTGAATTAATTGTATGTTTGGATAGCTTTGTGCTTTGTAATTGTCCTTCAGATTTATAGTAATTTGAATAAAAGCATTTATTTCTTGTTTAAATATAGTATTTAAGTTCTGATATTTCAGAATTATATGATGTGTAGCTTGAACGATGGTTGTAATAAAATCTTTAAAGATTCCAACACTAAAGATGCGTGGGTTAATTTTTAATGTTATAATAATTTTAAAGAATACTAAATCTTAATATTTATGTTTTTATTTATTACTCATCTTTTATTACTACATTTCCAAAAATTAATAAAGAAATTACTAATTTATATATTTTTATCTAGATTAATTATAAATGTGAATAATTCAAAATGTCGCAAATGCCTTATTCAAGATGGACATGTAGTTCTTAGAAAAAAGGATGTATATTGCAAGTATGAACATTTTGTAAATTAATAAAATATTAATGAAGAACTTAATTAATTAAAGTATCCTTTTTTTATAATATACTAGAGATTGTTTTATTCCTATGGTTATTCATAAGTTTCGAGCAACCTTAGGAAAATCAAAATTGGTCAAACAAGGTGAAAATGTAATGATTTGTGTGAGTGGTTCTCAATGTTCTATCTCTTTACTACATTTGATATGGTCTGGCTTGCAACAAACAACTCATAAACGACTAACTTTTACCCCAGTTGTTTTGCATATAGATGGTATGTATTTAAAAATTTACATATCCATTTTTATAAGATATTTAAAAAAAATTTTCAGAAACTGTTCTGTTTGGATATTCAAAAGAACGATTTATTCAATTTAAAGAATTATTTGAATCCTATAATTTACCATACTATATCATATCGTTTTCCTCAGCATTGTATTCAGAGAATGTTTTAGATGAAGATTGTTATTTGCAAAAATATGATAAAAAACTAAAATCTCTGTTTAATAGTAAATTTGATTTGACACTTAAACAAGACATCTTAATTAGACTTAGGTATATAATAATAGTTATTATTATATAATTATTATATATACTATTTTTAAAAACTATCTAGGAAGTTGGCTATCATTAGAATAGCTAGAGCTTTAAATTGTACTAGAGTTATGACAGCAGAAAATGAACAGAAATTATCTATTAAATTACTTTCTAATGTTGCCTTAGGTCGAGGATCCCAAATTGGCAATGAAATAGTAAGTTAGAATTTTAACTTGTTATACTATTCAATTTCAGTTTTGAAATTATTTTTTATTTATTATAATTTAGGGCTTAGCGATCAATAATAAAAGTATTAATACCTCAATAGTTTTTTTACGTCCACTTAGAGATTTGTCTGCAAAAGAAGTATCATTTTATGCATTATTTAATCAACTAAATGACTTAGAGCATCCAAATTTTTTAACTAAAGTATGTATTTTCTTTAAAAAAATTTTATTAATACTTTATTTTATCAAAAAACAATATTAAAAATAAATATTTAATGTAGTTGAATAAAGCATTTTATTTTGAAATCATTAAAAATTAATATAATCAATCTTCTTGTTTTTCCTCACCTTAATCTCAACTACTTGGGGTTGGACATCTTATTCTAAACTTCCACTTGACATTATTACCCACATCAGCCGTCCTTATATTGCATTCAAAAACATCCCTCCATCTCTTTTTTGGTTTTCCTCTACCACTTCTTCCTTCAACATTCATTTCTATAATTGTTCTTATAGCTTCCGATTCCCCTCTTCTCATAACATGACTAAACCATCTAATTATATTTTCTTTCATATTATCTACGATTGACGCTACACCTATACTCCCTCTTATATGTTTGTTCCTTATCCTATCTTCTCTAGTTACTCTACTCATCCATCTAAGCATTCTCATTTCTACTATACTCATTCTCTGATCTACTTTTGTAACTGTCCTACATTTTGAACCATACATCATAGCTGGTCACACTACGTTTTATAGAATTTACCTTGCAATCTCATTAGTCCGATTTTACGACTGGGAGAGGGACCGTGGAAGTATTCTTAACCCCTATCCATAGGGAAAAACATTAATGTAATCAATAATTTTTTAAACGTTATAATCAAGATAAAATTATACTAAAATTGTATGAATAACAGATATTTTAATGCATATGATAATTTAAAGTAAATATTTATTTGTCATGTATTTCTTTTTGTTAGACAAATGAAGATGAGTCAATACAAAAAATTAGTGAGCAGTTTATAAATAGTTTACAAGAAGAATTTCCGTCTACAATATCTACAATATTTAGAACGGGTGAAAAAATTGTTGAAAAAACTACAATTGACAACACTTGTGTAATTTGCAATGTATGTATTTTTATTTAGAATTGTCTTATAAATTCATTGCCAAGCTAAAAAATGCTTAACATGTTTTTAGGGTATCATGGATACAGATATGCCTCTTTCTTCGTCTGTTGAAGCAACTAGATTTTCAAAGTATGTCTCTCAAATGGGAGTCAATGCTGTGGAAGCAAATCTTAATGACTTAAATTTGAAAAAAAAATTAAGAGAAAGTTGTTGTAATGAAGATTGTAACTGTTCCAATGAGAAATTTACTAAACAAGATATAATTAATTGTTTATGTTATGGATGTCAACACATTGTACAAAATTTAGTAAAAAAAAAAAATACTTTTATTTTTTATCAACTCTCAAGTAAATCTTTCTTATTATGTTATATTTCAGGACTCAGTAGATGACTTACCAGATGAAATTATAAAAATTTGTAAAGAAAATCTTGCTGATAAAAGTATGAAAAAACAAATAAAAGATTTTTTATTGTGACAATATCTCAGTTGTTTTAGATATTTTAAATAATTAGCATGTTGTTAAAATGACCAGTTTTAAAATCTATCCTATCTTTAGTATAAACTAAGTGATTAACAGAGTATTTAATAATTTTGAAATCATCCTTTAAAATATAAAATTACCCTCATTTAAAATAAAAGGGATTTTTTTCTTTAATTGGAATTCTAAAAATAAAAAATTTTTATAATTTAAATGGTTTATCAAATTACCAACCCTTAAATGTTAATAGGTTGAAAGTGATAGTTTTGGTGAAGATAAAACATTAGTTTAATATTTTTCTAAAATTCTAATGAATCAATCTATTAATTAATTAATCTTTGAAAAAATATGTATGTTTTATTAATGCTAAAATATTTTAGGGAAGCATTATTTGTTTATGTTACAACTATAATATTCTGGGTTTTAGCCGGTAAAACAATTCTTATAAACAGAGTATCAGGTAAAGATTGAGTCCTGACTGATTTCCGTATTTCTTTAAAATATGTTATATGAAATGAAAAATAAACAAAAATATTTTTTTGTGATTATTGTAAAGAAACACCCCCTAAGTTTATTGATGGGATTTATGAATATGGGACTAGTGCTCATAGTCAAATTTTACAAACTAAGTCATTGATTTAGAAGTGAATCGAAAGGTTTTGTTTTAAGATAACAGAAATGTCATACTAAAAACGTTAATTTATTATGAAGAAAATTTTAGTTTGCGAAAAGTATTTGTCCACTTTTTCTTGCAATCAGTGTTTATGAAAAGTACAAATTTTAGTAAAAAAGTTAATGACAAGAAGTATCTTACTACTAATATTTTCTATAGATAATTTATTAGTTAAATCTGTAAAGGTATAAAAATAAAAAACTAATTTTTACAAATACATACATCTTTATTTAGTTATGGAAAATTTATCATATAGGTACATTTTTAACATGGATAAAATTAAATTAAGTAAACAAAGTAAATTATTATAAAACAAATTGTTTAGATTTGTCATAAATAATAAATTGACATGTTCGAAATAATAGCTTATTATCTCAATCGAAAAATGATTGATATCATAATTGTTTCAAACTTAACAAAATAATGTTAAATTTTATAATGCACATAAATTTAAAGTTTCTTAATAATAATATAGAAAATGACTACTTAAAAATAAATATCCTTCAGTTTGTACAACTAAAGAAGCCATTTATTTTACCTGTATGTTAATAAAATATAAATTTAAATACATATTAATAAAAAGAAAAAATTATACTACACACGTTGACTGGGTATAAGTGTAGGGTCAGATAATAACTTGCAATTAGGTGACATATTGTTTTGAATATCTTTCAAAATTTGGTCATTTTCTATATTTTTTACTTTGAATTGAGGTTCAACAATAGCTGATGCATTAGCAGTTATTAAATCTCGAACAAATTTGAACTGCTTTTTAACTGATTCCATATCCTGGTTAGCATCAACAGCAACTACCTAAAATTAAAGAATGTAAATACTTCAATTTTAAACTAAATAAAAACTATGTATAGATTCTTAACTATAGAATCTATTTCAACGATTAAGTTTTTACTTATGCTCCAAAAGAATGTTATAATTTTATCATATATTAATATTTTATTAAGTTATTTAAATCAAGGACCACAACCTTAATAAAATATCAGTTACATACATCAGGCTCATTCAAAGTTAAAATTTCAGTTTTAAATCGTCTTCATTAAAAAAATGAATGATTACCATAATATAATCTTAGAAAAAAAAAACACATCTCCAGGAATATTTAATTATAATTTCAAATAGTAAAAAAATTACCAGCACAGTAGGGACACAACATTGGCGGGACAAGAATAGATGATATCTGACAATTGTGAATATCACTCTCATAAAACGCTTTGATGCGAATCAATACAATTTCAGAATAATTTGTATATTTATAATTTACAATAATGATTTGAATCCATATTTTAAAAAATTAAGTATTTTAGTATGAATCAATTAAGTTTAAAGTATATCATATTATCAATATATTATTTTTATTTAATGCATAAAATATTATAATTTAATTAAGTTTAAATTAAATGAAACTATATTTTTAATGTTATTCTCTTTTTTAAACATATCTATAAAAATATGTTAAAGTTACCCAATGATTTTCTAAAAGATGACAAGTAAAAAAAGTCTCCATATAAATTTACCAGTTTTTAATTTTTTTATTAATAAAATTGTTTATCTTTTTACATTTATTTTCAAGAAAACTTATTTTTATTTAAATTGATATTTTTGTTTAGATTTATATCAATTTAAGTTGATTAATTAAAATTATCGCCTATTACTGCTTTATAATTTACAACTTTTTTGAATTAAATACAGAACTTAATTAATTTTTTGAAAAAAAAAAAACCCCCACTGAAGATAACTAATGAGTACATATCAGTGATCACATATGATTACAATAATGCTAAATTCCTGAAATATTTAAAATTTTAATATAGTGTGATATTTTGATATTATGGTCAATTATAATCCAACTACACAAGTACTTATTAAAAATCAGCCTTATGAATACTATAATCTAAGTGATTCACAATATCAATAACTATTGGATTGTTATGTTCAGAGATCATTTTATTAAAATTATGTTAATTCTTAATTTTTTATTTGAGACAGAAACCGCTTTTCAAAAAATAATACTTAGATTTAAACAACTGTACTCTATAATAATTATGTATTTATTTATTGAAAAAATTTGCTGGCTATTTTTCATTAACTTATAAAAATATACAAGGATGTCATTAGATTAACCCATGTAAGCAAAACTCGTACAAGGTTTAATGTTTGATAACTAAAATTAGATAAGTTATTCATTTGTTATATTTTTATCAAGTCTAATTCTATGAATGAAATAATATTTTTATTTAACATATACATCAATAAATTTTTTCATGTCCATCACTGATAATATATTAGTTGTAAAATACATACTTAAAAGTTCTAAATATGTATTATGAATAGTTAATAATTAACCGAGGATGTAGTCCTTGATTAAACTATGTTTCCGGTTAAAATTTTTTTTAACAAGTCAAATCTTTAAAGTAAAATGATTTTATGTGAAATGACCGATTTTTAAGTATCCTAAACAAACCAACAATTAAATTTTTTCATATCACCTGATAGCATGAAAAATCAAATAAAATAGTTAAATCTTTATTAAAAGAAAAATTTTTGGAATCCTTTTTGAAATTTGACAAGCGATGATACTATAGTACATTTTTTGGATGATTTGCGTTACATTTTGGTTCTCATACTTACAGTTTACTATATTATCAATATGAGAATATGTTTAACTGATATAATATTAAACACATTAACTTACCCACCAAAACAATAAAAAAATCCTAGTAGTTAATTTTTGGTAAAATCCCGACATTTCATAAAAATTCGAATAAAAATAAAAGACAACAATGTTTTATATTAAAATATTGGTAACTAAAAGTTATTTCTTAGTACAAAAAAATAACCAAGTAAGATTTTGTAGGTTAAATAGTCCTATAGAAAATCATCCTGAAATATCAAACTATAATTTGTTTAGGTGATATGTTTTTATAGTAAATACATATTGATGAGTATTTTAACGATAAATGATTACTAGATGCTTAGGTATAGTGATCATAAATATAAATACCAGTTTCAATATTAACCGAGTTTTACTAGTTATGTTTCAATTGCTCATTCACTGCCCTATCCGTAGTGTTATGTATTATAAAATTATTTAGCTTACTGGGACATTTGGAATTGAAGACATTTTAACATTTAACCATTTCTCATGCAAGTCATGCAGGCTTTTAATATAGTCAAATGAAATATCTTTTTCTTCAGGGCGTCCTCTAGTTTTTATTCTTTTAAAAGCAATCTCAGGATCAGTTCTGAGGTAAACTGTAATATTAAAATGAAATATTAAAACATTTACTTCACTATAACTTTACATTTATTTTTGTTGAATCTTACTAATTAAATCACATTCAATTTCAATATTTTCGATCAACCATTGATACCATGCATCAAGTACTGCATATTCTGGAGCCGACATAAAATTATCTTTGAATAAATTTTCAACAAAAATGTTTCTGAAATACAATAAAATTAATTTTTACATCCTACAGATTAAATTTAATTTGAGTTATTTTTAAGTAATATTAAGTAAAATATATCTTACTAATAATTAATTGAATGAATAAGTTTTTAAGTTTAGATGATAAATGAAATGTAGTATACTAAATTATTATGGATAAGAACTACTTCATTTTGACAGTTGTAAGTATAAAGAAAAATAACTTGTTTAACATGTTTGAACTATAATTTTACAGGCATGCTTTTTGTTAATTAATATGTAATAATTATCATAATTAGTTAGTGTAATTAAAATTAATTCAGACTAATTTTTATTTTAACTATCCATATGTATGCTAATAATTTTAAATAACTATTTAGAAATATTAACAATAAGTAGTACATTATGTTAATGAAATTACCTAGCACTGTAAACCGATCTTTCCATAATCTTAATATTCTGATTTGGATTAGGTCTTAATTGGTGTAGTTCTAGCATAGTTCTCTGAACAATTGATTGGAAGGCAAAGCTCCATCGTTTTGGGTCATTATACATAAGCCCCTGCGGGAAAACGGACACTTTATTTTAAAGCGATTATAAAATTTTTTAAATAATAAAATCTATGCAGTAGAAATTACCAAAAAGTTATGGCCGTGAACATTTTGCCATTTTTGAACTGGTTCAGTTGCAAGAAGCACGTTTTGGCAGCCATTGAATTGTTCTAGGAATGTTGTTTTGCCACTGCCTACGTTCCCTTCAATTAAAACTGTGTATAATTTTTTATTATTTTTTGCCATTATGAGTTTAGTGAAATCAATTGCTGATAAACTATTTAAATTGTTATAAGATAAATGACGACGCAACTGTCTTCGAGTACTACACAACGTCAATGACAAACAATAGCTTAAACTCGAATAAATCGAGGAAAACATCGTATTTAACCGCCAAAACTAATATTCCGTTTATCAATTATTTATTATCATTTTGGAAATCTTCACAATCTTATCTATAAGCTACTGAATAACGACATTCATTTAAACCTTTTAAATCGATATTATTATAAAAACTGCAAATAAACAAATTATATGAATATTTTGATGGTTTTTAAATTTATAATCATCATTAATACTGCGACTATGGTTATTTAACCGTATACTTAAAAAATTTTACAATAAAAAGGTAACAAAGAATACTAATAGAAAAGTTTAGGGAAAAGAAGAAAAAGCTATGTATGATATTAATAGATTTAGAGAAAGCGTATGATAGAGTACCGAGAGAGGTTTTAAAGTGGACATTAATGAGAAAAGGAGTCTCGAAAAGGTACATTAATATAATGGAAGATATGTATGATGGCACTTGTACCATGGTAAAAAGCGTAGGAGGATTAACAGAAAGTTTTAGAGTAAAAGTAGGAGTATACTACTGCTATAAGCCCTTACATATTTTCTATAGTGATGGATGAAATTACTAAAGAAATACAAGGAGAGGTGTCGTGGTGTATATTGTTTGCTGACGATAGTGTTAATAGGAGAAAATAGGGAGGAAATTAATCAAAGGCTAGAGGTGTGGAGATCAGGTCTTGGAGAAATGGGTTTAAGAATAAGTAGGAGTAAGACAGAGTATATAGAGTACGAGTTTGACAAAGGTGAACATGAGGTAGGTGAAATGAGGAGTTTAGTGACAATAGACGAAAATGTAATAGAAGAGGTGGAAAGTTTTAAGTATTTAGGATCAGTTGTGCAAAAGAGCGGGAGAATTGACGAGGATGTAAGACAAAGGATTAAGTGTGGGTAGTTGAAGTGAAGAGAAATCTAGCATCAGATATTTTTTAATCATACGATGGTAATTTGCAGTAATGCACAATTTCTCTTGATAATTACATGATTTTTTTAAGGAATGTAAAACATAAGCTGCACTAACCTTAAAGTTAAAGAGGCCTTAGACAAATAATTTTTTAGTGTGAAAGTAGGTATAAAGTACACTGATGAGCAAAAAAAAAAAAATGTAAAAAAACTAACCATAAGGTTTTTTAATATATAGGACAAATGTTCCAATTAACCTATTCTGCAGATAGTGGTGGAGGTAAAGAAAATTTTTCTTAGTGTTAAAATTAGAGCGAACATTTTTATTTATAATCGCTTTCATTATTGTTGAATAATGGAACTGCCAGAATAATTCAGCCTAAAGGTGATGTGTAGTTGAATATACTACTGATCATCCTATAAAGTAAAAATAAATTGAAGCTGTGTTCTTTTGAAAAAAAGACAACTATTACAATTTATTACCAGAAATAAAACTTTTAACTTCAAAAAATAGCTCAACAAATCAGGGGCTAAGATGAAATGTTATTAAATGCCTAAATTACTAACTAATCATATAGTAAAAATCATATTATTTGTTAAGTAACAACAAAAATTTATTTTATTTTAACTAAATTAACAATAAGCCAATATTCACAAAACATATTTAATTTAATAAAAATATATATACATTTATCATATAAATTCAATTGTGTAAATTTCAATAGTAAAAGCTTTAAAGTTATTTCCAGACCGATAATTTTCCATTCTTAAACACTAAACAATCTACAGGCCATGCTATAGATGACTTGTCATATGATAAGAGTTCTTCCAGATCTTTGTCAGAATTCTTGAATTAAATAATAATATGTATCAATATTAAAATACTGAATTATTAAAACTATCATTATAGTAAATTTTATTGTGACTCATAATGTCTTTTCAAAAGTATAGGTTTATCTATTTTCAAAGACTCAAATCAAAGTTTTTTTATAAACAAATAATACCACAATAGCACACCTTAACAACCATGACAAATCATTCCTTATCACCCATTATTTTAATATCAAATAATAATAGCATTACAGACAAAATTTACAATAAATAAGTTTAAAATATATTGTAATAAATGGTTGTCTCTAAAAACCTAAATTTGAAGAAGATACAACAGTTCTTACCAAGAAATAAGTAAAAATAAAATAAAATAAATTAATTTTATTATCTCACTTTAAATAATTCTATAAATTCCATCAAGTCTTTTGCCAAAATCTCATTTGACTCTATAAGTTTTGCAACACTGAAAAAGAATGTATATTTATAATTTATTTTAAACAAATAGAAAAATTAAAAAATCTTACATGTTAAAGTAAACCATAGTTTTACATAGAAAAATAATTGTTACTATGGTAGACTTCATAGTTATAACTTTATAATTAATGTTTTTATCTTAATAAAAAAAAGTTATAACACATCTCTAAACAACCTATGTTTTATGAAAGATATAAAAATTCTATATGTTAATACTTAACCAATTTTTAGCATTTTAGAAAGAAATCACCTCTAAGTATATTCTAAAACTTAGATTCAATTTTTAATACAAAAAATGAAATATCCCTTAAATAAGTACTTCTACCTAATCCACAATAGCAAATGAATCATGAGATTAGAAATTATATGCATTTATAAATTTTTTTGAGTTTTTGTAAACAGAACATCATTCTGTACAATTTTTTATTAATTAACTTAAACACTAAGTAATGTGTTGTTATGAAGGTTATACATACTTTGTGGCGATAAGAAATATTTATCTTCCCCTAATATGAAAAATACTTCTATAATATTGTTTAATCCCATGACAAATTTGAACAAACATACGACCCTTTAAAATGGCTCAAACCAAATTTATCATTACATATAATTCCTAGCACTAATCATGAACATCAAGAATCATAAGGAAATAAAATTTTTTCTTTAAAAACAATGACATATCACCAATGCATATTTTTCCAAATAAATGATGTTACTACAGTGATGTCATTTCAATATTATTTAATATTTTTTGGTTGAGAGATGAAGGGGTTGAGATAATAGTAAGAAGAATCACCTAAAATTTTTGAGGACAAAAATAGCAAAAATTTTGAATATGAAAATGTCTATCTTGTGCACTATAAATGATACACATTTATCATATTAATATTAATATATAATATAAAAAGATACTTACTTTTCATCCTTCCACAATTGATTATCAACAACATAAGAACAAATTAATTGATTAACTTCAGTATTAAATAAAGGCAATCCAAAACAACAATCTAAAAGTGTCCATTTAGATGTATCATTAATTAACTCTAATGTCAATAAGTTTTTTGAACAAGATTTATTGGTTTGCTTATCTAATTCTTTATTTAAATTTTCTATATTATCAGTTTGCAATGTTTGTGTATTTGCTATAATAAATGCAAATAAATTAAAAAAAGCACTGAATATATTTTTATTTGTATAAACATTACAGGATGTTTCTTCAAATAACAACTTCTTTTCATGTTGAGCTGGCATAGTAACACATGTTATGTAACCACAACTATTATTAATATTCAATTCTTCTGTCAATTTTTCAATTGCTTCATGTTTGTACAAAATATTATCTAAAGATATATCACCAAAAATTTTATTGTTAAAAAAGTGTATAAGTAATAACTTAGTACTGATATGTAAATATATTACCATTTTTCAAACTATTAATTTTTGGAAATGGCAAGATACAGGTTGTTGGTGTACATGCCTAAAAACAATCCATTAAGTATTTTATGGAACTAGGAATTTTTTTTATGTCTTAAAGATAATAATGATAAATGATGCCTTTCAAATGACAGTTAAAAAGAGAATCAAAAAATAAAAAGATAAGTCTTAAATAAGGTTAATTTTTTATATTCTATCGTCTTCTAAATTGTTAAAAATAAGATGAACTCACTTGTATAAGTACTGGTGATTCTTTTAATGTATCATTAATAATGGTTAATAAATTTTCAATAGGAATAAAGTGTGAGTCATGCCCCCAAGTGGTAACCATTACTTTAGAACAATGCCTAAATATTTTTGGAACATTCCATAAACGAGTTCCTGATAAATAAAAAATACATTTTACCTATAGTTATATTAGATATAATAACCACATACTGTCGCTTAAGATGCAAGACCTCATATATCAACTTTTACAACTTTTCAGAAGAGCAAAAATCTTATTTATTACTAGTATATTTTAGTTAGCGGCTGTTTTGATTTTCAAATTTTTGACAAATAACGGGTTTTCTGATTGTTTTTCTCAGATAACCAATTGATTTCCCATAAATAATGATGCTAACTCAATTTAGCCAAAAAATAAGATATAAGGTGTTGCATTTTAAATAACAATATTTACCTCTAACTAATAATAGTGATGGTGGTCCATATGTTGTTTTATGATATAAATAAAGTTTAAACCAAACTGAATTCACTTCAGGTATTGGAGGTCCAATATGTGGCAATTTTGGAGAAGATAAAAGTGGAGTTTCTTTATTTAATGGTGCCATAGATAATAATAAGCTATTTTTTAATTGATATTAATTTTTTTTAACAAAGATTAATTAATCTAAGACTCACTTGTAATTTTTTTTTAAAAATCTAACACAAGTATCAGCAGATAATGACTTAAGACTTTCCCATCGAATGAGATCAAGTTTACCAAGACAATTTTTAGACCTTAAGCTTTTAACAGTACTTCTAAGTGTTATGGCATGTTCAAAATATCTTTTTGCTTCGCCTTCACTTTCACCAGCACTTGGAGTTTCACTTCCAAAGACATTATTACCAGCATTATAGCCCTCAGCTACTTTATCAAGTTCTTCTAAAAATGAATTTAAACCCTCATCTGTTAATTTCCCAGCTTCAAATAACGTAACTGCATGATCTTTAAGACTCTTAAACAAAAATATTAAATATTAGTTATTGAAAAATTATTTAAAGGTTTTTTAAAATTGTTCCCTCATTTTAAGGATTTAATACTTGTATTGAAGAGGTTAGAAGGGACAATGTGGCCGAGTCAGTAACGCGTCAGTGCTTGACGCGCACTGCCTCGGTTTAGAAACTCGGTCACGGATGGCTTCATTTGCAGAATGAAGGATCAGTTTGGTAACTGGAGTTACCATTCCTCTCTCCGGCGACAGACTAACCACCCGTCCTGGAGTATCAATGGTTTAGAAACCTCCTATCTTGGGGGAGGCTGCTATGGCCCTCAATGGGCTTATAATGCGTTAAAAAAAAAAAAAAATTGAAGAGGTTAGGAAAAGTGTGCAGATTGATACAATAAAATTGAACCTTTGAACTAAGTTTTGACATGTTCCCGACCAAGCAATACAAGTAGCATACTTTTAACTTACTGGGGAAAGGTTACCCATCATAAGGAAAGCTGTAAGAGTAGAATCAAATAAGAAAGCCATTCTTTTTTCTGTTATATTTTTATCTGGTAATAACTCATGATTATTAGTAATATTTGATACAAAAGATTTCGTATTTTGATCTGCCAACAAATTTTGAACATCATTAGTTTTAAACTTAGTTGAATTTTCAAATTTTAACCATGAAGAATGATTTTCACATTGCTTTGAGTTTTTCTTTTGAGCAATTTTGAGTCGACAAAATAAGGAAACAGCATTTTTAACAGATTCCAAATCAATTTCTAAGACTGTTGCCAACTAAAAAATAACATATTAGTAAAATTTTTAACAATCAAGCTTCATCAACATTAATTCACATAAAAATAAAATATTTTAAGATGTGATTAAAATTTTACATAATACAAAAGTAATTAAGATTACTTTTTAAATTAAATTTTATTTTGGTCATTTTTAAAAAAACATTACTCCCAGGATTTTTTCTTTTTTGAGATATTTTGAATTCCCAAAATTTTAGAAATAATTGGAAATTTCTACCTTAATTTTTTACAGTTCTCTATAAATAAAGAAATTCCGTCAAAAATTAAAAATTGTTAAGTTTTGACATTTTTAAAATTTTTTGAAAAATAAATAAATCAAAACAAATTTTTGTTTATTATATTTTAATTATAATATATTATAACTTATATTTATTTTATTTTAAGATCCTAGACAAGATATTTTTATCATCACTTAAATGTAAGGATGTATTACATGTGTGTGATTTAAGTTATTATAGTATTACTTGGTGTTCAAATATGGGGTTTTAATAAAAACTTTGCAAAAGTCATAGATTTAGGTAAATTATTACTGTCGAATACCTCATTATTACCAATAAAAAATGCTCTTTTTTGGTATATATTCTTAATTAAAAGAGGCAAATGATTTTTAGGGTACTGCAACTATTATTTTGGAGGTAATTTTGAAAAGATGTTATACTCCTATTTTTTTATTCAAAAAACACATTCCTGTTAAGATATTTACATCAAGTTTTTTGTCTAAAAAAAAAACAAAAGCATATTTTTAAGGAATTAAAACAAATTTTTAAATCATACGCACAAAATACACCCTTATGTGTATGTCATTATACAAATATCTTGTGTATATTCTCTAATAAAATAAAAATTATACTATATAATTACAAGATATTATAGTGTATTGATAAATTTAATTAATAATTACTATAATATACATGTATAAGTTTTTTGAAAATTACTAAAATAAGAAACACATTAAACATACCTACCTCAATAACTGATGTATGTTCATCAATGGAAACAAAAATTTTATACAGAAGATTCTCAAAATTATCACCAAGAACTCTATTCATGACAAAACCTCCAAGAGTTGACACTATAATATAATCATCATCATTTATAGGTACATTAAAGTATACAAGTCCTTTTCTATAAATTTTTATATATTTAAATGATTAATAATTATAAATTTATTATATACTAATTTTATATATTACTTATAAAGATTTTGAATTATATGATAATCTAATGTACCAGCCAATTGCTGCCCATTATCAATAATAAAATCAATTACTTTTTTTTCATTTTCATTGACTGCCTAAAAATTACATAATAAATCATAAATAAATGTTTATAATTTAATAGAATATTATTTAACCTTCATATCATCTTCATATAAACATCCGATATCAACCATCCACCAAGGATCAACATTGATATCTATTGGTTGAACTGGTAACATTGGTTTTATATCATTTTTCTTGCGAAAAAGTTTACTTTTTGATCTACATTGATTCATTAACTCTATATATTCATTACGTCCAATTCCTAATAGCCGTAAACCTAAATAATTTTGGTTTGTTAATGAGTTATAATTTTAATTATAACTTTAAAATACATAAATGGATATACAAACAATCGACAGCAGTAAAATTTGGTATAGAATCATAGCTTTTATCTGATTCCATAACATGAATAATTGTTGAAATATAAAATTGGAATGGAGTGATTCTTAAGCCTTTGACAATTACATCAGACAAATGATATGGATAAAGCATCAAATTTTCTCTACTATAAGTCATTAAATCCTCATAATAATTTTGCTCATTTTTTATCACAGTTTTGACTTAAACATAAATATTTAAAAATTTTATTATCTTTCAGAGAAACTTGAGAAACTATTTACCTAAGTTTCCTTTATAACGTATTTGATTTTTAATACTGAAGGTAGATATACATTTTTTATATTCTTTTACTGAATTACCAACATTCTGCAATCATACCATAATGAAATTTTACATAACATAATCTTTATTAATATTAATACTACAGCTTATCTTTAAAGAAACGAAAAAAAATTGTATTACTTGTTTTAGAGAATTTGGAAGTTTAACCCATGGAATATTTTGAGAAATGCATTTCTCCAATTCTTCATTCATTTTCATAAAATTACAATTAATTTAATGTAATTTATTAGTAACATTTAATAATTAATTCACCGCTAACTATTTATATAATTAAGTTATTAATGATAGAAATTCAAAAGACATGTTACTATTACAGATAAGATAAAACTTTATCTTATCTTATCTGTGGTACACTATATTTATATTATCACCTACCAGAATCGTATTATTATCATATTATTGTCATTAAAAAAAAGTTAAGGTAATATATTATAACAACAGAATAAAAAAGAATAAAGAGAAGGTTAAGATTAAGGCGTCTGAGTACCGACGGCGTTTTAGTAAAAAACAACCTGTTTTTCTTGGGTTACGGAGATTACCACGAACTGATAATGCTCCGACATTCATATACTCCGACACTGTAAAAAAATCCTCCGAATACATTTACTCCGACTACAATTACTACGAATACCTGGTTACAAAAATTTGGATTTTACTACGACGATAAATACTCCGAATAGGACTATTAATTGATGTTATTCTGAGATCTGTGATTCATGGTATATACATTGTCTAGACATATTTCAATAAATTTGGAAATAATTAAATTTATTATTATTATTAATCTAAAAAGAAAAATGAAATACAAAAATAGAAAAGTCAATTTTTTAACATGTTGAGCAAATATTTCAATAATATACAAAGAAATATTGTTAATTGTATTAAAATTTATAAATTAATATTATGAACTACTTATATCTTTAAAATTGTTAACTGAAAAACAGTATCTATTATTTTTGTTTTTTTAAGTTTTCCCTTCGTCATGTTTACACTGGTAGAAATTAGCTTGAAAATTTGGGTCCCCTTAAGAAATATTGTAAATTTCTTTTAATTTAATAAAAACATTTTTTTAATTTAAGTCAGTAAAATGTTGTAAGCAAAAAAATTGTACTTAATTTATGTGTAAATTTGCCTTTGAGACTAAAATCTTTTACTTTTTATTTAAATAGTTGTAAAGGGTTCCACCCTATATCTATACGATTTGGTTCTTTATTCAATGGCATACACGGAATTTCAGTTCGGGTAGGGCTTTCATTATTGGTTGATAATAGTTCTGTAGTGAGTTTTGCCTTCCACTATATAGCTGACCTAGTTGCGGTACGATAAAAACCCTAGAACCCTACCCCTGCGTAGTTACTTTATCTCCTTTTACATAATAAATATTTTACTACCCTTCAGATAAAAATTTATCGAATATTAAAATTATTATTACGAAATTATTTATACCATGGGTAATCAAGACCTTTAGCAATTTTCATTGTTATATAAGATCTAATTGGTTTTTAGAGTATTCTGGAGGAACATTGTCCCCTAGCCTAGTCTGACACTGCTCTCCTCTTGATCATGTCGTTAATCTTACTAATTTTTAATTAAAAATTTCCGTACAAATTTTTGAATACATATATATATATATTGTATATTTTACTAATTTTATAATTACTAAATTAAAAAAAACAAAGTATTTATTTTCATNTATTGTATATTTTACTAATTTTATAATTACTAAATTAAAAAAAACAAAGTATTTATTTTCATTATTTTGGTTTCCTAGCAACTGTATACCAAGTGTAACCAAACAAATTAAACTACTCATACTTAAGAACAAAATAACTTTTTAATTATGTAGTTAAATTTTATAATGGCTCCTTCATTATACTACCAAGTTGTGCTTTATTTTAATAATTATTATTTTTTTTTTTATTATTTGATTGAAATTTTTATTTATTTGTTGAAAATGGTTAAATTACCTTATCCTAGAAGTGTTTCAGTCATTGAATGGTTTATTTTTATTTTATTATATCCATTACAGACATGTAGAATAGCGTTGGGCAGTAAAGGAAATCTTACAGATAAAGCACCTCCAATAGTGATTTCATCTCTACTAAATTTATCAACAATTCTTGGCACATTTCATTTAATTCAATGGCAAACATATGTAATTTTTTTAGAAGTTATCATTGGAAGTATTGAGTTAACAATAGAAATACTATGTTTTGTACTAGGAGTAATACATTTGTTTACACAGAAATCAAATATGTATTGATAAAAACATTAATTAAAAAGATATAAAATTATTATAATTGTAATAAGGATACAAAAATTGTCTAAAATTACAATGAATATTTTATGATTCAAATTATAAAAATATTTTATTATACAAAATCAGAATTCAGATTCATCAGATGTTGTAGAACAAGAATCATTTTTATCAAAAGAAATCCCAACACCACTGTCTTCAATAATTTTTTGAATGAAATTTGCCTGTATTTTTTGTATTTCTTTATTAGCTCGTTCATTATAAGACTTTAATATGCTGTGAAGTTCAAAATTTGATCGTTTCATTAAAGTAGTATACAGTGTAAGTGTATGAACTTTTTTAACTAAAAATTTGTAATCTGGACAATCAATAAAAAAATCACGTTCAAAACTTGTCAGTTCATTATTAGCAGTTTCCCAATCAATTTCTTTTTTAGTATTGTGTAACTTTCTGTAAAAAACAATAGACTTCATAAATGGTGACTATCAGATATTAACAATTGTATTAAAATACAGAATTTTTTTTTCAAGTTAATACATGAAAAATTAAAATTTTGATGTTTTAATGATTACTTCTTTAAAATTTTTTTTATTTAAAGACTATTAACTACAACATAGCACATTTGTGGTATCAATATTAATAATGATATAGGAGAAGTGGATGTAACAGGCTGGTGCTGATCAGCTGTGTAAGACATGTGAAAAACAAGGATGACTGAAATTATGAGCGATATTTCAATGCAAATTAATTTTTTTGTGTTTTACTACTAATTTTTTTAAAATTATGACACAATAAGAAAAAAAATATAAATTAACTCTTTCCAACAATTTTTTTTATAAAATTAATATAATATCATGTTATAAAATATTAAAACTAACTACAATAAACACAAATTTATGACATTTACTTGATCTAACAATGTTTTAAAAGTTTGTTTAAGTATGTATCTCTAGAGTCATTATGTACAAATATTTAAGTATTATTTTCAATCAAATAAATTAACATTTAATGATTATATTTTGTATTTATAAAACAAATCTCTCTAGCTATTGAAGTTTTAATAGAAATTTTCTGAGTTTATTTTTAGTTTTTGTTTTTAAACTTTATTTATTTCTATTACACAATCTGCTGCTAAATATGGTTTCTTTACCCACAAAGTCAAATTTAAACAATTAAAGGTATTTAAAACTATTTTTAAAAATGTTAACCTTTAAATTTAAATTTGATAGAATATTCTATTCATCTTATAATCCACTATTATTATATTAAAAAATCTTGTAATGGAGTACTTGAAAATTTAAATGTGATTATAATTTTTTATTTAACTTGTTAAATTACTACTATATTCCATTACTTATTTTATTTTATGTGTTTTACATTATAAAACTATTGATTTAACATTTATATAATTATTAAAAATGTTGTTAATTTTACATTATATTTTGTATAGTGCACTTGTCCTATGTAAATAAATAATAAATAATGTTCTAATAACTTTAAAATAGTATTATGAAAAAAAAAAATATTATCTGACTTAAATCTATCAATTAAAAAATTTATTTAATTCTATTAATTAAAAACTTAATAAATTCATAAGTTTTACTCCCAATTTATATATCATAAATCAAAAATCTAAAAATTTTTGGCTTTATTTTTAATATTCAAATTTCTTCCTCGAGAAATACATCAATTTAAAAAATTAAGCATAGTGACAATATTTTTTTGTAATCTGATAATAATATTTGAGTTAAACAAATTATTCCATAATTTTATGATAGGTACATACTCTTTTAAACAAATTCTTTCTTCATGTTTACTTGCAATTAATTTTGGAAGTTCATTCTTTTTTAGCTTGAAATTGTCAGTAAATCTTGTAAAAATAAAATAAAATGTATTTTTTTAATTATTTGTTTTAAGCAAACTTACTCAGATATTGTTTCTCTGTAAGATCCCCCAAATAGTTTAGAATTTGATATAATGTTTTCTTTTTCTTCTTCGACCCAAGAAACATTTCGAAATAGTTCTAATTGGTCTTCATTTAATTCTTAAAAAATAATTATTAAGTACTATACTTAAATTCTAATTTATTAATAACTAACAAATAATTTATAGTAAAATAAAAGTTATAAACACATCAATTGATCTTAAAATACGAGTATAAGTAAGGTACCCTAAAATTAAGGTATAAAATTAACTATACAGACATTTTTTCTTACCTTCAACTAGTTTAGGAAAAAAACTTGATCTGCGCCGTTTACGTTCTTCAGCCATGATAAATATTACTATTAATTATGAAAAGAATGTAAAGAAAATTTAGTATTATTTTATAAGAAAATAAAAACTTCTGGAAGTCTTGTAATCAGTTTACTTTGAAATAAAATAACGAATAAATTTTTTTGCCGCTTATCAATTTAGCAGTTGATTTTCAAGGCCATATATTTAAAATAACGTAATGAAGAGCTTAGTTGAATATTTATAGATATTTGAGCTTAATATTATCAGAAATTGATGTTACTTCGGAACGCTAAGATCATATTATTTGAATTGTTTTATAATAATATGTTAAGATTAATAAATATTATAATTTAGATTGGATCTGTAATTAACTTCAATATTGTTATTGTCCTTGTCAAAATCTGCCAACATAATTATCACAACTAAGTGGATAATACGATTCAATTAATCGACTTTGTTTAATAATATAATAATCAGTATTTTCGAAATCACACCATCTATTGAAAAGATTTTGTAAGTAAGAAATTTTCATTTTTTTAAATTATGTTGAATTAAAATGGATAAAAGTTCCGATTATTGGATTGCTTTACAACTTCAAAGTGAACTAATTGATCTTACAAACATTGAAAATGTTTGTCAAATAGATTTAACGCAGTCGTCTTCCTATGAAACAATTGATTTAACTGAGTACAATGATAATCACAATATTAATGAACAAAAACGCAAGTCAAATAGTTCATCTTCACAAATCATTAAAAAAACATGTTTAAACGCTACTCAAAGTATTGTAGATTCTTCATGGGAAACTATAGATCCCAATCCTGATGTACATGGTTTATTTTTAGCTTTTAATCGTCAGTACTTTTGGAATAGTCTAGATTCTGTTTCAGTAAAATGGAATAATAGAATGACAGTTTGTGCTGGATTGTGTAGGTATCAATATGGCCAATGCTCTATAAGCTTAAGTGAACCATTATTAAAATTACGCCCACGCAAAGACGTAGTTGAAACATTATTACATGAAATGATTCATGCATATTTATTTCTTACTAAAAATTCTGATCATAAAGATAGAGATGGACATGGGTCTGAATTTTGTAAACATATGTATCGTATCAATAAAAGTGCTGGTACTAGTATATCTATTTATCATAATTTCCATGAAGAGGTTAAATTGTACAGACAACATTGGTGGAAATGTAACGGACCATGTCAAAATCACCCACCTTTTTATGGCTATGTTAAAAGAAGTATAAATCGTACACCTAGTATTAATGATGTATGGTGGACTAACCATCAAGCTACGTGTGGTGGTTCTTTTATAAAAATTAAAGAACCTGAAGGATATGGTGAAAAAAAAAAAAAAAAGGTTACAATTACTGAAAGCAAATCAGTCAATAAAATTACTAATTTTATTAAAATTTTAAAACCACCTGCTGAAAACTTGGTTGTGAAAAATGAAAATAATCATCATAATGAAGAAGAAAAAGATGATACAACTTTATGTCCAGTTTGTAATGAAACAGTTTTTTCAGATTGGTTAAATATACATTTACAAAATTGTAGCAGTCTTAAAGAATTGTTTGATAGTGAAATTGAAGATAGTTGTCGTTGTGCAGTTTGTAATGAAGAAGTTGAAAGATCATTAATGGAAGAACATTTAAATGTTTGTAAAAACTTAAATAATGTTTTTAACAATAAACTAATTGATGTCAGTGATGAGAAAGATTCTGTAAATTGTCCTAAGTGCAATAAAGTTGTTCAAGAAAAATATATCAATGAACATTTAGATATTTGTATAGATAAAGAATCTCCAAAAAATATTGATGAAAAAAAAATAATATGTCCATGCTGTGAACAAAATTTTACCAATGTAATTGAATTAGATGACCATATTGATGGTTGTTTGATGGAAAATTAATGACTTTATTGTTTATATTTAATTCTTAAAAAAAAATATTTACTTATTATTTTTTAAATATATATTTACCAAAATTTGTTATTTATGTTTACTAATTTATAAAAAAATACAATAAAAAGAAAGACATTCCTAGATATTTTATTTTTATGTTTTTTCTTTTTTTAAAGAGATATTTATAGTTAAAGCAATACTTTATATCTGTGATTGATACATTTTAGAGTTTTTATGATTAACTATTAGACATTGTCTAAAGTTAAAGTTAAAAGAAAATATATATGTATTTATATACAAGTGTTTGGTTTATCACTAACCACTTGATTACTTACATAATAAATACAATAATGGGAAAAAAATTTTGGTTTTTTTAATTTCATATATTTCTTAATTTATTAACTATAATTTACACTTTAGAATCATTCCTTTTGACTTGCAGAGGTGTCGACTTTATTTTTTTAAATGGTAACGTACATAATTTACTTGTTAATTTAATAGAAAATTACTTATTCAATAATAAAAATGAATTCTCAGTAATTAAATGTTCTACTTTTTAGCTGTAGTTTTAATAATTTAAATGTTTTAAATTTTCTGCAACAAAAAAACAATTGTACTTTTATATTTTTTATTAGTAGAAATTAACTACATTGATTTTAACTTAACATCAAAACTTTTACATTGATCTATTAAATTATAACAAATTAATTTTTTAATAGTAGCTGTTTTTACTATTTCAAATCCTTCATCACCACCAAAGGTGTCTTGTTTCCACCAACTTTCGCTTCCAATTGGACTGGATAAAATTGCAGTCATTATCAAGTTGTTTGAAATAGCCATATTAGTGGAAGATACTACCCCATTTTTATGTTTTTCCACCAACATTCCTGGTATTAACTCAACGTTTTCAATGTCTTCGTATAAGTTTTTTAGTTGAACAGCTAGTTTTTTATCTTTAGTTAAAGAATAAAAGTTATTATATGGCACTAAACCTAAGTGCCTTCGATAATTATTAAAACTTTGAAACTTTTTTTCTCTAGAAAGCTTTAACATCACTTTAGTTAGTGGCTCTGTTGCAGGGCCGTCATTATTACTCGTAATCATGCCCATTTTTTGACTTATCATTAATTGAATTATGTTGCTTAATCCATCAACAAAGAGTTGTCTTAAATTTAAATAATAATTATTAAACTATATTACTTTATTTTTCATTTTATAAATTTTTACCGATTATTACCAAATAGTAATGAACTGAGACTTGTAAGATTTAGTTTATCGGGTAGGCTAGATGGCCACATAGTAGCAAAAAGTAATTCATCTGGAGAATTGATTCCATTTGCAAGAGGAATAGATACACTAGTTTGTAAAATTTCCGGCTCATAACGTAGTTTTAATGAATACTTTGTATGAGCATTCATTATTTCATTTGACATGATGGATATCATTTCGCCAATAACAATCAATTTACTAGTATCATATAAACGTTCATCCGACCATTGAGGACACTTTTTAAATAATATATTACACACACGATTGTGTTCGCGAATCCAAAGAGTTGACATGACAAATAAAAGTGGGTTCATACTTAACAATGGATGACCCATTGCCCATTTTGGATCTTGATTCTTAAAGTCATTAGAATGTACGATTCTATCAAACTAATATACATTTTAAAGGTAAATATTCTGGGGTGATATTAATATTTTATAAAATTTAGACTCTTAGACAAGAATACAATTTTTAGACCTTACTTTGATTGTTTTATGGCTTTTGAGTTAAATATTTTTTAGTTTTTATTAATATTTTTAATTTTAAATAAAATTAGCCATAAGTGATCAATTTTTATTATACACTTATTTTAGAATTTCTTTTTATGATATGATGTTTATGAATTTAATACTGATACCCCCGTAAGATTGGACATGTAGGTTCTTTTTAGTTACGCTATTATGTTTGGAGACACGTCAAAAGTGATGTAATTTTGATAGGGATGGGCCATTTTGTTATTAGGCCAGTCAACGAAGAAAAAATGGCGGAAAACAATCCCAACCAAATTTTTTTTTTTTTTTAAAGTTGAATTAAGATATGTATAATGACATACTAAAAGTCCTCATCGATTAGATGAGCTTTTTTTTACAGCCTCGCAAAAGTTCAAAAATATGAGCTTTTTTAATTTTCTCAAAAAATATTTAACTTACAAAAAAAAGTTTCATACAAAAGTTATTTAAAAAACAATTTTAAACAAAAAAGGTATCTTATATTTTTTTATTTAAACAAATATTTTTCGAGTTACATTACATTTAATATGAGTATTAAAATATATTTTCCAATTTTTTAGCTTCGATGCGAAGCTGAGAAGGTATTGGTTTTACTAAGATGTGTTTTTTTTTTTTTTTGTGTCTGTTACCACTTTTTCTCAGCTCTCACCGAACCGATTTCTTTCAATGATACGTCAAAAGATCACAAATCGTATCTAGTCGAAGACATTACCCTTAAAAATTGAAAAAAATTCCCTCGTTCCCCGTAAAAGGGGGAAACCTCCAAAAAAATTACAAATTTAAAAATCGCTAATTTTCGAAATTTTTTCAATTTTTTTTACTTAAAAGTGCCATAACTTTTTCAAAAATAAACATATCAATATAATTCTTTTTTATATAGATGCATAATATCATTACCTTTCATTTGGTATATTTTTTTCATAAATTTAACCCTTAACCTGCCCACAAGGGGGGATTTAAAATGACAACTTTTTCACAAAAAATTAATTTTTTTAACTTAAATTTTGAAAATGTTCCGGAAGGTCTGACACTTTTATATATATCTTAAATTAAAGCTAATGTAATATGCTTTATCATGAAAAAAAAAAATTTCGGACTTTATCTTATCTTCATGGTGAAAATGGCTACCGAATGCTATTTTTGTGTGAAAATTTTCGATTTTGTATTTTCCATTTTTAACTTTATTATGCTATAACTTTTTGAAAAATGTATGAATCATTACAATTTTTTTATGAGAAGTAGTATTTATATAGATCTTTCATTCGACATACTGTTTTTTTAAATCGGACCATTTCCCTAAATACAGGGGGGATTCAAAACATAAAAATGCATATAGAAAGTAGAACTTTTTCAACGTAACTTTTGAAAGTGTTCCGGAAGGTCTGACACTTTTATATATATCTTAAATTAAAGCTAATGTAATATACTTTATAATGGTAAAAAAAAATTTCGGACTTTATTTTATCTTCATGGTGAAAACAGACATTAAACTTAATAAAAAAAATACGATTTTTGTAAAAAAATTCTTTTTTATATTTTTAACTTTATAATGCTATAACTTCTCGAAAGATGTATGGATCAATATAATTCCGATTCTTCTCTCCTCATAACTCATCTAAGTCTATTTTCTCTCATCTTAACCACGATTGACGCTACACCTATACACCCTCTTATATGCTCGTTCTTTATTCTATCTTTTCAAGTTACTCCACTCATCCATCTAAGCATTCTCATCTCTACTACACTCATTCTCTGCTCTACTCTCTTATCAAACGCCCAACACTGTAAACCATACATCATAGCTAATCTCACTACATGGTTGTAAAATTTACCTTTTAGCCTCATTGGAATTCTTTTATCGCATAAGACACCAGACGCTTCTCTCTACTTCAACCACCCGCACTTAATCCTGTGTCTAAGAGACAAAGAGCGGTGGTATTGACGAGATTGTAAGACATAAGATACCTTATGTAAGATATAAGATACCTTTTTTGTTTAAAATTGTTTTTTAAATAACTTTTGTATGAAACTTTTTTTTGTAAGTTAAATGTTTTTTGAGAAAATTAAATAAGCTCATATTTTTGAACTTTTGCGAGGCTGTAAAAAAAAGCTCATCCAATCGATGAGGACTTTTAGTATGTCATTATACATATCTTAATTCAACTTTAAACAAAAAAAAATTTGGTTGGGAATTTTTTCCGCCATTCGCCAAAATTACTCCTTCGTTGATTATATGCATATATGCTATGGCAATACAACAGATTTTTAATAGAAAAATAATTTTTCTTAAAGTTGTTTAAATTCCATCCTTTAAACTTTTTAATAATAGCATACTTATTTAACTATATTAGGTATGAGAAAATGTTTAATATTAACTATAAAAGGTTTAATTAAGTAAATGTCTGATCGATAAATTTTGAATTAGTAAATTGGAAGTTAAATTTGCATACAGAGTGTGGATGGGAGTCATGATTATTTTTATTAATAAGTATCTTTCAATTGCAATGAAGTATGAATATAAGGGAAAGGCCATTGGAGCATTTCCTTGCATCAATAAATGTTGATATTAAATATAGAACAGTTACATCACTAATTCATGTTACATTATGTGATAAATAAAAGCCGAAAATGTTATTAAAATAATTCTTATTTTACAAAAAATTGAGTTATTGGTAATATATTTTCCTTGTTCTTATAACAAATTATGTTACTTATTTTTTTATATTTAATAAATTTAAAATAAAAAAATCATGTAAATTCTATGACATATTTTGGCTTTACCTTATGTATATTGAAAGTGCTTGATTTAGTATGCTTTTGGGTTTTTATACATATATGTATGAAATTAAAATCTCACCCAATAATTATTAGAATCATATTTGTTTGAAGGATAGACCATATGAACATTTTTAACTGATGATAAATATGGAGGATAATGTTCTCCATTAAAATGTTCGGTTTTCAATTTTCCTTTAGTAAAACTTCTCAACTGCTTCATTGTATTATCATTGGATCCGTATAATTGAGAAGCAGTTACCTGAAAATAAATATAAGAGCAACCACAATTCATTTATTGACAGATCTGTATTTTTCAACAATTTTATTTTAATGATACTTTATCTTAAAAATACTTCTATGAATTAATTTGTTTACAACTATAATTTTTAAGGACGTTATAGACATTATTGGAGATGTTTTGTCTGAATCACGCTTTTACTTATGCCTATGCTATACAGGCGTAGTATCGGTTCTGGTTATTATGGAGCTCAATGCTAAAACATTTTTGTGGGACCTTTTTTTGATTTTTAACTACGCTTAAAAAGGCCTCCCTTTTAATATAGGACTATAGACAAGTGATGGCCTTGTTCTTTTCCCGGGCCTGTATAAATGAACCTCAATAACCCGGCACATGTAGTGATTCGACTCTTTTTCAATGATCATTGAAAGTATCCTACAGGCTTGGTGTAGTACCGACTGCAATCGACGCCTTAGCGCTGATGTTCAGCTGCACTGTTTGCTGTTAACTCCCGGATGGGTGACTATATCGGAACTTTAATAGTGACACTTAACCTTGCTCCCTTAATGGTTCCATTAACCATTATGGGATTTTGTTAACACGACAGCCGGTGTAAAAATCCTGTCAAATCAAAAGAACCGACCACAAATCATTAGGGAAGATGATGATTGAAAGAGCTCTGCCATTATTATTAAATATAAGCCCGTTTCCGTGGTATCTATGGGTTCTAAACATCTTTTCTAATTTTTTAACTTCGATGCGAAGCTGAGAAGGTATTGGTTTTATTATGATGTGTGTTTTTTTTTTTTGTGTCTGTTACCACTTTTTCTCAGCTCACACCGAACGGATTTCTTTCAACGATACATCAAAAGATCACATATCGTATCTAGTTGAAGACATTATCCTCAAAAATTGAAAAAATTTCCTTCGTTCCCTGTAAATGATGAAATCTCCAAAAAAATTACAAATTTTATAAATCACAAATTTTCGAAATTTTTCTTCTTAAAACTGCCATAACTTTTTCCATAATATAAATTTAACCCTTTACCTGTTCACAGGGAGGGATTTAAAATGACAACTTTTTCACAAAAAATTAACTTTTGAAAGTGTTCCAGAAGGTCTGACACTTTTATATATATCTTAAATTAAAGCTAATGTAATGTAATTTATTATGGAAAAAAAAATTTGACCTCTGGACTTGTCTTCGTAGTGAAAATGGTCACCGAATGCTAATTTTGTGTGAAAATTCTCGATTTTATATTTTACATTTTTTACTATAAAATGCTATAACTTTTTAAAAAATGTATGGATCAGTACAATTTTTTCATGATAAGTAGTATTTATATACACCTTTCATTCGACATACTTTTTTTTTTTAAATCGGACTGTTTTCCTATATACAGGGGGGGTTGAAATCTGAATAATGCATATAGAAAGTAGAACTTTTTCAACTTACCATTTGAAAGTGTTCCGGAAGGTCTAACACTTTTATATATATCTTAAATTAAAGGTAGTGTAATATACTTTATTATGGAAAAAAAAATTTCGGACTTTATTTTGTCTTCATGGTAAAAATAGACATCAAAGTTAATAAAAAAATTACAATTTTTGTAAAATAATTTTTTTTTATTTTTTTAACTTAATAATGATATAACTTTTTTGTCTTCACGGTGAAAATGGCTACCGAATGCTATTTTTGTGTGAAAATCCTCGATTTTATTTTTTATATTTTTAACTTTATAATGCTATAAATTATTGAAAAATGTATGAATCAACACAATTTTTTTATGAGAAATAATATTTTTTAATAATCTTTTTTTCATTTGACATTCTTTATCTTAATCAAGATATTAATAAGGAACTAGCAGATCATGTAGCTTTTGGAATAATACACAAATTTTTTAAATTTTAACACTATCTAAAGATTTGCGTCGAAGCGTTTTTTTTTGATAGTGATTTTGGTCACTGTCAGATATCATTATACTTGATCCAACAATGCCACGTCACTACTGTGCTGTGACCCCCCTGTCCTAGGTTTTTTCTAATTATACTATTGTTATGAAGTTTTTTAAATTGTATTGTATGAAGATTGTATAATTTTCTTTTAGCCATTTGAATAAAATCAACGAGCTTAGATCTAAAAGAGCTAATATAGAAAAAAAATTTTCTATTTTTTAAATAATTATTAAAGTAAAATTAGAAATGGTAACGATATGTTTTTGCTTAAATAAAAACTCTACTTATTTCCAAGGAAATTTAAATCACTTTGCTAACATCATTAACTTTTTTACAAAATTTATTTTAAAAACTAAAAATTCATTTTTTAATTTTTTTACATTAGCTCTTTAATATTCAAACTTTAGATATAATTCGGGTAGTACAGCATTACTATGGTCCTGTATGTCGCCGAATTATCCAGATTATACATACATTCTTTAATTTATTTCCAAAGATATAAAACTAAAGATAGATGAAGATGATTTGTAAATATTTAGCTTTTCAATACCTCTAGTTTTGAGTCTGTGTTAAAAAATTGTAGAACAAAGTATTGATAAAATGAAAAAAATAATAAGTTCGTATTCTCTGGATTAGGAATAAACTTCATTTGAGACCTTTGAAATAGTGTTGTGTGTAATATAGACAGTTGTGGCATCTTTTGGCCTAAAAAGTAACCCAACAAAAATAAAAACCAAAGATCATTACTATTATCTAAATTAAATGATCAGTAAAAATTATCTATGGACATAATAACTATAAAAATATTGCCATTTATTATTTTTTAGAAAACTGATCATAAACGCATGTTGCATACATTGTACTCTAGCATTTTTAAAAAGAAATGGTTTGGACATAAGAACGATGAATAATCGGATGAAACTATATGTTATCATATGAAACTTAAGTTTCATATAGTAATTACTTCAATGAGTGGTGGTTAAACTATTTTTCCATTAGAGGGGATACCTTTTTGATACAAATCACTTTAGGAGCTTTGACCTTATATCACAGAGCTTTTTCATTTGTATTACTATACCAAAATGATACTATAAATTATTAGATATACATAAATGACTTCTTAATAAGCCTATTTTAAATATTTAATTTATTTTATAACTATCCCCGTTGAATTTATCTACGTATATATATTTTTTTTTATTAGCTTTCAATACAAAGTATTATTATAGCTTAACAATTAAATAAAATGAGAAAAGAAAAATCTACGTATATATAATAATAAAAAATTTCATTTTCTTAATGTAAGAATAATAAGTTTATGATATAAAATGTGCTCAATATAATTTAAATAGAATTATCATACTTTATATTTACATACATATTTCATCATATTTATCTATCATACATAATTTATATTTTTATATTTTAACTTTCATTAAGTATTCTATATAAAAGTTATACTAAAATGTCAAAAATATAGCCATAAAAAAAAAACAAAATCCTCGTGATATGTTAGGATTATTACGAAAATTAATTTAATTTCATAATCACTTTATTTTTAATTTTTGTTAGTCCAATATATAGACTGGTCTTATAATCTTAAGATTATGCAACGACTTATTTTTAATCAAGTCTATTCATTTGTCTTTTAGCTATGGTAATTTCAAAATTGTTTTAGCCAAGAAAGTTTACCACGCTAATGGTAAATAGAATAACCAAAAAGATTTTATCATACATAATATAATATGACAAATGTAATAATGATTTAAAAAATAACATACTTGTGTTCGAAGGTGGAAGAAGCCTTGAATATGGTGTTCCATATCCAGAATTAATACTTAAATAATTTTTTGATCCGAAATAAAATACTAATTTGGTACCTTGTTTGAGATGAACTAAGTTTTTAGTTAAATTAATAGTTAATTTTACTAATTACTTTAACTAAAATTTTATTTTAATTGAAAAATACATACACTTGTATAAATTTTTTAGTTGATATTTGTATGTAAATGGTATAAAAAACCATACATTTCTTGGTTCACCTCTGATTAAATCTGTATTTTTATTATAATTCACTCCTAAAATTGACCTTATTTTATCCGCCTGTTCTGGTTCTAATAATGTGTAATCTAAAATATATACGTGTTTGTATGCTTAAACTAAAGTATAATAGTATAGAAGATGTGACAAAATGAATATTAAGGGTAAAATTTAAAACACTACAGTTAGTTAAATACCAAAAGTAATATACAAATGCACATTGCTCGTTATAACTGACATAAAACCAAATGATAATAGGTAAATAATAATATTCTCCAAAGTTACCATTACATATTAGTAAACTTAGGTCAACACACAGGAGCACGTACGTTTGTTTGTTTACAATTGGATAATGGCCTCGTTTCGCGCTATGATTTAAAATATATTTTTTCATTAAATTAAAAATTTGAGTAGTTCAATGTGTCATCAAAATTATAACTTATCATGAGAATACCGAGATCATGGTTGTAGAAACTGTAATTATAACTGTCTGTGAGAGTATGATAAACCATAACATCTTTTCTAAGTGGACTTAATGATTAAAAAGTGCCTAAAAGTCTGGATAATCTCAAGTGATTGAGAACAAATTTCCATCAATATAGTTTTTTATACAAAATATTTAAAAAAACACTAAAGTTATCTTTTAGGTTTCTTTTAAAATACTTATTATTGAATTTACTTATTATTGCATTTGTGTTTTTTTCAAGAAATTTTATAATTGCGTATGATAATATCAATAGAATTACTGAACGTTTTACTGAAAAAGTGCAAACAAAAAGTAGAATTAATAACTTAATAAAGAGTAAAGTCAATTTATAGAGTGTAAGTCAACATTTTTACATATTAGTTGTTTAATTATAATAAATGAATTGCAAAATACTTACGATGAAAAAAATGAATGATTAATATAGTGTTAAATCTACTTAAAATAGTTGAAATAACTAAATAAATGGTTGGATTAACCAAATAATCAGTTATTCCAACTGTTCTAATTACAGTTGCAACTATATAAACCGTTTATATGGTAGTTCCAACCGCATTTTATACGTGTATGGGTGAAAAAATTTCAATTGAATTATAAAATAAATACAAATTGGTGTTTTCTCCGTCTTCAAACAATATAGTTATCCGTCATGAAAATGATTAAAAAGATTTTAAAAATAAAAGTTCACATCTATATTCACACAACCCATCAAGTTTGTATATATTTAATATGTTTTATTTATTATTACTTACCAGCATATTTTAGCATAAAGTTCTTTATGTAATACATTTTAAGAAATAGTAACTAATTTAAATTAAAAACATTTTTTTAAATTAATTGTATTCATTTAAAATAAAGAAAACAATTGTTACTAAGGAAACGAATTCCAGATATATTTATTAATGTATTTATTTATCTGGAATATATAAATAAATATATATATATATACATAGTTGTAAAAAATACTTTTAAAAAGTATTTTAAATAATATTCAAATATTTAAAAAAAAATGTATTTAAAATACTATTTGAATACTTTTCATACAAAAGTATTTGAGTAATACTCAATTACTTTACAAAAGTATTTCAAATACTAAGAATATAATTAAAAAATAATAATAATGTTTTTATTTTAACTAAGAGCAAAAGGTTCCACCTAAATAATTACCAAGAGGGTAATTTGAGTCAAATATTGAGTACTCTTAAATTAAGAGAACTCATTTATTATTTTCGATATTTTTTGTTAGAGGTAAATAAAATTAATTATTGGAGACTAATCAGTGAAAAAAATAAATATTAGTACACGTGTAAAAACCTGTAAAGTATGTCTTATTGACAATAGAGTAAATCATTTGAACCTGCAATAGGCTATTGTACGTTCAACTGATGTATTAAAAATAGATGTATACATAATAGCATTTAGATAAGCACAATAATTATGTTATACTATAATGTAACATATAAAATAACAGAGAATTATTCTCAATTTTCATTTTGACTGAGTTTAATTTGCTTGCTGTGTTATGGTTAGCAAATTAAAAAAAAAAAAGTATATTAATAGTACTGAATATTAAACAGTATTAAATACTAAATAATTGTATTTAAAATACTACTCAGATACTTTTTATTAAATGTATTTAAAAATACTATTCAATACCAATGAAAGTATTTGAATACTTTTATTCAAATACATTTACTCAAATGCTTTACGCCTTTGTATATATATATACAGAGTGATCGATTAAGGATAAAACACTCATATTATTGAAAACCATTGAAAGCTTAAAATTTCCCTAATGGAAAAATTGTTTCTTTAAAAAATTCTACAATGTTTAATGTAAAAGTTAAATACAAAAATTATTAAAAGTGAAAACATATAACTATATGTTTAATTGCACCTATCTTCTCAGTACTCTGTAAGTTATCAGTTTAATGATTATTGGGCTACTGTGATACAGTATAGTAACACAGTGGGCCGGTCGGTTTCTGCTTTAAATTATTAACTTAGGTTCGTGCCAAAAAAAAATTTTGTTCATTTCATCTTTTTACATGATGGTGATTTTTTTTAATATTATTTCATTTTATACTTTCAGTTCATTTTATTTTAATAGATTACAATTATTTCATAAATATGATCCATTCCCACTGTGATCCGGATTAAGAAAATAATATAATGGAGAATGCACGTATACACATTTTCCCGTTATCTTTAATATTTAAAAAGATACACGCAAAAAACTATACAGTTTCAGTAAATAAGGAAATAGGTTTCTATTGTTTATAACAATTGACCTGTTTCCTACGTTTTAAACGCTGTATTTCTATCTCTTTAAGACAAATGAAAAAGTTGCCTATAATATTTAACGTTGATAATGATTACTTTATTCCCGCAATGTGTATCTGCGATTTTTTTTGCGGCTTTTTGAGTTAAATATTTTTTAGTCTTAAATTAATAATATTTTAAATATAGTTTTAATTTTAAATAAAATTCAAAATTTACAACAATTTTTAATTTACTACATAGAACAAAATGAAAGGTACGGACCTTCAAGTTTTAAAAGATGGTCAAATAACGATCACTCTTTATAATTTATCTAATATAATTAATAATTACACTAATGTAACTCCCATTTTGTCATTTATCAACTCTTATGACATGAACAATTCCATCCAATATTAAGTTCATTGCATGTGCTAAGGTCGTAAATAGTATGGTTTGGAAAAAATACCCTGTCCCTAATGTAAAAAAACATTGAAGTACATGTGCATCTATCCATATTTGTCTATTGGGTCAATCCATGCCAAATCATCCAGAAGTGGTTGCACGACCACCTCACTTTTTTTTCAAACTTCAAAATTGTATAGTATATATTAAACAAATATAACTAGAGAATTAAAAACAATTTTTTTTTAAAATTAGTTCCCCAACAAAAATAATGCACTTAGAATACGTGTATTTTTATAAAATTTCTAACTTTGTAAGCCTCTAAATACGAAGAAAATTGTTTTATATATTTTAAATTTAGTTAAAATATAGATTATACAATACCACATTTGAAAATCACTCTAAAATAATAACTTCTTAATGGTTTTAATTGAGCTTAAAAACAACAATTTACACAGAAAGACGCCATTTTTAGAAAGACATTAAAGTTTAGAATTTTAAATGCTCTTTTTTTTTTTTTTATGTCTGTTGCCACTTTTTCTCAGCTCTCACTAGACCGATTTCTTTCAAAAATACGTCAAAAGATCACAAATCGTATCTAGTTGGAGACATTACCCTTAAAAATTGAAAAAAATTCCCTCGTTTCCCGAAAATGGGGGAAATATCCAAAAATATTACAAATTTAAAAATCGGTAAATTTTGTCATTTTTTTCTTTTTATTCTTAAAACTTCCATAACTTTTTCAAAAATCAACAAATCAATCTAATTTTTTTTTATACTAAAACCTTAGATATTTTCCTTTCATTTGATATCATTTTTTTGAATATTTATCACTTAACCTGCTCATTGGGGGGGGATTTAAAATAGTAACTTTTTTACAAAAATTAACTTTTTCAACTTAATTTTTGAAAATGTTCCGGAAATACTGCGTCCTTTAAACATATATCAAATTAAAGCTTATTTTATGTACTATAAAATGGAAAAAAAAAATTTGTCCCGACGACCTATCTTCTATGCGCAAAATGCGTATTCAACCGTATTCAAAAATATGCTATTTTAACAAATTTTTTTTTTATAAATTAAACACTATCTACAGATTTGCATCGAAGCATTTTTTACGATAGTGATTTTTTAATGTAATCTTTTAATTATAATAAGGTCAATTTTTAAATTTTAATTCCATTAAATTAATATTGAATAATATTTTTTTTTTAAATTTTTTATATTGAAATAAACATAAAAATGTGAATTTTGTTTTAATAATTAGCTAGTTTTAATCTAAATATAGCATAAAGAATAAACCCTGAAAATTAAAAAAAAAAAAGAGGTGGTCGTGCAATCACTTCTTGATGATTTAGCATGGTTTGATCATTTGTATTATTTTCCTCGTTTTCATTATTCGAGTCACCGTGGGAGATGAACTATTTTTTATTAGGATATTAATTCATCTACATGGAGTAATATATAATATCTATTTTCAATTTAGAATGAATGAATTTTAAATTTTTGTATTGTATGGTGAACCTAGAGTGTATGCAAAATTGCAGATCCATTTGATGTGGGGAAGTGGATCAAAATTGAATCCAAAAATTTGTAGCATAATGGAAGAAATATAAACTATGTCAAGTTAAATAAGCGCTTTTAGAAAAACATATTCTATTATTATTTATTAAATGTGTATATTCCATTAAAGACAAAGTTTTTATATATTATAACTATTATTATTAATTTATCTAAAATATATTAGTTACAAATCAGAAATAAATCCATATTTTTATTATTGGTTTATGTCTGTATCTATTTGACTTAAAATTGTACATTAAAAAATAAAAAAAATTTATAAATTGTCAAAAAGTGAAAAATAAATAAATTATTAAGTAGGTAAATATAGGAACTTAATAGTTTGAAATTATGTATTTGTACAATAGCTTAAATGTAGTTAACACTATTTTTTGTTTTTAAGTAGTGTTTTAATTATAATAATGTTATATTAACTGTTTAACCTACCACTATTTTAAGTTATAGGCTGAGACCCATATAGTTAAAAATTATAAGTAAAAAGGATTATTAAAGATCTCAAGTTAAAAAATTTAACAATATTAATTAACAGAAAAAGAAGTATACAAAGTAATAGTTAAAACAAACAAATGTTTTACAGATCAACAGAAATTCCACACAAAAAATATCTTAAAAAATGACTAGATATTCAATAATAATTTAAAATTTTTATATTTTTACACTAAAACGTGAAAATATTACCTAGAAAAAAATGTTCAATGTAAAATAAACTATGGTTATATATAAAAATCTAATAACATTATGTGGCTTTCTTTGTTCCTCTTGGTTTGATGCTTTCACTAATTTGCCACATTGCTTCTTCACATAGAAACTCATCAAAATTATTAAAAAATGCAATGATGTGTTCATGTTTTTTAAAACTATAACTCCTAATAAACAATACAAGAGAAAGAATAATTTATTATCCAATAAAAATTTTAATTTAATTTAAATTTATTATTATCTTCTAATTAAAAAGAATAAATACCCTTTTTTGAATCGTTTCATATTTTCCACAATATTAAATTGTTGCCATCTTTTTGAAAAATTGATCATATTTTCTGGTATGTAATCATTGTTTCCAATATGCACAAACGTTAAATCTTGTAAAACTAATCCTCTATGTAAAATGGTTATAATTTATATCAATAAAAATTTAAAATATTCATTAAATTATAAATAGTTACATGTAAGGAATGCAAGGAGGATTTGTTTCAGCTAATGCTTGTCTATAAGCTCTAAAACTTGATGAACTATCTATTAAAGCACAATATTCTTTTAGTCCTTCTGTTATATATTTCTGCCATTCTAAACGTCTAATTGGAGCACTGTCCAAAGCTGATAGAAGTGCAAGATATGAATTAAAGTTGTTCATTTTTCGCAAACATTTCATTATTTTAATAAATTTTAAAACATAACGCTCACGATCTTTAGCTTCATTTTGTTCGAGTATTCTTGACCTTGCCCTATTTGATAAAGAGATAAGTTTGATAAATAAATTATTCATAACATCTATCTACTATAAAAAAACTATACATTTGAAACATGGAATAATGCAAAGTATTTATATTCTAAAAGTAAACTAAAATTAATAAATTAAAATTGTTTAGAATTTAATATTATTTTTTAATTATTTAATTATGTAGGATAACATTGAAGTAATTAAAATAGTACAATACTTAGGCATTTATTATATTTTTTTAAATTTCAAATCAATAAACAAAGTTTTCTAATTTTTAGCTTTGATGCTTGCTGAGAGAGTATTTAGTTTTAATATAATGTAGCCGAGTTTAAAAAATAAAATAATAAAACTTTTAATATTAGTTGTATTTTTATTTGGATTTTCTTTTTTAGCCAGGCAGTCATATTGAAAACAAATTTTTTTCTATTTACTACACTATATTATAATAATTTTTAACAATTTTAAATAAAATATTTATAAGAAATACTATGTTGAGTCACCTAATTATTGCTCTCTTCAGTACTAATTCTGTTTTTTCAAATGTTTAAACTTTACCTATCAATGTTTTATGAAAACTTAGGCATTCAAATATTCAATTGTATAAATCAACAAAATTTTAATATTTACCAATAAGACATTTTATTAAAATGTTCAGTAAACTCTGTTAGATTAGGACTACGTTCTTCATTCTGTTCCTTAACCCAAATAAGTACTTCAGGAATTTCTATTTTCATAAATAGCTCAGAATCCAACATAGTCATTTGTTCAGCAATTAGTTCGGTCTTATAATCTAATAATGTAGCTTGCCGTGTATAAATATTTTGAGATGGTAAAAGAATATTTATAGTTGTAGTATGCATTAATTTTGCTTGATATCTTTCTAAAAGTTTAACTCTTAGAGCTTTGGCCATAGTTAAATCACCAGCACGCAATAACTGGTAAACAAAGTCCATAAGTACTTGTAAAACTTCTTCATCTAAATCTGTTAAACTAAAAATAATTATAAAATAAATTTATTGATTTTATAAAGATTAGAAATAAAATACTTTTTAAATATAATAATACTCACGTTAAATCACTAACAACTCTCACTAATAATGAAAATGATTCTCGACCAGCTCTTTGTCTGTTCAAATCACCAGAGTTTTGAAATCTTTGATATCGCATACATAGTTTTTGTATTAGTTCCAAAGGACATAAAAATGTTCTATAAGTAGTTAAAAATGCTTCTTGATACATAAAATCTAAAATTTATAAATAAAATAAATAAATAAATAAATAATCACTCTTAAATCCATCTATTTTCCAAACTTAACATGCTATAGAGGGTGGTAGCCCTTTTCACGTGTTAAGAAGTTAAAGTTAGTTCTTGGCTAGGCAATGATGGCTGGGTATTATGGTCAGCTTTACCAGACACCAAATGCCACCAATGAAAAAATCAAAAAAAAAATCTCGCTTGTACACTGGACATCAAACCCCCCGGTATTCCGTAAGCTGGAACATACGTTTCTACATACTAGGTCAGACCAACCTAGGGCATGATGTGCGCCCTTACCATCCGGTGATGGCCGTGCCCGCCACACTTCTCGATGTGGAGGAATGAACGTAGGAGGGCTATGTGCTTGGCGAGACTGATGCCGAACCTGGGAGGACCAAGAGAACTGCGACACCGACTCCAAGTCAGCGTTGTTCACTTGGTCCTCCTGTACGGGTCACCGGTTTGGGAGCGTACTCTAAAGTACTAGCCCAAGAACGTGGAGGACCTGAACCGGGTTCAGAGGAGGGCCGCCTTTCGGACCGTGTGCGCTTACTGCACCATCTCCGGAGTGGCGGCTATGGTCCTGGCTTCTTTGCCGACCGCGGACTTGCTAGCAGTCGAATAAGATAACGAACACGAGCTCCTAAAAACCACTGGTCCCGCTTCGCGCGGAGGACCGGCTGCAGTTTCGGTGCGTTACCGTGTCCAACTGGCTGAGGAAGAAACCTGAGGAACGTAAACGAGGTCACTTATCGGATACCTTCACGGTATTTGTAAAGAAGCCTCCCTGACGTACGACCACTGTCGGGATCGCCCGGGAGAAGCGGACAATGCACTTTCGGTGTGAGGTGTGCACCAGCGAGCGGGAAGAATTGGAGTCCTGCTCGGGGTCCGCGTTCGGTGTGAGGTCCATGGTGGACCTCATGTTGAGAAGCCAGGAGGGGTGGTCTCTCGTTCAGGCGTTCGCCGAATTGGTGATGAGCCGAAATGAGGAAGCGGAACGCCTGAGGCAGAGACTGCTCCAAGGACCCAGACAGGTTGAATTGCGGCGCTGGTTTGTATTGTGAAATATTTTCTAACCCTCACAAAATTCTGCCTCATGGCAAGGAGGCTAGGGCGGGCACGGGGAGCTTATGGACGAGGATTTTAACGTTCACTCCACGGTGTAGGGATTGGCGGACACAAATTAGCGTGGCGAGGACCTGCTGTCAGCACTCAAGTTGGCCAACAGGGGCTCCATCCCGACGTTCGAGGGTCACGCCATGAGCTCAGTGGTGGACGTTACGCTGGTGTTCCAGTCGCTTCACTCGTACGTGACCGGTTGGTCGGTTCTTCCATACAGGGAAAACCTTAGCGTCCACCGGTACAACGTTTCGCGATGAGCGAGTGGGCTGGCGGATCGGTCCGGGAATTGACGTTGATGCATTCGAGACGGGCTTACTGCTCGCTCAATGGTCGACAAGTCTCCGCGAGCGACGCGGTGACGTGCGTGCGGGGTTGGAACACTGCTCCTAGCTGAGGGTCTTCCCCAACACGCAAAGCGATCGGTACGACGAGGAGAATCTCTTAGGCTTGTCACCTTTTTTCAGAAGCACTCCTGACCTTCCACTTCATGAGGAATTCACCCTCCAGGAGACACCGGTTTGCATGTTGGGGAAGATCCTCGAGCAGCTCCTAGTCACCCAGATCGAGGCCCATCTGGCCGAAGTTGGCTGAACGGGTTTAGGAGGTGGAGGTCCACGCACGACGATAGATGTTCCGGTCGTACTCTAGCGAACTGGTATCTCCTACGAGATCAGACCCGTAACAGGCGACGTCCCGCAAGGGTCCGTTCTTGGGCTTTACCTGTGGATCATTGCGTACAACGCGGTGTTCTACGTTCCGCTACCACCGCACGTGAGTGTCATCTGCTACGCAAACGACACGCTGATGGTGGCGGAAGGCATCTCGTCCAAGGAGGCTGGATCTTGTACGAACTGCGCGCTCAGCGCAGTCATTGCCTGGATCCAGCAGGAGGAGTGGATTAAGCCTCGACCGGGATAAGACCGAAGCGTCCTGTTATTGGGCAGGTACAAGTTCACTCCTTCTCGGCTCGTCGTTCTGGGGGTGGAAATCCCGCTTAAGGACTCCATGACTTATTTGAAACTTGTCCAGGCGTTCGTTGAATCCGTCTTGAAAAAGAAGGAGGAAGCGGAACGCCTGAGACAGAGGTAACCACGCCGTCTGCCACAGGAGAACCTGAGGCGCTGGTTTAGGTCGGCGTCTTAGGTTCTTGTTTTAGTGAGTTAGTTTGTCAACCGTCCCAAACGGTTCCCGCCTGGGATCTGGCTAACGGGAGAAGGGCACACTACGTTGTGAATCATCCTTTGATTAATTTCGTGCTGATTCACAAAGTGGTGGTATGAATTATAGAGATGGCGTGGGCCGCCCTGAAGAAATGCCTAATGGCAAAAATGTCGGTCTGGAAAAAGAAAAAAAAAAGGCCAAGCCAACCCTCTAAAATTTATACATTAATTTGTAGTTTTAGTAAGTAAATTTAGTTTATAAAATTGGATATTATTTTTAATTTAATGAAAACTAATAAAATTAAAAATTATATACTTAACCATTTTTCTCTGCATTAGTAGCATGAACAACTAAAGCATCTGCATGACCTCCACGAACTAACGGACCATCCTCTTCGGGTTTTTTAAATAACAACCAATTTGATACATTTAATTGTTCAATTATATTGATTTTTTTTAAATCATCCTGTGGAGTTTCAGAACTGCATGAAGGAATTTCCCTATATATAAATATGTATTATTAAACTACTGAATATAAGTACTAATTATACAAATTTAATTGTATACTATGTTTAATTTAATAACAAACTAATACTAACTGAATTTCAATACATTGAGAAGGATTTGAAATACAGTTTTCTTCAGTTACGTATACTTTGTTTGGAGCTTTTTGGGGTGATGTTTGTTTACAAGAAGACAAAATTGCCTTTCCTCGTTTTGGTGGTAATTCTGGTGGGTTAGATTCACTAGAGGAAAATTCTGTTATTAGAGTATAATTTTAATTATTTTTGTAACTTACTTATTTAAGTAGTATGATTGGTTTGAATTTTCAACACTATAATTTTGCATTTCATTATATTTTTGTGGTGAATGCCAATTACTTTGATGAAGCATTGTGTATGTATGTACCGAATGACGTAAAAATTCAGTAGTGTTTCCATGAGAACAGTTACCAAACATTTCCATATAAGCCATTACTGGAATTATTTAATGATCAAAAATGAATAAAATAGTTTATTTTAGTTAATTATTTCATTTAATTCAATCAAAATTCAAAACACTAAAAAATTATAAGAAAAAAATCAAACTAATTCAAGTTAAACATGCAAAAACACTTTTGAATAATTCTTACCAGAATAAGCCACTGAATGAAACACTAGATAAAAAATATTTTTCATCATTTCAATTTTATAATAAATTAATTTTTATGAAGGGTATGTAGACAAATAATTATTAGTATCTTTGATTTTAATTAATTAATATTAATTATTTGCATCAATTTTTCTAATTTATTAATATTAAATATAATTAATAGTTTAATAATTAATTTTAAATGTTAATGAGTTATTAAATCAACAACATCTAATCATATACAGCAACAGTGTGAATCTCAAAAATCGACAAAATAAGATATTTATCAATAATGATATAATACGTGTTTCTAATTATTTTTTATATATATATATATATATATTTTTTTTTTTTGTAATACTCATAGTTTCATTGTATTTTATATAAGTAAAATTATCTTTCAAGTTAAAATATATAAAATCAAGTAGGCGGCCTATCTATCTCAGCTGGTAAAGCATAGTGCTTTGGTGTAATTATAATGTAATTCAATTCTGTTATATTGCACTATGTAAAGTTTTCCCATCCTTTCTAGCATAAGCAATAATTTTTAGAGAGAACATTAATCATGATTAAAAAATTTTCAAATTCAAATTTGCTTTTCGATCATCCTGCAAACTGCATAACTAAGAAACATACTGTTGTAGTATAAACAATATATGTATACACAAAAAGTAAATATGTACATACAAATAAAAAATCATGTTTACCATTTTTTTTGTATAATTTTTAGTCAGTTTTTGAATTTATAAACTTCAGATTTTAAGACATAGTTTTTTTTTAATATTGGCCTCAAACTAAGTATTTAAAATGCTTCTAATTCATAGAATAATTATTTAAAGCTGTCTATTAACTAGTAATTTTATTTTTTTTGTAATAATAGCTTTGAACTAGTTATTTTATAAAATAATTATTTTTTTCTTAATAAGTAATAAAAAAGTAAAAGTTCAATGTAATGTAATAAATTATAATAGATATGCAAATGTACATATTTAATTTTTTCAATTTTAATTAAATTAAGTATAATAATAGAAATTATAATTTGTTATAGTTGTTGTTTTAAAAACATTGACTCATTTAAATATTATAGAGTCATAAGTTTGTGTGAGATAGGGTCAAAACCCAAATTATGAAATATTGTTGCAACTCATACTAGATTACTCACTATGTTTTTTTTTAAGTGGCAATGGAGGTGGATTAGAAGAATCAGCAACTGGATTGTCTAGTGAAGCTGTATGTGTCAATGTTTGAATATTACAATGACTACTATTCTTGTGAAAGTTATACTGTGTTCCCAATTCATCCATTGATAAATTATCATAAGTAGATCTTAACATTTGTCTAACATTACGTTTTTTTTCAGGTACAGGTGGAGGAATCTATAAATAAATTTTTAATTTTAAGAATTAGATAGTTAATAAATAAAATTATAAAATACTTCATTAGTAGATGACGACTTATTAATTTCATTAGAAAATATGGTTTGATTACTAATTTGATGAAAAGTTGTTGATTTGGATTGTGTCCACACCTGACTAGAAGCTTGATGAATAAACATAGTTTTCTTTTCTATTGTGGCTTAAATAATAAACATATTTTTATTACAATAAGTATTTAATTTGAAATATTAAAATAAAACAAATACCTTGTTGTGGTGAATATTCAGAAAATGGAGAAATCAGTTTTTCATTACCTTGATCCATTGAAGTTGAACTAGAAGAACAGTTACAATATCCACAAACATGATTGGTATCACCTGATAAGTTTAAAACACAAGAGTGTAATATTAAATAAAATAAAAACTAAACATTCACAACTTACAGGTTAAAAATGAACCATCATTTTGAGCCATAACTACATTAACTTCTTCATCATTTAAAATTGAATCTAAAGAACCAATTGAAGATGAACCATCTGATAATTCTAACAGTTCCATAGGTATGTTACATGGGCTATATTTAGTAAAATTTTGTTTAGCTTGACGTTTTGGAGGAAGAGGCGGAGGGGAATGATTTGTGTCAACGTCTTCCAAACATGTCCTATTAAAAAATCTGATATAATGATACTAGATAGGATTGAAAAATCTACATTACGAAGAATAATATATAAAACCTGTTTTCTTTAAGGCCTATTATAGATTATTAAACTTATGATACAGAAATAGTAATTTTTTTTATTATATACAAACCTATTTGGTAAAGGAGGCTTAGAAGGAGGATTATTATCAAATAAATAATTATTGCTTGTTTGTTCTAATATTTCTCTTTCTCTTGGTGTTAATGGAATATCAGGCAATGAAACTCTTTGTTTTATCTCATCAGAAACTTCGAGAGAGCCTTCAGCCTTAAAATTATTTTTAATGGTTATTTGGCCCTTTTTTGAATTGGATAGGGATACTAAATTCTAAAAAAAAAAAAAAAATTAAAATAAAAAATTATATTTAAAAACTGTTATTTTACACCCTCTCACTTGAATAGCTACATCGACTAAATGCAATGTATCTGATACATTCTCAGTATTAATTGCTTTTTCGCCAGATAAGAGAACATCATCACATAATTTTATAAGTTGTGCTACACTTTGATATACTTGGTTTAAAGCAGATACTACTAAAGAACTTTGTTCATTGATATCATACGATTTAAATACACCACAAATAGAAGTTACAGTTTCTAAAACTACAGTTCCATTTCCAGGTAACATTTCTAATTTGTTTTTTGTCACTACATCAAAGAAATGTTTCAAGGCTATCTGAATCTATAAAATATACAGTTTATTAGTTGATCATATATCAAATTAAGTAAAATTATATCATACTTGTCTAACGTGAAAGTCAATGTCATTGAGGGATCTTTTAGGACTACTTCCAGATGAAGCATGTCTTTGCTTTGGTAACCAATTTTTGGGAGAATTGCTTCTAGAATTAATTGTGCTATGACTAGGCGATCGCATCGCAGATATAATGTCCAATAAATCTTCTTTAAAAGATCGCGCACGTCGAGCAAATTTGTTTCCGCTACTGTTAGTATTGTTATTACTCCATTTCTTACACTTATCATCGGCAGACACTCCTAATCATAAAAGGTCTATTGTTAAACAATACACAAATAACAATTCAACAGTGTAGAGTTAGCTACTCTCGAATCAACACACGTACACATTTCCTCGGTATAGCGAGACTACAGATAAATCATTTAAAAATAGAATTCCTACTTCCTTCAAAAAGTGAATAGTGGGGGGAGTAAAAGTTGTATTTTTCCATCAACTTGATTATTAATATCATTAATATAATTTGATAAACTCGCAATATGGTAAGGTCAGTAGCTAAATAGGGATAAATATAATAGTTTTTAATTATTATTTTGACATAATTATATAAAGGTAATCAAGGTTGCTTTCTACGCTTAGTCATCAGATTTATTTTTTTCATGATAGTTATGTGTTACATTCGAATGACAATTTATTTTTGAAATATTGTATTGTTATATATTAATTCTACTACAATAATATTCTAAGTTATACGAATATTTAAAGTATAAAATTATGCAAGCTGATATAATTTTTACATCAATGTTTACTAAAAATTATTCATACAAAAAATTTTTTTTTGTAAATAGTTCCTTTTTTATGTACTTTATTTAAAAATCATTTGACTTATTAAGCGATGAATATTTTTCAGTAAAAAAATACTGTTCATTAATTAAAAAAAAGACATCAGCCAATGTGTTTAAAACATGGATAAATAATCTACCTGTGTTTTGAAATATTTAAAAACCACTAAAATTTATGTGTTTATAGGATTTCTTGGTGATAAATTTTCAAGGTATTACAATTATAATACTCAAGACAAGATTTAGGAATGTTAAGGTTCAGGTCCATGCTAGGGAAGCAAATGGGGGAAAATGCAGTAGGGTGGCAAAAAAAAAGTGGTAATACTTTTTTTGTATAAGATGCGTTTTGTTTTCAATTATATTAAATAGGGGCGCTAAATATATGAGTGCTCTGAGGCGTCAATAGCAGTTAGCACGGTTGTTGGGGTCTTTAGTCATTGTTGGATAAACAACTTTAATAATTTATGTTCATAACGTTAATGGCCTTTATGAAAATATAAAAAATTAAAAAATCATTGACCTATTGGTGTACGTCTTAAATTTATGGAGTCTGATCCTTTGAATCCGGCCATGATAAAAGTAAAAAAAAAATTATAGTAATAGTAACATAGAATTTAAAAAAAAACTTTTAGGTTCTATATCCTAAGGACTCTGTGTATACAGAGTGATTTATTAACTACGTCTCACGAAATATATTAAAAAATAATTTTTTTTCTGATCGTCCCTAAACTTTAATAAGAAGAGAAACGTCATTAACAAAGAACCAGTTTAGTTTATTGCCTGTAAAGTCAACGATGTAGACAGTTTTTTGTGTGAGACAACTAATAGAAAAGTTTAGAGAAAAGAAGAAAAAGCTGTGTATGATATTTATAGATTTGGAGAAATCTAATAATGATAGAGATACCGAGAGAGGTTTTAAAGTGAGCATTAATGAGAAAAGGAGCCCCGAAAAGATACATTAATATAATAGAGGATATGTATAATGACACTTGTAACAGGTGTGGAAGAAGTAACAAAAAATTTTGGGTAAGAGTAGGAGTGCGATAAGGTTCTTCTAAACCCTTACTTATTTTTTATAGTGATGGATGAAATTACTAGAGAAATACAAGGAGAGATGCCGTGATACATGTTGTTCGCTGACGATATAGTGTTAACAGGAAAAAATTAATCAAAGGCTAGAGGTGTGGAGATCAGCTTTTAAAGAAAAGGATTTAAGAATAAGTAGGAGTATATAGAGTACGAGTTTGACAAAGGAGAATACGAGGTAGGTGAAATGAGGACATCAGTGACAATAAGCAAGGATGTTATAAGAGAGATGGAAAGTTATAAGAATTTTGGATCAGTTTTACAAAACAGCGGTGGTATTGACGATGTAAGACACAGAATTAAATGCGAGTGGGTAAAGTGGAGAGAAGCATCTGGTGTGTTATGCGATAATAGTGTAGCAGAGATAAGAATGATTAGATGAATGAGTGGAGTAACTAGAGAAGATAGGATAAGGAACGAGCATATAAGAAGGAGTGTAGGTGTGGCGTCAATCGTAAATAAGATGAGAGAAAATAGACTTAGATGTTATGTTATGAGAAGAGGGGAATTGGAAGTTGTAATAACAGTTATAGAAATTAATGTTGAAGGAAGAAGAGGTAGAGGAAGACCAAAAAAGAGATTGAGGGAAGTTATTGAATGCGATATAAGGACGGATGATGTGGGAGATCGTGTCAAGTGAAAGTTTAGAATTAGATGTCCAACCCCAAGTAGTTGAGATTAAGGCGAGAAAAATTAAGAAGAAGAAGACATATCTTTAAACAGACAAAATTTTATGGAAGATATAAAAACTCTATATGATTATACTTAACTAATTTTTAGTATTTTAGGAAGAAATGATCTCTAAGTACACCCTGAGAATTAGATTAAATTTTTAATACAAAAAATGAAATAGGGATATTTAATTTTTTAAATAGGTACTTCTAACTAATCCATAATAGCTAATGAATCATGAGACTAGAAAAATTATATACATTACATTTTGTTAAGTTATTGTAGATATAATATCATCTAGTACAAATTTTATTAATTAACTTAAACACTTAGTAATGTGTTGTTATCGAGGTTATAGATTTTTTGTGGTGATAAGGAATATTTATTTTCCCTTAAAACAATAAATATTTCTATGCTATTATTTAATCCTATAACAAAAAATTAGAGTGGTCGACCCCAAGTAGTAGGGATAAAGGCGAGAAAAAAAAGAAGATTAAAAAAAAAATGCTTATAAATTAAATGACGACGTCAGTTTTTTACTAAGTAAGGAACATAAAATAAATATTAAAATAAATAAATGTGTGTTATCGCGAATTGTATATATAAATGCTTATTTTATCGAAAGTAGTACATTTTATTTTTAATATTTTTGAACTGCAGCCCAATTTGATATAAATTGGCGTATTATTTTTAGTTTAATTTACGATTAAATTGACCAAGACAATGGACATTAAAGTACTCAGAAATAAATAAACAACGGAAATGGGACATAAAAAATGTTTATAGTAGCATACATCTAGATATGAGGAGGCACGTTCACCTTCTTTTAAATATATTACTGATGCTGCTATAAAGTAGATTAATACGTTGAATTAACTTACTATTATAAACTCGCACATTATTATCAACAAATCGTAAACATAAATATTTAAAAACTTAAAAATGGTTTATTGATTTTTAAAAATATATTATAATTGAATTTTATTTGTTATTATATTAAAATATTTAATTATTATTGCGTATAGTATGAATAATATATAATACAACCTTGAAAAGAAAAATGATTATAATAACTACCAATTAAAATTAAAACAAAAAATATATTTAAGTGCAAGTATAGTCTCAAGGGTGAGCAAAAAATGAAATTGTATGAGACCTTCTATTAAAAGGAAAAAGAAAAAATCATTTAAGATATACAATGGTAATTCTTCATTTGAGTTTGAGCTTAGTGGTAAGGGTCTATATGTCACCCTAATAACCAGAGTTGTTATATTTTAAACACTAATTGTTTAAAATAGTTTTTTATACGTGTTTTAAACATCAAGAATATCAACATTTGCATTGGTCTTATGACATGTTTTAAACAGATTTTCTTTTAAAACATATTTTTTAACAATCCTGTTAATAACCTAGGTTTATAAGATGACATCATAAATATCTCGATAACCATTTTTCTTTGCTTATTACTTTATATTTATAGTTTACATTATATGTTACATAATATATACAATTATTTTAAGACTGGATTAGCTATAGTCTACTTTTTACTTTACCAGTTGGTAAGATAAAAAATACCTTCGCCTTTTTACCTTGCCTCTCTTACTCACAATTATATTGCTTACACTACTAAAAATATTAGCATTAGCATTAATTAAGGTATATACAATAGATCTTGGTGTATTAAATTCAAAGTATTCGTAATAAATTAAAAAGCTTTAATGAAAAGTTCAGCTTATATTTTTGAAAAATGACCACTCAAGTTCATATTTTAAAAGCAATAACAGGTTTTACTTGACTCTGCAGTCCTAAAATTCATATATATTTAACACTATTTAAATAAATTAATAAAAATTATAAAACTTAAAAATGGTCATCAACTGTAAAAGTAAAATTTGTTTTAAAATTAAAAAATTGATATATATTAAAAGAATGACTTAATAAAAATAATTAGTGTTATCACCAATCATATCAATTTATTTGATAAGTTGTATCATATAATTGTTAAAATGTTTATAATACTAGTCAGAGTCAGAACTAAGATTATTTAGTTTTTTGTATCTCCTGAATAATTTTATAAAATATAGATATCTGTTTATTAGAGTAAATAATTAAATTATGCAATACACTTGATATTAAAAATATTTTATGTAAAATCAAAATTGTATCAAATAAAATGATATATAATATAAAAAGGGAATAAAGTTAAATAAAATTAATTAATGATTAATATTGAGATGCTGATATAATACCACCAATTATAGATATAAATATTTGTTTAGAAGAGTTATTTATTTCAAATTAAATTAATAAAAACAATTAAATAATACATGATAGTTGTCATTTCAATATATAAATAATAAATAAAGGATTTTTTTCTGTTGGTGAGTCTATATGTAGCATTAGTATTAAATGATATGACAATATAAAACAGAATATACTAATTCTAAATAAATTTTACAATGATTTTTTATAATTAAAATATTGCTAAACATTAGACTTTCATACCAAATTTATCTAAGATTAATTTTTAGGATATTTAAAATATCAAGGTACGAGTTTAAAATGAATGAAAAAAGTTATGATCATTTGAAAAAAAATATGAAACATGAGTAAACATTATTGAAATTATATATTTTATAAGAAATTTGTTTATATTTGCTTTTAATTCATTTATACTTACCAAACTTTAAAGCACTTATATTAAATTTAAAAAAAAACATAAAATTATTCAATTTAACATAACTTAAATAATTTTTTTGTTAAGAAAATAGTGCAAGATTAATTTGATAAACTTTTCAAAAAACAATATAACACAATTTCCATAATTATTTTCTCATTAAAATAAAAATTGGTAATGAGTGGTACTACGTTAAATACTAATAGTAAAACATAATTAAAATAAAATTATCTTTTAAATTCAAAATGAACGTTAATAATTGATTTAACTAATAATAAAAAAACACAATATTTTAGTTATTAATGTCGAAACAATGCACAATAAAATTACAAAAAATAGCCAAATTTTAAAATAGTACTATGGTTAGTCACTTGTTAATACTTACTGCATTGTTCAATATCATCATTCCTGTCAAAATCTTGCTTATTTGTTGAAGACATACCTTACAAACTACTTTACAGTAATCATATAACAAAACAAACCAAAACTGATTGCAAAACATTTTTGATCATATTATTTGTATTCCAAAAATAATACAACCACAGTAGAATATTCATCCACAAAACCTAAATATATATTACCATGTAAGTATTATTTTTCAAACAATAATATTATAAGCACTAATCATGATTTACTTAGTATTTTTGGGAGATCAAAAAACTATAATTAGTAATTTTTATTATACTTACATAATTTTCATAATTAAAAATAGCTGTCAATGCAATATAATGTGTTTATTGTATTCAATAATTAATTTATAAAAAATATTAAGTAATAGTAGAGAAATTTTTAAAATTTAAATAATAATATTTTTACATCAGTAATAAATTTAATATTAATTTTTAACTAAATTTCCTTCATAATTTACAGGAATTAAATTAATAAGTACTATAGTCTTATCATTATATCTCAAAATATTGTGTATCACATAAACATAATGATACCTTATTATAAATAGTATACCAGGAAATTTTCTACTTATTACTACCACAATAACATTAGACTATGGTTATATCCAGTTTATTTTAACCATGGTCAAAGGACTACTCTGATAAACATGCAGTTTAATTTTTTAGTGCTTTAATTCGAGCTATACGACTATGACTTTCTTGTTAATAAATTAAACTTTTTTTATTTGTATAATTAAATTTACTAATTATTTATAAGTACCTCTCTTTCAAAAAAAAAAGTTTAATTGTAAGAAGAAGTATTATGACTTTCTTTACAAATTAAAGAACGTTGTTTCTAACTAATAAATTAAAAAGTGGTAGAACATTTGTGTTGTGGTTCAATGAGTATGTATTATAGTTGGGGCAAGTGTAATGATATGTGATAGTGTTGAAAAACACTATCATAAGAAACGCTTCAGTACAAATCTGTACATAGTGTATAATTTAATAAAAATGATGAATTATTCCAAAAGCAACATGAACTTCTATTCCACCATTATTTTTAATTAGTAGTCCCTTGATTTATAAGTATAATATATGAATAAATACTTATTATAATAATTAAATTTAGTACGAAATTGATAATTAACAATTTAATATTGTAATTTTTACGGATAAATTGTATATTTCGTTACTTCTATGGTAAACATGTATAAAAAGTAAAGGGCTTTTTGAAACTTTCCAGAAAATAATTTTTTGTTAATTATGAATAAATTCATCAGTTTATAAAGAATCAGAATCAAAAATATACTTTTCCAAACCAATTATTCACACGGGTTTTATATTTGCAACTAGATCATTTCTATGACTTTTTTTTTTTCAGAATATTACTAAAGACTGCAAATAAAACATTAGGTGTCCGGATAACTTTTTTTAACATATGCATAGTTCTTAACATATGCTCAGAGTATTTACAAAAGTTTAATTGAAAAAGTTAACTGTTTGTTTAAAAGAAACTATATTAAATCCCTCTTGAGGACAGGAAAAAGGTCAGATTTAAAAAATATATGTACCAAAATAAAAGCAAATACCCAAGGTATTTATAAAAAAAAATTTAAAAAAAGAAATTTTTTTGAAGATTTTTACTTGACGGAGATTTTAAGGAAATTTTTTGAATTTTTGAGGGTAATGCCATCAAGTAGATACGATTTGTGATCTTTTGACGTATCGTTAATAAAAATCTGTCCGGTGAAAGTTGAGAAAAAGTGACGACAGACCTAAAAAAACACATTATAGTTAAATTAATACCTTCTCAGCTTCTCATCGAAGCTAAAATAAAATACGATAATAAGTTAAAATAAAGAAATAGTATTCAATTTTATTTTCAAATAACTAGGAGTGTTAGTGTTTAAAAGATTTTATTTTTATCAAAAATGCAAACTCAAATAAGTATTGTATCAAACATATAATTATGAATTGATATAAAAACCCTTCTATTTCAGTGTATTATCATACAAAATGAAAAACGATTTTATATAATTAGCCGGTAAGTTTGATAGTAAATCACGATGCGGCTTGCTTGTGTTTTGTTATCATTTTTGCATGTTACATAGGTTCCTAAACTACAGTCTCATTGACAAAGTGCGTAAATTTATGTTTTATAAAAATAAGCGTATTAGTTTTGGAAATAGATCTCAAAATATAGAATAAAATATTTTAAATTTATGTTATTTTTATAATATTAATTAAATATATTGTAATTAGTTAATTTTATTGTTTTACTCGTACTAAATGTTTGATATTTTTTCTTATTTTTAGTACTTACTTATCTTTAATACCTTTTAATCTAAAAACTTCTTTAAAAAAAAATTTTTGGATTTTAAAAAATTATATTATCTTTTTCATTTTTTTAAGTTTAACTTAAATAAAATTCTAATGCCGAACAAATATGTTAATGATTATTCAAAATATGATTCATCAGGTAAGATGAAAGTTTTTCTAAGTATCTTATGGTGTATAGAAAACAAAAATAAAAACTTATTAAATTGATATATAATAGTAGAACGCAAATATAATATTATGATTTTAATTTTACTTTCAAAAATATTCTTGTAGTACTTAAATATTATATTTTGTATAATTTTGATAAATCTACTAAAAGTAAAATTATTTTAAAATAGATGAGCAAATAAAAAGGTCTTTAACTCAATATATTTAACTAAATATCTTAACAAAGCTATATTATCACTGTTGCTGTTAGATAGTGAGGGGATCTCTTGAAACAGGAGCGAACCCAACCTACAAAAATGCTCCGGATTTTTTGGTTTACTGAGTATTTAAAAGAATTGGGTATTTTAGTTGAATATATTTTATATTAATAAAAAAATATAAATTAACTGTATAATTATATTATAAATTATAATTTAAAACTCATATTTAAATTACCTTTTATTATCATTATTTTTAATGTAAAATCTAAATTCCTTTTCTTTTTCTCATTTGATTTATTTTATATTTAAATTTATTTATATTTTCAATAAAAATTTCGGTGCCACAATGAAAATGTAATTTTGCAAGGCCAACAAGCCTCTCTTGGCACATATGAAATATTTGCCATTTTTTAATCTAATGTGAATGAATATAACTATAGAAATATGAATTTGAAAAAAGCAAAAACTAAATTAAAATTAATCAACAACTGAAAAATATTAAATATTAACAGTGAATTTATAATCTCTGTCAATCATAATATTTTAAATATAATTTGTAAAAATTTTCTTGGATGTATTATATTGCAATACTTACTACGTTCTAGGGAGGGGACATTGCCCCTATGACTCCCCCAATAGATACTACTGTTTTAAAATATACTTGGATTCAACACTGGATAAGTAAATTACGTTTTAATTATTAGCATATGTGGAATATGAGGGCTCTTACCTATGGGTTTTTTTAATGTAAATATTTCAAGCTCTTCTTAAAAAAAAAGATAAAATTGCACCTATGGTGTGATTGTAAAATAACCTTTGGTAGAATTTAATTTAACATATAAAAAACATGATTATACTTCTTTTTGTTATAATTTATAAAGTTATAAATAAGTTATAAATTATATTCCTTTTTGTTGAAAATAAAAAATCAAACTTCATATGAATTTGCCTTAAAAAAATTTATTTTCAAAATATATTTTTACTTCCTCGCGACCAAGTTAATCTCCAAGAATTTTTGCTAGCCTTCATATAATTTGTGATGTTTTTTTTAAACTCTTTGTTTAACATTTATTTTTTAGAAAATAATGTTTGTTGAGCATTCATTTCGTTAATTCTTTCTTTCGTTCTTACTTATACTTAATAGATGTAATGCTAATGGACTTGAACAGTGCTAGATCTATGTTTCAGTTACTGGCGTCAAACTAAAAATAAAAATTAAAAAAATTTTGATCATTTCGCTCACAATAAATTATTTTTATTTAAAATATATTTTTTGAATATCCGAAAAAAATTTATTAAATTTTGTTTTTCAAAGTTTTTTTTAATGTAATGATAGATATATGAAACTAAATCTTAATATAGGGTAAACCGAATCAAGACAATTCGGTATGAGGTGCGCACAATGGACCAACAGGTCTGAGTGCATGGGCATTATGTCCACCTCGATAATAACTAAAACTAAATCTTAATATACGAAGCGACACGCGTAAATATATATATATATATATATGCATTATATTTATATATAATAATGTAATGTATAATAATAATAAATATATAATATTTGACATATTAAAATCATTACTTTCTTAGCGTTGTGTTAAAATTAAAATTAAAATGAGGCTTATTTTAAAAGAAAAATTTAAGTCATTGCATATTGTTTGTATTAAAAGGAATCAGGAGTTAAATCATAGCATACTCATACATAATTTTGCATACACGCTAAAAATGTCAAAAACCTAAAATTCTTGAGGGCTGGTTGGTTTAATGAACTCCAAGTAAATCTAGCACTGGACTCGAGGAAAATTAATTCAGTGATTTTTACTTTAGAACCTTAAAAAGCCATGTTGGGCGTCTGCCTTTTAAACTAAAAAATAACTAATATTTTATATTATAATTTGTATAAAATTTTTGTGAAATCGCTATAAGCATATTAATACATTTTTCTTTAAAAATCTAATTTAATTACTGGTGGATAAAAAAGATATATTTTTATTTCCGAAAATTTTTTAGAATAATTCCTAATGAAATAAAGAGCAATTATGGTACTTAAAATTGTTTAGATAACTATTGCAAAATGATCGTAAGATCTATTTCTAGAGAATGTGCAAAATACGGAGTAAAAGTGATTAGGTTGAATTTTATAAATGTTTATTCATCTTTAGCGACGCTATAGTGATAATATTAGAGTATATATTGTTTACATAAAAATATCATAGCTATGGAGAATACAAAACTTTGCGTAACATTTTGATTGTGTAAACATTGTGTTTTGATGTCCTACTTAATTGATACTACAAAATCATATTCAAATGCTTATTATATTTATTCATTGAATTAATTGAAAATTCTATTTTTTCTTTTGGTATTTATTAACAAAGACTCTATGTATGTAAAGATATAATCTTTATTTTTTAAGATTACGAGTAATGTAGGATCTTATTTTCTTGGTTTTAGATACATCATTTCAAATATTGGCCTTAAAACTAATGAATCATGAATATGACTAGGAATTATATGCATTTATATTTTATTTTTTTGTTTAGTTATTCTGAACATAACATCATCCAGTACAAATTTTTATTAATTAACTTAAACACTTAGTAATGTGTTGTTATCGAGGTTATAGATTTTTTTGTGGTGATAAGGAATATTTATTTTCCCTTAAAACAAAAAATATTTCTGTGCTATTATTATTTAATCTTATGAAAACAAGTTGAAGTAATCTACCTATCCCCAAGAAGTAGGGATAAAGGCCAGAAAAAAAAGAATATTAAAAAAAAATGATAATAAATTAAATAATGATGTCAGTTTTTTATTAAGTATCTATTGAAGATCGTTATTGAATCAATTATTTTTTCGCCTAATAACGTAAAAAATAATTCCAGAGCCTGACTCTTTTTAATGTTGAATTTTGAAAAAAAAACTATTGTTTTTAATTATTTTATATATCATATACTTGATGGCGTAAGTAGATTTTCCGAGAGTTGTAAGTTCATTAATAGTCTGATCAACAAAACAATATTTCTAGTCTATTATTTAAAAAAAATCATGTATAATATACGTTTGTTTTGTATGAACGGCGTTAACTACTAGCGCTTTGTGCATACGACAGCAATGGTTATGAAATATAGTGCGGAAAAAAGCGGCGTGCACCAAATGATATCGCGCTTCGATGATTTCATTATAGTAGCCGGTAGACACTTAACGAGTAACTTACGTCTAATGTATATACATTGATTGTAAATTTGAAAAACCATCTCGTGTTTTAATTTAAATATTTTATCCATATATTTTTAATTATTTTATTTGATATAATCTGTTATACTTGTATATCAAGTCTTTCCTTATTGGTCTATTAGAACAAAAAAAATCTTAGCAATAGATTTTTACTATTTTCACGATAATATATTTTTAATTTTTTGTTTGTAAAACATAATAAATATTACAAAATGTCTTTCATGAAAAAAACTGATTCTTCTGTACCCCCTTGGTCTTACGAACATTTAGGTAAGTTTTGACCTTTTTTTTATTAAAGTATTGTTATTTAATATTCAACATATATAAACATTATAAAAATGATTGCCGTTTAATTTGTTAAAATTTAGTAATTATACAGTTTTAATATTTTTCATTCTGGTTAAAACTATTGTAAATAATAAAATATATATTAAAATTCTTGTTTTTAATATTTTTAAAGACTCGAAAGTAAACATTGTGTATTTAAAACGCCAAAAATTTCAAAACTTGCATTGGTTTTATAAGACATTTTAAACGTTTTAGACTGTTCACTTATTTTTTAACAAATTTACGATTTATTGATAAAAATATAATATTTTTTTATTAAATTAAAAATTTAATAATAATAAAATTAAAACATTGACGCCAAACAATGTTCATAATATTTTGGTAGTGAGTATGCATTGCGCAGCTCCATGTGTCTTTGGCAGTGAATATTATCTTAAGGTGGTGACCGGATCATTGACCGTTGTAAATATTGTTTCGAGTTCAAGGCCAACTTTGTCATACTCCTACGAAAAATACACGTTTTACTGTCGTTTAATTTGAATTTTATTAAAAAAATTTCCATTAAAAATATTCAATTGTATCTTCTTTAGTAGTATATATTTCCAACTTTTTTCCCTTATTGTTGTGTAAATTTTTTAAGTTTAATTGTTTTATTTTATAATGTATTATGATGTTCAATAAAAATGTGACTGGATAGATAATATAGAATTTATAACTATAAGTCTGCTATTACTGTTGTAATAAAAGAACTCTTATGATGAGAAGTGATCTTATAGGAGGTGAATCACACCTTTCAACCGAAATTAACGATTCAACAAAAATTAATTACAATTTAATGCGATTTTATATATTTATATAAAATAGGAATCATGAACAAAAAATTTAATTTGTTGTTATTTCACCTAGAATCCGAAGGATATTGATGATATTTTTACTATTATCATCAAAGTTTATAATCGGTGTAATTATAAATCTCAAACAACTTTTAGAATAATTAATTATTGAACTTTCATTATATATTATATGGTGTTTCTTTTATTAAAAATAATTTAACGACCAAAAAAAAGTCCTCATTTGAAAAAAGTTCAGACTCGTAATTTGTAATGTCGACTAGGCAAAAATGATGAAATATACCTCTCTTTTAAAAAAATATGTAGGACCGTCTATGATCATTGATTCTTAATATAATTTAAAAGGCCGTCCTTTAAACTATCTTGGAAAATGTTTACTTAATGAAACATGCACCGTCAATCAGAGTTTTGAATTTTAAACTACTCTAACAAATTCACGATTAATAAATAAATTTTATAAAAAAATCACTTGTTGAAATATGTATTTTTACATGGTTTACGACAATTGTCGTACATCTCTAAGATATAAATTGAGTTAAAAATTTTTTTTTTTTAATTTAACTTAAGTAAAAAGTGCTTTTTTTAGGTATATCAACATTTCGAGTAATATGGAAAATAAATTTTGTTTAAATTAAACTGCATTTAAAACAGTGGCGGCATATCCAGATTTTTTGAATAAGGAAAGAGTGTGGGGTTTGTTTGGGTATTTTATATTTTGTGCATATTGGATATTTATAATATTATATTTTTAACTTAGAAACAATTTTCTGCGAAGGAAGGTTATAACCCTTAACCTTCCAAGAATACGCCACTAATTAAAACCATGGTAAAAGGTGACTTAGAATGCTACAACTATTTTTAAGAATAAAGAAATGTTAAATATTGTTTTATATTCCTATGTTATTGTCTTGTTACTTTATAAAATATTTTATTATTATTCAAAATTTTTTTAATAGAAGAATTAATTATTTTGTATGTGTAACGATTTTAATAGGCTCCTCAATTGTGTAAAGAATTTTAGGACTAAACAGGTCTAAACTAAAATCGTTACTTTTCCTTTAAATCTAAGAAAAATTATTTTATTGAATAAAAATAAATATTTGGGACAATTTAAATTTAGTCTTATTTGCTTTTATTTCTATTATGTATGAATGTTTTAATGATCCTTTGATAATTATTTCGTAGGTTTTTATTCTCCTAATAACAGTAGTCTATTTTGCACCTTCATTTTTGTTTCCTAAAAGTAGGATATAATTGTATTGGAATTGTTTTTAGCTTTGAGGAGATATGTATGTGATGTATATGTATATATATACAAATAACATATATATAATAATAATATAATCATATAATATAGAATATATGTTTTTTAGAAATGATGAATTATTTGGTTGAGCCTAAAAACGAACTCTTTGGGGTAAGTTTACAATTTTTAATTTAATTAAATTATCGTTTCTAGTTGTATTTTGTTATTGTTATATTTTTTGTCAACTTTGATTTTTTTAATAATACATTATTTTTCTGTTCTACAACCGTTTCTGTAATTCAAAATTAATTTTGTTATCTTTTTTATTAGTTTAATGACTTGAAGATGGAACCTATATTTAGCGATGATATTAAATTTCAATCTGAAGATTGTGATATAGATAATGATTTAATGTTACAATGGAGCATTGATACTTGTTTTGGAAATGGTATTTATTTACTTATTTTTAAGACTGAAAATTAATGACTTTCTTTATGTTCTTTAGGCATTGAGCTAGAAAATAATGACTTCTCTCCCCCATCATCACCTTCATCTAGTGGATCAGCACCTAGTAGAGATTCACAGTCATCATACGAATCAAGCACAGTATAAACTCTTATTATATATTCTATTTAGTGATATTATTTTTTTACTATATAGTTAAATGATTTTAAATCTGTCTTATGACTAATTCAGACATTTATTTTAATAAATTTAAGTTAATACAAATATTATACAATTAATTTATTTTTTGAAATTAAAAAACTAATCTGAATTGCACTGGACCAATTTTTAAATGAAACAATTAACTTGGGTTTTCAAATCCACATATATCAGTTTCTACTTAAAATTGATATTGTTAGTGTAGATTGAGCTCTAGTAGCTTAAAATGCTGTAAAACAATATTTTTTCAAAATTTCCACTTTTGTTACACTTTTGTTCATGATCAAAATTACAAGAAACTATCTGTATAGATAAAAATATAAAATAGCACAAAGGTAGGCCTTACAGTCTCAATAAAAAAAAAATCTAAAAATTGCAATTTTCTTAAATTTAAAGCTGCTTTAAGGAGTTTTTAAACCCATGTTCTAATGAATTTAAAATTTTAACTCTGAAATTATGTTTTAATTTTATTATATAAATATATATAATTATAGTATATAATAAATTCACAAAAAATTAAAACGTTACTCTAGACGCCAAAGTAAACTTTTTTTATCACTTAATACTTGGCTTGTTAGTGGCAAAATACTAGTTTAATTCTTGAGTATTAAGAAGGTGATGTAAAGAAGAAAAAAATCAGAAAATAAAGATTTTTTCATGGGATTCATTAGACATTAGAATCAGTTTATAAATTAAAGAAAGAACAAACTTGGCCACAATCTAGATATTACTTTGATAGGTATTTTTTTTTTTTTAGGGGTATTTTAGAACTTGGGCTTTTTTTGCAGTTATAATTATTTTATTTATTTATTTTAGTTATTTTTGTATACAAGGTGATTTTTTTTATCATAACAGACTTAATTACTTACCGAGTAGAAATAATACTTTTTTATTATCTTTAATTAAACATTATTCTTAAATTATGTAATACTTATAAGTTCATTCCTTATACCTTGTAAGGGTGTCAACTTTGTTTTTTTAAATGGAAACACATTTTGAATTTTATAAAATTTTTGATCCTATAATTTAATAGTAAATGAAATTTGAAATTTGATTAAAACTTTATTTGTATATTAGGAATAAAATTTTAAAATTTCAAATTTTAGAACTAATATACATATATAATACACAAAAAATTACAAATACAGATAGCTAATTGGTTTTTTATGACATCACTATCCAAGTCTAGAGTGTTTATTGTCAATTATAACTAACAATAGATATGCTTTCTGTATTGCCAGTTGGTGTATTCATAAACTCAAAACAATGTACTTTACTACCATTGATATTAAATGCTGTGTATCTGCAAATGTTGATGTCATAAAAGACCAATTAGCTACCTGTATTTGTAATTCCTTGTGTAATATTCATGTATATTAGCTCAAAAATTTGAAACTTTAAATGTTTATATCTAATAAACGAATAAAATTATAATAAAAATTCAAATTCCATTTATTATTAAATTAAAGACTCCAACATTTTATTAAATTTTAAATATGTGTTTCCATTTATAAAAACAAAGTTGACACCCTTGCAAGGCATAAGGAATGAACTTAAAAAGTAATACATAGTTAATAATTTAAGAATAATGTATAACTAAAGATAATCAAAGAAAAACCAATACCTTCTCAGCTTCGCATCGAAGCTAAAATTATTTTTATTCTGTAAGAAATTGAGTGGGTTATGATAAAAAAATCACTCTGTATATTACTATAAATGAGTTTTAAATATATATATATATATATGATATTTATGTTTTAAAAATGAGTAACTTTTTATTTCTAAACATTTTGGTCTTGCATCTTCACACATTTTTCTAGGTCTCTTACAATCTAATGTCTTATAATATTTTATTTATTTATTACATGATGTCATTTTTTAGATATTATTATCATTCATGCCTGATAAAATAAATACAATTGTTAATGATACTATTACTCCTAAAACTTTAACTGCCAATGAACATAAAAGTAATGTAAATCTTATTGGTGAAACTCTTACTTCACAACATCAAACAGTATCCAAAAATAATTGTAAGTATATCTAATTTAGTAATTACTAATATTTTTTATTTAGAAAATACTTTTAGTTTTACCACAACTAATTAACTAACATTATTCTCTCTATTTAATTTAGATTTTTTTGTACTTATTAAATTATTATAAAATATTTTAATCTTCTGATCCTCAATTGTATTTAAATGTTAACAGTAAGTAATGTATATTGTTGTTTAAGATTTGTAATTTTATTTGAAAAATTAACATTTAGACCTTTTAAGTAAAAATGAGTTATTAGCTACTGATAAAATATATATTTGTATGTAAATAAATATAATTTTTTCTTAAGTTGACATGGTATCTTGTTTTCTTTGGCAGCACATCTTGTAATTAACCAATATAAAAGTGTATCAAGATCTGAATTATAAATAGTGATATCATAGCTTAGTGGTAAGGTTTGTCTTTATGATGCCTTGGACGCAGGTTATAATCCGATACCATACCTCTTGCTTTCATATGATTTCATGTATATATTCTATAACCAATTCTTGGTGGCAATGTTAAAATGTTAATTTTAATATTTTTAATTATTGTGTTATATTAGCATGAATTATTTTAATAAATCTAAGGTTTTAATTGAAATATTTCAAATTTTAGTTAATGCTTCTTCAATGCTTATGAACCAAAACATTCAACCCCCAAAAGCTACAAAACTATCAAGTAATTATTAAAATATTTTTTAACAATAAATTAATTTAATTATTTTTTTAAGTGCTTAAACAGTAAATAATAAATCGCACTCAGGAGTAATTAAAAAAAATAGATGATTATTTACCATTATAGTACCCAAAATCCAAAATAATTTTAACGTCTCCTCCATACTAATATTTTAGTATTAGAGACAACCCCCCTCAAATTTTTTTTTTACTTTCCGTGTTGACCATGAAAATTATTCACTGTTCTTTAAACACAATGTATTGTTTGGAAACTTCAACATCTTTTATAGAACGTAACTTTTTATGTTATAAAAATGTTAAAGTTATAACATGACTTTTTTTTTATTATAATTTACAAGAATATAACACAATGTTTAATAAGTCCCTTAATTAACTCAAAGATGTTGTTAATAATATCAAATTTACTTCATTTTTTGAAAAAACTAACTTTCAAATGATACATGATTGATTTTCATATCAATTGTACCATATACTATTATAAAACCACTGTGGTGAAAGTGATGTTACTTTTATGTTTGAAGTATCCTGTGAAATCAAATAGGAAATTCATAATGTCAGTTTTTTGGAATGCACACGGTATAATTTACATCAACTACCTTTTTCAAGGTAGTTTAACAGCGACTATTACATTGAGCTATTAATATCTTTGAAGGACCAAATTGCTTAAAACGACCACACATGAAGAAGAAAAAAAGTATGTTTCATCAAGACAATACAATGTGCCATAAAAACAATGGCCAAATGAAATGAGCTGGGCTTTGATCTGCTATAATCTACAGATCTAGCCCCCAGATACTTCTGGTTCTTTGCAAATCTCAAAAAGATACTCCAGGTAAAAAGATTTAGGTTGAATGAGGAAGTAATCCCTGCAACTGAAGCTTATTTTGAAGACAAGGTCAAATTATTTTACAAGCATGATATCGTAAAGTTAGAATGATTGTATTGCACTTGATGGCGATTAGTTGGTGAATAAAAATGAAGTTTGCGAAACAGATGTTGTTTTCTTTGTTAGTTCTGGGAATTATTGAATAATGTGTTATAAATATATTATAGGATGGTTTAGAATTATTATTTTATTTATATTATTTGGCCTTATTGTTGTAGTAGTTTCCTATGAGTATAAAAACATAACTTTTGTTACAGATCTTTTACTGAGAATAATATAAAACATATTAAAATATTTTACTTGAAGAAACAAACAAATTAGTAACATTTGATTGAAAATTAGTTAAACATAGACCTAGTTATAAGGCTTCCAATATAATATTTTTTTTATATTTGAAACCTTCTTATTTAATTAATATACAACTAATTTTTACTTGAATGATACTTAGTTTGTTTCTTTTTTCATTTAAATTGGTATGATATAAATAATAAAAGTATTCTCAATAAAATATGTGACACAAGATATAAAGATAAAAATAAAATAACTATTTCAAGAACTTTAAGCTTGCAAGTTGGGGAAATTTTTCATTTAAATCAAGTTTGTATAGTGTTTTTATACCTATAGTAAACTACTATAGCAATACAACAAAAAATAAAATAAAATAAAATATAAATTCTGGACCACCATAATATATAAGAATTAATTTTTCAGCATCATTAATGTCTCATAAAATCATCGTAGCATCAGATAAATTTTCAAGACTGGTTAAATCAAAAAAAGAAAAATTAAATAAACCAGAGTTAAATATTCTATCAACACCATTGGTTACGAGCACAACTGACATAAATCCTCGACTATCATTCCCTGCAGTTGATATTGATTTAACCAAAACGAGATCTCATAGTCCAAATACATTAAATTATAACCAAGTAAACTATTTTAACTAACTTCCAATAACTAGGTATTTATATTAAATTAAATTAAAATTTTAGCTAAGTGCAATAAAAAGACATCAAAGAATGATAAGGAACCGTGAAGCAGCGAGTTTATCAAGAAAAAAGAAAAAAGAATATGTCGCATCTCTTGAAGAAAAAGTGAATGTCTTACAAAAAGAAAATTTAGAATTAAAAATGGTAATATAACTACTGATTGTTGTAAAATAATATACTTTTAATTATATTTAATTTTCAATTTATCATAGGAAAATTCAGCACTAAAAGATAGACTTAAAATACTTGATAAGCTTTCTGTTATGACTGATAATTCAATAACCAAAAAGGTTAAAAAAGCAACTATAATTCTTTCTGTGTTTTTAATGATCTCTTTCAATATAACTCCTTTAAGGTATTATAAAAACATTTAATACTATAAATAGAAACTGCATTTATTTTGTTGTTATTGTGTAGGATATTTAACTCAAAAGAAATGGATTATACAGATTTTTCAATAAGCCAAAGCGAAAATTTAAAACATCCATCTATTGATAACTATAATTATCACTCAAGAAATATACTATGGGTTGACTATGAAGATAATAATTCTTCTTGGAACTCAACTGAACAATTAATGTGTCCCATGTATATCAATATATCTGAATCAATAAGGTCAGTAAAACTAATTACACTTACATTGAGATATCTAGAATAGAAATAATCAAAGCTTTCTGGTTGATATTCATAGACTAGACATGCTCTAAATATGTTATAGAGATGTAGGATGATTAGATCTAGCCTCTCTTGTAGAAATGCAGGAAATATTTTGTCACAGCCTGCAGCTATAACTGCCAAAAGCATTTATTTCCCATCTTATGCCACTTGAGGTTATTACTTTCCTTGTTAGCTGCCATTCACCATGGGTCACACGTTTGCCCCATATTTTGTTTAGCTGTTTTTCTCTGTTATAAATTTCAGAGCCAAGAAAGTGTATGTTCAACAAATGTGATAATGTCTCAATATCATTGTTCGTTAATGTATCATCTGTCAATAATATTGATTCTAGTTCTTATAGGACTCCCAATGTTGTTCCAAACCTAATTTCATTGCTTTGTTTAAGAGTTAGGAGAACTCTTTCTTAATTTTGATAGGTTAGCATTCCACCAAGCTACACCCTGTTCTATACCTTTCCTTTCTATCAAATGGCAGTTTTTTCTCGTATGCCGAAACAATGCAATTCTGAAGGTCAGTTACGGCCCTTTCAGTGATTTGTTCCAATCCTAATCTAAACTATAGGTTTTCAGGTTATGAGTAAGATCTGCTCTGTAACTATCCCAGTTTGTCCTTTTAAAATTCCTATAATACTCTTTCAACCCTGTTTATTTTCAAAGTAATCCGTTAGTGCTTATGATCAGAAAGAGAAGATTCAGAAAACACTCTCCACCCTTCTATCTTCTGTACCAACCCCTTTGAGTAAACTAAAATTATTGACATCTTGCCTTTTCCTAATTATAAAAGTAGGCTCATTACCTCTACTCAGTATACTTAAATCTGTAGTCAAAAGTAGATCCCATAGTACCTCACCTCTTTGTTTGATGTTACAGCTTCCCCATATAGTATAGTGAGTATTTACATCCATACCAAAGATAAGTTATATTTTTTTTTTTATTACAATAATTAAGTAGTGTAATTAGATTCCAGCCTGGGTCTGAGGACTCATATGGTAGGTATCTTTAAGCTACTATAATTGTTTTACCAAAACTTAATGTTACCAAAATAAAAGACCTTGGTTTGTTTGACTGTTTTTAAAACAGTTTAAAGCCCTTTAATTTTAGTCTCTTAACCTGTTTATCATGTAGCCATAGTTCTTGAATAAAAGCTATTTGTAAGGGTGTTTTATCCCTCTCGGTTAGAGTCCTTAGCAATACACTACTGGCCCCTTAACTTTGTTGTAAATTTATGTAGGTGAATTGTATTATGTATTCACACATTCAGAAAAACTGATGTTAACATTTGAAAAGACATGTTAGGTAAAGGTGTGATACAAGTTTCATTTACAGTCCTTGTATCATACAACCCACTGTGAGTGATTAAGAATAGTGTTTTTTCTTTAGGGCTAACCTCTGTTTCATGATGGGTTTGAGATGACTGTATTCAGTCCTGGGTTCTGTTTTTCTAAGATTTTCTTAGAATCCCTGGGCAGTTTTGGTATGTGATTGATTATCCGTTTGTACCCTATCGGGTTGTAAGGCTCCATTTGGATCTCAGCACCATCCCAAGGTTTTATTTAGTTGACATTTTCAGTGAGCCATTCATGAGACATTTCTGGGGCTGCATTGATCACAAATGATCCATCAATGAGTCTAGTGTCTTCAAACCTTGATACATAGGTTCCATCAGTACACGATAGTATCAAATCTCCATCACAAAATTCAATGAGTTGCCTTTGTTCAGTAGTCAACTTATTAGTAGGATAGTCTACAGTGCCAATTTTTTAGTGTCAGTTACTACATTCTAATAGGTTGGTATCCAACAGGACTTCTTCAAGTCCTTTAGTTTCCGTGACAGGATTTTTGGTAACTTCTGAATTTTCCAAATCATTGGTTTCCTTATCCTTTCCCTTCAGTTAGTCCCTCTGTACTTTTGCAGTTACTCTTTAGCTTGCACCTGTGACTGCTGCTATGTTTCTTAAGCTTAAGTTTATGACCTTCAATCATTTCAGAACTGCTCCCAGTTGGTCTTGCAATTCTTGGTTTACCTCTGCTAACATCATCTCTGTGCTAGTAGACGGTTCAATAAATGTTCTGTTGTTCAGTCTTCTTTTTCCTCGCCGTAATCCCAACTACTTAGGGTCAGGCAAGTTGTTGTTGTAAGTCTGTTGTTCACATTGAGATTTTCAATTTGAACAATTTTTCTACAAAGAGCCGTTAGTTCTTGCTCTTATTCTGTCAGATTGTCCATAGAGTCTCAGTTCGTCGCAAATTCGTTGTTTTGTGGTTTTTCTAAGTTTTCCTACGAATAGTCAAGAAATAAAAGTCCATCAAATCAGAGCTCAATACTGTAATAAAGCTATATACTCTATGGTACTCCAATGGTCACTTTACCTTACGTCTAACTACCCTGTAACAATTTAGCTAGCCTTTCACTCTATATGACTGGGTTAGAGAGGCCTATTTGCTGCAGGTATTTGCAGGCCCAACTAACTATGAGGAGTGGTACGTGTTGCCACCCCCACTGAGTTAACTAGGATCCATAGGGTTGTTAAGGCTGTGATCTTTATGGATCCTCTTGCAGGAATGTACTTAGTTAAGCATTTAAAAAATCATAAGAAATATTAAATTTTTCAAATACTATTCATGATTTATTAGTTAGTAAATCAAATGGTAGATCTTTTTTAAAAGAATAGGAGAGGTCTTCAAAATTTAAAAATATTTTTTTTATATTAATTGCGATTGCCTTTTTTGAAATCAACAATTTTTTTCCTTACAAAATTTTGTCTGCCAATTGACATCTTGTAATATTATCAATAACTTTGGCATAAATTTATAAAAACAAAAATGGTGGGGCTCAATTGACTTTTTTCCTCATTCTAAATTTTTTTGTATAAAAATACATACAATTTTTTTTTAATTTTGGGTGGCCAAGCCTTCTTAAATTCCCCAATTTATGTTAATGATTAACATGATCTTCAAATAAAGAAAATATAAAGTCATATAAAACAAAGTGTTAAATAAATAAATGAACACATTATGGTATCATGATTTCCAACTTCGTATTAAAACTATTATTGTTAAGATTATAAAATCATGTACTTCCCTTGACCGCATTTTTTATTAGTAGGGACTTAAGCGCAGTACTCAATTTTTTTTTAGTTTATAATTTATAAACGTAATTATCATAAAATATTTTAATTTATAACTTATAAACAAATTTCTAAAAGTTAAAACTAAAAAAAAACCCAGCACAGGGGGATCGCGGCACAGTGGTTACGTGGCATAGTTGGATCAAGTATAATGATATCTGACAGTGATTAAAATCACTATCAAAAAAAAACGCTTCGATGCAAATCTTTAGATAGTGTTTAATTTTAAAAAATTGGTGGATTATTCCAAAAGCTTCATAAACTGCTAGTTCCTTATTAATATCCTGATTAAGACAAAGTATGTAGAATAAAAAAGAGATTATTAGAAAATAGTATTTCCCATAAAAAAATTATATTGATCAATACACTTTTCAATAAGTTATAGCATTATAATGTTAAAAATGTAAAAAATAAAATTGAGAATTTTCACACAATAATAGCATTTGGTAGCCATTTTCACCTTGAAGATAAAATAAAGTCCGAAATTTTTTTTTTCCATGATAAAGTATATTACATTAGCTTTAATTTAAGATATATATAAAAGTGTCAGACTTTCCGGAACACTTTCAAAATTTAAGTTGAAAAAGTCAATTTTTTGTGAAAAAGTTGTCATTTTGAATCCCCCCCTGTAGGCAGGTAAAAAGTCAGATTTATAAAAAAAATATACCAAATGATAGGTAAAGACATCATGCATCTACAAAAAAAAGAATTATATTGATCCATACATCTTTCGAGAAGTTATAGCATTATAAAGTTAAAAATATAAAAAAGAATTTTTTTACAAAAATCGTATTTTTTTTATTAAGTTTAATGTCTGTTTTCACCATGAAGATAAAATAAAGTCCGAAATTTTTTTTTACCATTATAAAGTATATTACATTAGCTTTAATTTAAGATATATATAAAAGTGTCAGACCTTCCGGAACACTTTCAAAAGTTACGTTGAAAAAGTTCTACTTTCTATATGCATTTTTATGTTTTGAATCCCCCCTGTATTTAGGGAAATGGTCCGATTTAAAAAAACAGTATGTCGAATGAAAGATCTATATAAATACTACTTCTCATAAAAAAATTGTAATGATTCATACATTTTTCAAAAAGTTATAGCATAATAAAGTTAAAAATGGAAAATACAAAATCGAAAATTTTCACACAAAAATAGCATTCGGTAGCCATTTTCACCATGAAGATAAGATAAAGTCCGAAATTTTTTTTTTTCATGATAAAGCATATTACATTAGCTTTAATTTAAGATATATATAAAAGTGTCAGACCTTCCGGAACATTTTCAAAATTTAAGTTAAAAAAATTAATTTTTTGTGAAAAAGTTGTCATTTTAAATCCCCCCTTGTGGGCAGGTTAAGGGTTAAATTTATGAAAAAAATATACCAAATGAAAGGTAATGATATTATGCATCTATATAAAAAAGAATTATATTGATATGTTTATTTTTGAAAAAGTTATGGCACTTTTAAGTAAAAAAAATTGAAAAAATTTCGAAAATTAGCGATTTTTAAATTTGTAATTTTTTTGGAGGTTTCCCCCTTTTACGGGGAACGAGGGAATTTTTTTCAATTTTTAAGGGTAATGTCTTCGACATTTTTAACAAAATTATATGGAAATTATTTTTTGGAAAGAAAACAATTTAATTAAATAGATATTTTTATAATTTATTTATATGCTCGTTTAATTTTGTAACATATTTGGATAATATTGCTATTAATATTAGTAATAGTAAGCATAGTCATTGGGTGTTTTAAGTAGGGGGGTTAATTAAATTGTTTCCTCTCCAAAAAATAATTTCTATGAAATTTTTTTTTAATTTCTGGGGAGCTTAGCTCTAGAGCTCTCAATTTGCCCCTGATGATGACTTGTACTAATAACTTACTACATAATATAATTTAACAAATTTTGACACTAAAATATTTTAAATTAAACGTTTTACTTGTTTTTCAGTCATCACATAGACATTATTTGTTAATAACAAAAAAAGTGAATAAGTAGGTTTTTTACATCTCTGGGAACAATTAAATATATTTTGTTTTGACCCACTAATTATAGTAATTATAAAATTTATTGAAAGACCAAAATATGACAATATAAAAAATACACACAAATATACATGATGACATAATAATATGTTCATTAGGAACATCACAAATATGACTACAAATACACAGTGTGAAAAGTAAAAAAAAAATACCAACTTTTTACCTTTTCTATTAGTTAAACTAATAGTCTAAATAACTAAATGTCTAAACATTATAGAGAAATACTTATTTTTAGTTAATAATAAGATATAAAAAATGGTTATATTACATTTTTTAATCAATTTTAAATTTATTAAGTTATAGACAAAAACGAAATATTTTGTAAAAGCATATAGTTTGCAAATTTCACCATTTTCCTTATTAGTATTTAAAATACTACATATTACAGAAAAATTTTTAAATATTTTTTTTAGTAAATAACATATTGAAATAATTCAATAATTTTTTTTCCTAAAAGTCAAATTTAACAACAAGTTATGTTATAAAAACTAATTTTAGTTCTCATATACCGATATTCAATCCCTTTAAAGGACAGGAAGTGTAGTCAAATTCAACTTAGATTTTACCCACATACTTTAAAAGGAAATCCAAACAAATTAGAAGGTACTGTTTATAATTTTTAAAAATAATTTTCTTCTATAGTTAAGAACACCATAGTAACTCAAATTCCACAAAAGAAAATTACTATTTTTCAATAATTAGTCCTATATTATGTGAAGTGCAGTTATATATTTTTATTATTTTATCAGTAACATTATTAAATATTTATTAAAAAAAAATATTAAACAATCAAATTATTATTTCATACTAGAATTGATCATGAATTGAGGAAATGGATTGATCCTAACAATTTAGAAATATTAAATGATAATTTATCAAGAGGGCTTAGTCCAATGTCAAAATATCTCAATACAAATATTTATAATATCAATAAAAGTGAAACTGTTGATGTCAGAAACATTAAAAAGAGGAAGTCGTTCTTTAAAACAAATTTAAAGTAACTATTTATAGTTATTATTAATATCAATTTAATTATTATTTGTAATTTTTATTTAGAAAACGACGAGATATTTTATATAAAAATAATTTTGATGGGATGTTTAGCCAATTAAAGCTTGATGCTAAAGAAAGTTTATTCCATTCAATTGAAAGACAAGAAGATACTTTTTATGTTGTATCATTTTCTGGTGATCATCTTTTATTGCCTGCAAGTCATAATGTTTCTAACACTACACATCAACCAAAAATGTCACTTGTATTTCCTGCATTGACATCAACAGGTAAATTTTTATATAAAAGATTATTAAATGATCTTTTAAATTTTAAAACTAGTTATAAAAATAATGTATTGAATAAAGTTTAATTTAGGATATAATTGTTAGTATTTATTGTATGAAATTCATCTCCAGATCATTGGAGTTTCATTATAAAATATTGAACAGATGTAAATAAAACAATTATATGAAAACTTAACTAGGATTTTCGAAGAGAAAATATTCATTAATTTTTTAAATCTTATTAATTTATTTTGAAAAGGATAATATTTCCCATAAAGTTGTTCATTATGTGTTTAACATTAATATATTTTATTCAAGTGAAATAAAATATTTAATATTTCACAACAGAAGAGGTTTCTACTATAATATTCATTGTAAAATAAAATATATTTTTATTGTGTGCTTATAGAATCAAATTTTGTTACTATGATACAAATTGATTGTGCTGTAACTGATACAAAAACTTTACAATTGAGGGACACACAATTAAGGCACCCCCATGATTTAGATAATAATGTATCACAATTAAAGCAAACTAATAGTATGTATTCATGATTCTTTGAAAAAATAAACCTTTTTTGCATAATTTTAAATTTCTCTTCATATTTATACTTTAGACCAGAGGACAATAGCACATAGACCATACTTTTTGAGACAAAGTTATTCGAGAATGTTTACTAAAATAAATCAAGGACTTCCAAGTTATTAAGTTATACCAATTTTTACTTCTTGTAATATACTTTAACTTTAAATTTAATATTAGAATTAGATTTTAAATTATGTGATCTTTATGTTTTTATTTTATAGCATTACATATTAATGTGACAATTGTTATTCTGAAATTTATAATGTATTTTCTATTACTATTATTTTATTATTAAAAATTTTTCTAACAACTTTTTTTTACTCAAGCATAAATTGGAGTTTATATATTAAACTAACTATTGGTGATCATATTTATATTTTATTTTGCTAGACACTGCTTAAAAGTTCATTTTCATTTGAAAAATTATTTTACTTTTTTTTTTTTTTGGCTTAATATCAATATTAATATATTATTACTGATAGTTATATTTTTTCAATTTGATAAATATTTTGATATAATAATTAGATTAAAATACAAAAATAATTAATCAAAAAAGTTTATAAGTTATTATTATGACTATCAATTTAATACCTATGCAAAATTTGATGGCTGATCAATCAGTGTAGAAAAAGTATTAAAAATAGTAATAATTACAATTATTATAACTGTTAGTAATAATCATTGATTAAAAAATAATTTTGATTGATACATTTTTCAAATTGATATTAGATGATTTTTCCCAAAAGTAAACTCATTATATTTATTATTTTTCTTTTTATACAAAGTAATTTTAGCCCAAATTTTTAAATATTTATCCTTTTACATTTGTGTTCCTTTTTTTATTTAATGTATATTATATTTATATTTAACTCTATTTGAATAAAAAATTGATAACTAAAGGAATTTTGTAAATAGTTTTTTTAATACATGTACTTTATTGAAAAATAATAAAATGAATTCATTAGAGTAAAATGTCGATTCTTCCACACAAAACCATAATAATACAAGAATAGAGGTGTCTAGAGGTTTAACAAAATATGGTTTAGGTATGATTATTTAGTTTATAATAGTTTAATATAAATATAGTTTAAAAAAGTTATGGAAGTTTTAAGTAAAAAAAACCCAGCACAGTGGGGTGGTGGCATAGTGGAGACGTTGCATAGTTGGGTCCAGTATAGATTTAATCTGACAGTGATTAAAATCACTATCATAAGAAACGCTTCGATGCAAATCTGTAGATAGTGTTTAATTCTAAAAAAATTGATAGATAATTACAAAAGCAACATCAACTTCTATTTCCTTAATTATACCCAGATTAGTAATTCTTTTAATTATATATTATATAATTTTTAAAATTAATTGTTTTCAAATTATTATTGATTTTGATTTTTAATATGTTAAAGTAATAATTTTGAACCTAATTTTTATTGTCCTTTAAAGTGAAAGTTTTATTAAAAAAAAAAATGAATTTATTACCATAACAAGTAGCTCAATTTGCAAGTTTGAAATTGACATTATTAAATAGATAAAAATGAAATTGTTAAGATTAATATGCTGTCAGCAAATTTTATAATTACTATTTACAGTATATTTATCCGAAAAGTTAGATTTTTTTACATTTTTATCGTAATAGATCACTTAAATAAAAATCATAGTAATCATTTCTAATTAACTTTTGTCGTTTAAAAAGATTCTACAATGGAAATATACAGAATTCAATTAATTTTAATGATTATATATCTAAAAAAACCAATAAAAAAAAACCCAGCACAGGGGGGTCGCGGCACAGTGGTGACGTGGCATAGATGGATCAAGTATAATGATATCTGACAGTGATTAAAATCACTATAAAAAAAAAACGCTTCGATGCAAATCTTTAGATAGTGTTTAATTTTAAAAAATTGGTGGATTATTCCAAAAGCTNTTTTAAAAAATTGGTGGATCATTCCAAAAGCTACATGATCTGCTAGTTCATTATTAATATCCTAATTAAGATAAAGTATGTCGAATGAAAAAGAGATTATTAAAAAATATTATTTCTTATAAAAAAATAATGTTGATCCATACACTTTTAAATATGTCATAGCATTATAAAGTTAAAAATGTAAAAAATAAAATCGAGAATTTTCACATAATAATAGCATTTGGTAGCCATTTTCACCGTGAAGATAAAATAAAGTCCGAAATTTTTTTTTCGCATAATAAAGTAGATTACATTAACTTTAATTTAAGATATAAATAAAAGTGTCAGACTTTCCGGAACAGTTTCAAAATTTAAGTTGAAAAAGTAAATTTTTTGTGAAAAAGTTGTCATTTTAAATCCCCCCCTGTGGGCAGGTAAAGGGTCAGATATAAAAAAAATATATACCAAATGATAGGTAAAGACATCATGCATCTATAAAAAAAAAATTATATTGATCCATACATCTTTCAAAAAGTTATAGCATTATAAAGTTAAAAATATAAAAAAGAATTTTTTTACAAAAATCGTATTTTTTTTATAAACTTTGATGTCTGTTTTCACCATGAAGATAAAATAAAGTCCGAAATTTTTTTTTTGCATAATAAAGTATATTACATTAGCTTTAATTTAAGATATATATAAAAGTGTCAGACCTTCCGGAGCAGTTTCAAAATTTAAGTTGAAAAAGTAAATTTTTTGTGAAAAAGTTGTCATTTTAAATCCCCCCCTGTGGGCAGGTAAAGGGTCAGATATAAAAAAAATATATACCAAATGATAGGTAAAGACATCATGCATCTATAAAAAAAAATTTATATTGATCCATACATCTTTCAAAAAGTTATAGCATAATAAAGTTAAAAATATAAAAAAGAATTTTTTTACAAAAATCGTATTTTTTTTATAAACTTTGATGTCTGTTGGACTTTAGCCTCATGTAAATGGTGGAAATCTTCCAAAAAATTATTCGAATTATTGATTTATAGTCATTTAAATAAAAAAACTTTAAAACAATTTTCCATTATTATTATTCTAATAAATATTAATTAAAATAGTTAGTGATCATTATTATTCAAGTAAAATAGTTATTTTCAAGTATAATTGTTAGAAAACATTTTTATCAGAATAAAAGTTTATTCGAATTAATACCTATATATATAAATAATTATGAAATTAATATAATTTGTACATAAAAATTATTCGAATATATTTTAACTTGAATAATATTTCAAAATTATTCGAATACATTTATTCATTTATTTATTAGCTTTGATGCGAAGCTGAGAAGGTATTGGTTTTACTATGTGTTTTTTTTTTTTTTTGTGTCTGTTACCACTTTTTCTCAGCTCTCACCGAACCGATTTCTTTCAATGATACGTCAAAAGATCACAAATTGTATCTAGTCGAAGACATTACCCTCAAAAATTGAAAAAAATTCCCTCGTTCCCCGTAAATNAACGATACGTCAAAAGATCACAAATTGTATCTAGTTGAAGACATTATCCTTAAAAATTGAAAAAGTTTCCCTCGTTCCTCGTAAATGGAGGAAACCTCCAAAAAAATTACAAATTAAAAATTTACTAATTTTCGAAATTTTTAAAAATTTTTTTACTAAAAACTGCCGTAACTTTTTTAAAAATGAACATATCAATATAATTCTTTTTTTTGTAGATGCATAATATCATTACCTTTCATTTGGTATATTTTTTTCATAAATTTAACCCTTAACCTGCCCACAAGGGGGGATTTAAAATGACAACTTTTTCACAAAAAATTAATTTTTTTAACTTAAATTTTGAAAATGTTCCGGAAGGTCTGACACTTTTATATATATCTTAAATTAAAGCTAATGTAATATGCTTTATCATGAAAAAAAAAAATTTCGGACTTTATCTTATCTTCATGGTGAAAATGGCTACCGAATGCTATTTTTGTGTGAAAATTTTCGATTTTGTATTTTCCATTTTTAACTTTATTATGCTATAACTTTTTGAAAAATGTATGAATCATTACAATTTTTTTATGAGAAGTAGTATTTATATAGATCTTTCATTCGACATACTGTTTTTTTAAATCGGACCATTTCCCTAAATACAGGGGGGATTCAAAACATAAAAATGCATATAGAAAGTAGAACTTTTTCAACGTAACTTTTGAAAGTGTTCCGGAAGGTCTGACACTTTTATATATATCTTAAATTAAAGCTAATGTAATATACTTTATAATGGTAAAAAAAAATTTCGGACTTTATTTTATCTTCATGGTGAAAACAGACATTAAACTTAATAAAAAAAATACGATTTTTGTAAAAAAATTCTTTTTTATATTTTTAACTTTATAATGCTATAACTTCTCGAAAGATGTATGGATCAATATAATTCTTTTTTTTGTAGATGCATGATGTCTTTACCTATCATTTGGTATATTTTTTTTATAAATCTGACTTTTTACCTGCCTACAGGGGGGGATTCAAAATGACAACTTTTTCACAAAAAATTAATTTTTTTAACTTAAATTTTGAAAATGTTCCGGAAGGTCTGACACTTTTATATATATCTTTAATTAAAGCTAATGTAATGTACTATATTATGAAAAAAAAAAATTTGACCTCTGGACTTGTCTTCGTGGTGAAAATGGCTACCAAATGCTATTTTTGTGTGAAATTTCTCGATTTTATTTTTTACATTTTTAACATTATAATGCTATAACTTATTGAAAAGTGTATTGATCAATATAATTTTTTTATGGGAAATACTATTTTTNGGATCAACACATTTTTTTATGAGAAATAATATTTTTTAATAATCCCTTTTTCATTCGACATACTTTATCTTAATTAGGATATTAATAATGAACTAGCAGATAATGTAGCTTTTGGAATAGTCCACCAATTTTTTAAAATTAAACACTATCTAAANGGATCCACCAATTTTTTAACATTAAACACTATCTAAAGATTTGCATCGAAGCGTTTTATTTTGATAGTGATTTTAATCACTGTCAGATATCATTATACTTGATCCAACTATGCCACGTCACCACTGTGCCGCGACCCCCCTGTGCTGGGTTTTTCATTTACATTTATATATATTCATATTATTTAAAACCGTATTATACAAATAAAATTTTGTGCCAATAAATCTACATCGTCCTCAACTAAAAAAAATAAATTTAAAATAGTTGCAAACAATGAGTTTTAATGCTATAACTATTTTTTGGGAAATATTAACAAAATACAATTTAACAGTTTATTTTTAAATTATTTTAAAAAATTACATTAGTCTCTGTGCTTTAAAGTTAAAAATGTATTTGTATAATGATTTATATATTTTTTAAAGTTCCCTAATTATTCGCAATTTTTATAATTCACATGAAATTGTTCAATCAAACAATTAATTAAGATTTATTGTTGCATAACTTCTTTAATTTATCTTTAATATTAATGTAACAAAATATTTTAAAATTGTGATATATTTATAATTGTAGGACATTTTTTAATAAATTAAGACAATACTTCCGTTCCTGGCGACTGGTAAATTTGACAATTAAATAAAATATGCAACTACGTAATCAAAATCAAAACATGATTATTCGATCCTAGTACCCCCTGAAGATTTATTGTCAAACATCAGTCTCAGTACTCGATTATTACTGTCCGACTTTCAACAATAAATGAAGAGTTTGTTTAATCGCCACACCTTTTCCAACCTTGTATCTTCTCCTACTTAACTGAAACACTTATGTCTTGTACTTCGTCTGAACCTAATACCTTAGTGTTTCTCTCTTATCGTTTTTAAAACAACAGCTCTTCGACCACCCCGATAGTAACAGTGTCAGGCAAGCGTACTATAACTACCAATAATCACACGTACTCAACATATAGTTATCACTTATATAACAGTTATAACATAATAATAGCAAACATAATTTTTTTGATGACAGGATGTAGTAAAAAAATTGATGATATGATATAATCCAACAATTTTACGAATGTATGAATCATTAAAATAACTTTATATAGTTCTACCCCAGTTGCAGTACCAATTATTAAATTAATAGCTTCTCTCCAGTTCAAAGTTTAAATATTAAAATGTTTCTGTCCAAGAACCTGGTTATTTTGTTTAGTTCCAATTTATGATTTTAATTCATATATTTAATTATAAATCATCCTAATACATTTTTATTCAAATTAAAAATTTGAATCAATATTGACAAATATAGTTATATAAGTCACATTGAAAAATTATTATTCGGATTAAAATGTATTCAAATAATGTTTTATACGAAAAACATTTATTTAAAATATGATTTATAAAAAATTTTATTCGAATATTGCCCTAGTTTTTTATATGCACCCAAAATTCCCCAAACTATACTAAATAATTCTATTAATGTAAGCAACTCGCATATAAAAGCCACAGACAATTTTTTAGATTTTGAATTACATTAATTTTATGTACAACAATGCTTTAATTTTATTATATTTTTAAAAATATTATCTACTTTTTTTTAATAGCAATATACTCATACAAATATTTATAACTAATTGAAAAATAAAACATGACAGAAGTATGCTGAATGATAAAAAAAATTATAATTCAAGTTTCACATTAGGCCATAATTTTAATTTACTATTTAATTTACCATAATTTTGAAAAAATGAAAATTGTAATTGAACTGTCACTCCTTAATTAGATATTTTTTAATAATTTAGATAAAACTGTTAATAAAGCTGAAATTAATAATCATTGTGCTCATTAGGGATCAATAATAGATATTCGAATGGCCAAACATTATATCCATATAAAAAAGGTACGATGTCGAAAGCTGCTAAAAATGATGACTTGGAAACATTAAAATTAGTTTACGAGAGTCGATACAAGTGGGATGAAGATACGGCTGAAATGGCAGCAGCGTATGGACATTTAGAATGCTTAATATATGCTCACACAAAAAATTGTGAATGGGATAAAAAAACAACCAAAGCTGCTGCTGAAAATGGGCATTTACATTGTTTAACATATGCACATGAAAATAAATGTGAATGGGATGAAACAATAACGGAAGCAGCTGCTTTTAACGGGCATTTAGAATGTTTAGTATATGCTCACAAAAATGGATGTAAATGGGATGAAAGCACAACCAGAGCTGCTGCTGAAAATGGGCACTTACATTGTTTAAAATATGCACATGAAAGTAAATGCGAATGGGATGAAATAGTAACAGCAATTGCTGCCTTTAATTGCAATATAGAACTTTTAAAATACGCTCACGAAAATGGATGTAAATGGGACGAAAGCACAACTAGATCTGCTGCTGCAATTGGCTGTTTAGAGTGTTTAGAATATGCACATGAAAATAAATGCAAATGGGATGAAACAGTAACAGAGGCAGCTGCTTTTAACGGGCATTTAGAATGTTTAGTATATGCTCACAAAAATGGATGTAAATGGGATGAAAGCACAACCAGAGCTGCTGCTGAAAATGGGCACTTACATTGTTTAAAATATGCACATGAAAGTAAATGCGAATGGGATGAAATAGTAACAGCAATTGCTGCCTTTAATTGCAATATAGAACTTTTAAAATACGCTCACGAAAATGGATGTAAATGGGACGAAAGCACAACTAGATCTGCTGCTGCAATTGGCTGTTTAGAGTGTTTAGAATATGCACATGAAAATAAATGCAAATGGGATGAAACAGTAACAGAGGCAGCTGCTTTTAACGGGCATTTAGAATGTTTAGTATATGCTCACAAAAATGGATGTAAATGGGATGAAAGCACAACCAGAGCTGCTGCTGAAAATGGGCATTTACATTGTTTAACATATGCACATGAAAATAAATGTGAATGGGATGAAACAATAACGGAAGCAGCTGCTTTTAACGGGCATTTAGAATGTTTAGTATATGCTCACAAAAATGAATGTAAATGGGATGAAAGCACAACTAGAGCTGCTGCTATAAGTGGGCATTTACATTGTTTAAAATATGCACATGAAAATAAATGCGAATGGGATGAAATAGTAACAGCAATTGCTGCCTTTAATTGCAATATAGAACTTTTAAAATACGCTCACGAAAATGGATGTAAATGGGACGAAAGCACAACTAGATCTGCTGCTGCAATTGGCTGTTTAGAGTGTTTAGAATATGCACATGAAAATAAATGCAAATGGGATGAAACAGTAACAGAGGCAGCTGCTTTTAACGGGCATTTAGAATGTTTAGTATATGCTCACAAAAATGGATGTAAATGGGATGAAAGCACAACCAGAGCTGCTGCTGAAAATGGGCATTTACATTGTTTAACATATGCACATGAAAATAAATGTGAATGGGATGAAACAATAACGGAAGCAGCTGCTTTTAACGGGCATTTAGAATGTTTAGTATATGCTCACAAAAATGAATGTAAATGGGATGAAAGCACAACTAGAGCTGCTGCTATAAGTGGGCATTTACATTGTTTAAAATATGCACATGAAAATAAATGCGAATGGGATGAAATAGTAACAGCAATTGCTGCCTTTAATTGCAATATAGAACTTTTAAAATACGCTCACGAAAATGGATGTAAATGGGACGAAAGCACAACTAGATCTGCTGCTGCAATTGGCTGTTTAGAGTGTTTAGAATATGCACATGAAAATAAATGCAAATGGGATGAAACAGTAACAGAGGCAGCTGCTTTTAATGGTAATATAGAACTTTTAATATATGCTCACAAAAATGAGTGCCCCTGGGATAAATATACAACAATTACAGCAGCTTCACGTGGTAATTTCATGGCCTTAAAATATGCTCATGAAAATGGATGCGAATGGGATGAAACAGTAACAGCAGCAGCTGCTTTTAATGGTAATATAGAACTTTTAATATATGCTCACAAAAATGAGTGTCCCTGGGATAAATATACAACAATTACAGCAGCTTCGCGTGGTAATTTAATGGCCTTAAAATATGCTTATGAAAATGGATGCGAATGGGATGAAACAGTAACAGCAGCAGCTGCAGCAAGTGGTAGTATCGACTGTTTAAAATATGCTTATGAAAATGGATGCGAATGGGATGAAACAGTAACAGCAGCAGCTGCAGCAAGTGGTAGTATCGACTGTTTAAAGTATGCCTACGAAAATGGATGTAGTTGGGATAAAAGTATTACTAGAGCGGCTGCAGCAAGTGGCAGTATTAACTGTTTAATGTATGTCCACAGCAATGGATGTGATTGGGTTGAAGCTACAACTACAGCTGCTGCAGAAAGTGGTAATATCGATTGTTTAAAGTATGCCCACGAAAATGGATTTGATTGGAATAATGGTACAACTAGAGCAGCTGCAGCAAGTGGTAATATCAACTGTTTAAAGTATGCCCACGAAAATGGATGTGATTGGGATGAAGGTACGACAAGTGAGGCTGCTGCAAATAAACATTTAGATTGCCTAAAATATGCTCATGAAAATGGTTGTGAATGGGACGAAGGCATAACAAGTCTTGGACATTTAAGTAGTCAATTTAGTTGCTTTAAATACACCAATGGTTATAATAAATTTGATATCACAATAATACTACGAAGTAGACATGCCATTTATGAAGCTACTCGAAATGTTTATACTGATATAATCAGATATTCTATCAAAAATGGCTGTCCTAATTAGTTTTCTATTGAAATTATTTTTTGTATATTCATGGAAGTATTTATTAAATCTATTTTTTTTATTTTACTTATTTTAGGAATACTTGACTGGAATGTATATCCAAAATTCTATATACTTTATTAACACTTCGAAAAATTTTTTATATTCATATTTGACGATGTTACAAAAAACCTTGTAAAATTATATAATATTAAACTCAACCAAACCAAATCTATCACTTAATATTTGCATTAAATGATGCTGTTATTTTTACATGTACGTTACATATTATGAAAGGATAAGATCACCATATCAGGATTCCTATTTTAAAATAAAATTAACCAGCTAATATGCTTGCTGCTATATGATATTACATGTTTACTATATGCTTATATCTTTGTTCTAATGAACATTGTGCCGGCACATATAAGTAAAGGTTGGAACTAGATATTACATTAGGTTAGAATAACTCTGTAAGCCTAATAGTATTGGGTAGCTAGTCAATCTCTATATCCTTATTATAGCTTCGATGCAAAGCTGAGAAGGTAATAATTTTACTATGATGTGTTCTTTTTGATTTTTTTTTTGTTGTATCTGTTACCACTTTTTCTCAGCTTTCACCGAACCGATTTCTTTCAACGGTACGTTAAAAGATCACAGATCGTATCTAGTCGAAGACATTACTCTCCAAAATTGAAAAAATTTCCCTCGTTTCCTGTAAATGGGGGAAATCTCCAAAAAAATTACAAATTTAAAAATCGCTAATTTTCGAAATTTATTCAATTTTTTTTACTTAAAACTGCCATAACTTTTTCAAAATTAAATAAATCAATATAACTTTTTTTTTAATAGATGCATAATGTTCTTACCTATCATTTGTTATATTTTTTTATATATTTGCCCCGATATCTGCCCACAAAGGGGGATTCAAAATGACAACTTTTTCACAAAAAATTAACTTTTTCAACTTAATTTTTTAAAGTGTTCTGGAAATACTGACACTTGTATATATATCTTAAATTAAAGCTTATGTAATATACTTTTATTTGAAAAAAATAAATTTGACCTCTGGACTTGTCTTCGTGGTGAAAACAGACATCAAAGTTAAAGAAAAACGTACGATTTCCGTGAAAAAATTCTCGATTTTATATTTTATATTATTAAATTTATATTGCTATAACTTTTGGAAAAATGTATGGATCAATATTATTATTTTTTTATAATAAATTTTTATATACCCCTTTCATCCAGGGAGGTCAAAACTTTATTAAAATATTAAACTAAGACATTTTCAATTTAATTTTTGAAAGTATTCCTGAAATACTGACACTTATATATATCTTAAATTAAAGCTTATGTAATATACTTTAATAAGAAAAAAAATTTGACCTCTGGATTTGTCTTAATGGTGAAAATGACTACCGTATTCAAAAATATGCTATTTTTGTGTTAAAATTCTGGGTTTTGTATTTTATTTTATTTTATAATACCTGACAAGGGGAGTACAGTTTTTCATAAATATTATATAAATAAAAAATTGATATAGCATAGAAAGTTAAGCTTATTTAAATTTGTTTGCTTCTTTTAAGTCGAAAAAAATAATTTTGAAATTTGATTTAGCTTAAATAGCCAATTTTTTCAACCGAGGGTACCAACGTACGGTTGCCGGGGCGGTAAAACTTGTGTTTTACGCGCTTGTGGTACAAGGTTCCAACACGCGTATGGCAAGGAATATTTTGCATTTTTTTTTCTTAATTCTTTTTAAGTTAGAATAAATTTTCAACTGCTCTGATTTTTATCTCATTTAGATTCAATAACTTCAATAAAGATCAAGGATCCCATCACTGTAGTCGCCACTTGCGAGAAGAAATTTTTTATTCATATTAAAATTATTTTACTATATTTTAAGTTTTAGCTTCGATGCATAGCTGAGAAGATATTTTTTTGTGACTATCATTTATTTTCTCTGCTCTAACTTGACCTACTTTTTTAACGATACGTCAAATAACTACAATTCGTATCTAGTTGAAGATATTACCCTCAAAAATTGAAAAAAAATTCTAATTTATCAATGAAACAGTTACTTATCCAATGTTCACCATACAGACAATTAAAATCCTTCATTTCTAATGTTTTCAAAATATTTATATTATACATTATTCTTGTAAAGTGTGTGGTGTTAAAAAATAATAATTTAAAAAACAGAATGTTTAAAAATAAAAGTACAGAAAAAATAAAATTCATCAATGTTAAAAAATATATATCCAATGAAAATTAAAAAATTTTAAATAGAGTACTAAGTTGAAAAAATATATTGGTGGCATAAAAAAAAAAAGGGGGAAAAGAGAAAATATATTAGAATAAAATTAATATATATATAATAGCCACTCACCCACACTTATTTATTAAGTTTTTCACCTTTATTTAATGTATCTATACTTTGGTGATTTTTATCAATTGTTATTGCTTTGACAAGCTGTGACATAGTCAGTTTAAAAAATTTGTAGTAAGTGTTGTGATATTTTTACGATTAATTATTAATATGAACGTTTCGTTTTCGTTTTGTTAATATAAATTAATATTAATTTTCAAAGTTTCAGTTAGTGCGGTAAAAATTTAAAAGCTCTATTTTTCAAAATGTCGGACGATGCATTTGATAATGAACCCGAGTTGTGTAATGCCGATTTAATCGCAGGGTTAGTGCGTAAGCGCGCTATTATAAAATGTTCTTTAACCAGAGTAGCAACTTTTATCGACCGGTTTATTCCATCTCCAGCTTCTTATGCAGAAGCCGCGTCTCGTTTATATATTATCCCTGCTATCTTAAATCAATTTGAAGATGCTCAACAAAAGGTTGAAGAAATTGACATTGAGCACGACGATGATAATCAGCACGAAGAGTTTGAATCTAAATATCATGATATGGTGGGTCGATTATCAAGATTAATACCTGCGCTATCGCCAGTGGCTCCATCGCCTGACAACTATGCCCATGCACAAAAGTCGTCTTCGCATGTCTCATGGTCAAGGTTAGAGTCCTTGCTCGCTAAAAATTTGAGTATGAAGTCGGTTACACATCGTTACCGTTAGAGAAGTTTGACGAGGACTAAATAAAATGGCCAAGATTTAATATTTGTTTCATGAAACGAGTGAATGATGCTGCTAGTCTCGATGAGGTTGATAAATTGTATTTTTTACGATCTTGTTTACAAGGAGCGCCCTTGTACTTAATAGATGGATTAGATGTGGGCGAGTCGTCGTATAGTCGGGTCTTAGCTCTTCTCAAGGATCGATATGAGCGCAAGCGATTTTTAATAGACACCCATGTTCGATTGTTGTTAGAAATGAAAAATTTAGCAAGTTCAGCTTCAAAGGATTTGAGTAACTTTTTATTGACGTTTGATAAGCATGTGGAAGATCTTCGTTCATTAAAACGACCGGTTGAGCATTGAGATGATCTGTTAGTGGGGATTGTATGAAGTAAACTGGATCTTGCTACACTGGAAAAATGGGATTTGTCGCATAAGGCCAATGACGACGTGACGTTTAAAATGCTTTATGACTTTCTAAAGACATGTGCTAGTTCCTTAGAGTCGTTTGAAAAACAAGTAGGTCAAGGTCGTCAGTTGAACAAGTCAAAGACAAGTAACCGTGGTTCGACTGTGTTATCGGTACAAAGAAGAGTTAAAATTTGTCCCATCTGTTCAAAAACTCATATGATTTACCACTGCCCTAAATTTAAATCTATGTCTTTAACTAACAGATATAGCGAGGTAAATCAGAAACACTTATGCTTTAACTGTCTCCTTTCGGGTCACGGTACAAGAGATTGCAAATCACAATTATGTCGGCATTGTGGTAAGAAACATAATTCTAAGTTGCATGGATTATCATACCAGTCTAGGAATGCTACTTCCACTCCTAATAAAGCAGATAATGAGGCGCCTACTAGTATGCTAGTGCCATCAGAGCAACCACAAGCTAGTCTAGCTAGTTCTAAAAGTTCAACAACTGCACTTAGTAGCTCTATCGCGGTTTAAAATGCATGTACAAGTACCCAAGTATTATTAGCCACCGCAATTGTTATAGTGCAGAACAATCGTGGTAAAAGGCTTCCATGTCACGCCATATTAGACAACGGATCACAAATGAACATATTGATACAAAAAATGGCTAGGCGCTTAAACTAGGACGTTAAAAATACCATGTTACCAATCTGTGGAATTAATGGGGTTAACACAAGGTCATCTCAATAGACAAATTTATCTTTTTTCGCTGTTCACTCTCCATTCAGTAAAACTATTATTTTCAAATATTGCCAGCTGTAACGGTCTCATTACCGTCACAGTCCTCCGATGTTAGGGGATGGAATCTACCCGACAATGTACGAAATGCGTTGGCAGATCCTGAGTTCAATATATCATCAGAAGTAGATTTAGTATTGAGCGCTGAGATATAGTATGAGCTAATACGTTCACAGCCGTTGGTGATGCCAGGAGGTTTGCCTTGGTTGTACGATACTGTTCTTGGTTGGATAATATCGTCAAAGGATGATGAACATAGCGTTGTCAAGGTACACTAGGAACAACCACTACGTGGATGAATTCAAAACCATTAATCAGGCAGTCGAAACGTGAGGAGGAGTTAGCGTTTGAAAGATATTGTCAAGACACTCATAGTCGATTAGCGGATGGGCGTTTTGTCGTTCGACTACCGTTTCGAAAAGAACCATAACTGCTTGGGGGTTCAATGAATCTCAAGCGATTCCTGACACTTGAAAAAAAAATGTGTAATAATTCAGAGTTGGGAACGGAGTATAAAAATGTTCTCAAGGAATAAGAAGAGATGGATCACAAGTCAAAAATAGATGATACCGTCGCAACACCCGGTACTTATTATTATATACCCCACCATGCGGCGTTTAAAGGTTAAAATAAGACCACGAAGTTGCGAGTTGTTTTCGATGCTTCTATGAAAACCACTACTGATTATTCTCTGAATGATATTCTGATGACTGGTCCTGTCGTGCAACAAGAGATTTTTGATATAGTGTTGCGTTTCCGTCACTATTTATACGTAGTTACTGTAAATGTTGCCAAAATGTACCGTCAGGTCCTCGTCTATGAGAATGATCGACATTTTCAAAGAATATTATGGCGAGATGCACCTGACAAGCCTTTACAAGATTATGTACTTAATACTGTAACCTATGAGACGGGGCCCGCTTCGTTTTTAGCCACCAGAGTTTTTAAGGAGTTAGCACTTGGCAGCGCTACTGAATATCCTGAGGCAAGTTTATCAATATTACAAGACTTTTACATGGATGATTACCTTAGTGGTACTGACAGCGTGGAGGATATTAAGACAATGTATCAGGAAATTTCTAAAATATTAGGAAATGGTGGCATACACCTGCGTAAATGGTGTTCAAATGCCGTGGAATTACTCGAGCATTTCGCTTGTGCTTTTACAGAAAGGCATTATTCTTTAGAACTTAGTACGGATATGACAGTGAGTTCTTTAGGGCCTACTTGGTGTCCCATAACCGATGAGTTGAAGTTCTTGAGGAAGGAAAGAACAGCAAGAAGCGTTAAAACCAAAAGAGAATTGTTATCAACACTTAATAGCGTGTTTGACCCGCTTGGCTTTTTAGGTCCCGTCTTAATCCGGGGAAAGGTGTTTCTGCAAGAATTGTGGCAGTCAATTTGAATTGGACGATGTTCTGTCCGAAAAGTTGCAAATCAGGTGGGCTACTTATATTCAAGAGTTAGAAGGACTGGTGTAGTTTAGGATATCTCGTGCGGTTAAATTGAATAGTCAAAGCACGATGAAACTACATGGCTTTTGTGATGCATCTCAAAGTGCTTATGGTGCTTGCATTTATTTTCGTCAGCAAATCGGGCTAAATTTATGAACAGTTCGGTTATTATGTGCCAAATCACGAGTTGCACCTACCAAAACTTTAACTTTACCACGATTGGAACTCTCTGCTGCATTATTGGCTGAGTTGATGAATCGAATTGTCAAATTGAGCAATGTTGATTCAAGGAGTGTGTATTGTTGGTGTGATTCGACGGTGGTCCTAGCTCGGATTCAGAGTACTCCCTCTCAGTGGAAGACGTACGTGGCTAATCGTGTTACTCAAATTTTAGATGTGATTGGTAATGAAAGGCGGAGACACGTTCTTACCAATTGTAATCCCACAGATTCCTTTTCGCGTGGAATAAATGTAGACGCGTTGTTGTCGTCGGACCTATGGTGGAAAAGTCCTGCTTTTCTTAGAAGTATCAAAGAAGGTTGGCTAATCACATCCGAACGTTATACGATTTCTCAAGAAGCGTCAAATGAAATGCGGCCTGTTAAATTCACTCTCACGACTGATCCCGTGGATAATAGACTACTTCAGTATTTTTCGACCTGGTTCAAGTTGTTGCGCATTATTGCAATATGGAAGCGGTTTATTGCCTGGGTCCGTCGCAAAGCGATATCTACATCACCTCAACCAGAAACAGGTCCGTTTAGCGTTATTGAACTTAATAACTCACGGGATATCTGAATTAAGTTTGCTCAGCAACAGGCTTTTGCAGCGGAGATAAGAGAATTAAGCCAGGGCAATTTTGAAACTAAGGGGCCGTTTGACGCGGTCGCATTGCACTTCCGGCTTTACCGCTGGATGGCGACTGCAATACAACTACCTCTCCTCGTCCGATAGGTCGCGCGACACCGAATGACCACGGGTGCGCGAACCGATCCGACGATGCACCAAGTATATCACTTTCAACGTCCTAAGCGCTGATAAAAAATTTCACGCCGGCTTTGCCCCTAAGTTGCTGGGTTTCGTGCAACTAGCCAAAAGGTTAGGCAAGGGAGTATTTGCGACCAAAGGAAAGCGTCAGTTGAAGCTGTATATTACGGCCATGAAACATGACACTTCGGGAGGTAATCCTAACAATCATTCTCTGTTACAGAATGACCGATAACCAGCAGCAAGGAGAAACCCTCCCGTTCCATCTCGTCGATTAGCCGCCGAAACCGCGACCATGATGCGCCAACAGGCAAGATGGCTGATGCGGCAAGCAGCGGCATTACTGAAGGAAACCTACGAGGAGTTGCCGAATTGAAGCCGTGCTCGGGTCAGAACGGCAGAAGTCTGGGAGTTGCGATCCCAGCCACTACTGTGGGTCGCTTTTGATCGCGGCTTGACCCAGCGAGTCCGCCAAGGGGAAACCCGGAGACGGAACGCTGGTCCGGCACAACCACGGCCACGTGCTTGCCGTCCTAGGCAACCGGCATAAGAGCGGCTGGAGCGAAATCGACCAACCATCGGCACAATACCCGGGACGATCACAGTCGTTTCCGTCCGAAACAGGTGGCACAAGCTCCCAGCCAGCTTCCCTCCGTCACAGTAGTGGTAAGCGGAGTGGGAAGTGGATTGACCACTCTCTCTATGCTCGAAAGGTTAGTCGACCGGTTGGACGGGGGGGGGGGGGTATGACGCGGTCGCATTGCACTTCCGGCTTTACCGCTGGATGGCGACTGCCACACAGCTACCTCTCCTCGTTCGACAGGTCGCGCGACACCGAGTGACTGCGGATGCGCAAACCGGTCCGGCGATGCACCAAGTATATCTCTTTCAACGTCCTCACGGAATACCTAGTGGTATTTTTACAACTTTTGGTTTATATTTGAATAATAAAAATAAATTGTTATTAATATTAATTATCATTCGCCGTGTTACCATTTATTTATCATACAACAAATCCTTAATCATATCACGTTAAAAAATTTATCGCCATTCTTCGACAAAGGGATATTGCGAGTTGGAGGTTGTTTAAAACATTCAGAAGTAGGTCTGAACCAAAAACATCCAACGCAATCATCGAGTGACTCAAATGATATTCGAAGCTTACCATAAGAAGTTCCTACATATCGGTCTTCAAGGTTTACTTGCAAATATTCGTGCACATTTTTGGCCATTGAGAGGCAGGGACATAACACGCATTACCGTTAACAAGTGTGTAAAATGTTTTCGTGCGAAGCTCATTCCAATCCAACCATTAATGTGCAGTTACCAGCTGCGCGAGTGTTCGCAAATCGGCCGTTTACGCACACCGGAATAGACTTCGCAGGTCCTATTATGATTAAGGTTAGAATACGTAAGAGCACATTAATCAAGACTTATGTTAGTGTGTTTGTTTGTCTATCTACTACAGCGGTAAACCTCAAACCTCGTCAGCGGTCTTAGTGCAGATGCCTTCATGGCTTGTTTAAGACATTTCATTTCACGATGTGGTTTACCATCACATATTTGGTCTGATAATGCCACCAATTTCGTGGGAACTAGACGTGAAATAATAAAATATTATGCAAAACAAAGGTCTGGCAGAACTTTGCATGATGAACTGCTTAATGAAGGCATACAATTGATTTTTATACCACCATCAACACCGCATTTTGGAGGCATTTAGGAAGCGCCCGTCAAATCCTGTAAGTGTCATTTGATCCGCATTATTTTGAGCACGAGTTTTAATTTTGAAGAATTATGTACCGTACTTGCTCAAGTGATTTTTTTGTTGTAAGTCACACGGATGACATTAATTTATGACTACTCATGGAACTAAAAGACTTATTATATTAAGGGTTATAAAGTGATAGAAATACAAGTTTAAGATGATATGAACATTTGTTATATAATAGAACTTACCACGATAGTTGAAATATTTTTAGTCTGTAGAATACTTGATAAATTATATATTACTATATTTGTCATTTTATATTTTTATATGTATATATCTACCTAAATCGGTTACTGTAAATATTTTTTTTTTCAACTTGATTCTGTAGTATAATATTTTAAGTTTAAAAAGACTATTTTTGTAATAAATTAAAGTTTTGATTTGAAAGTTTAGTGATATTTTGTATAATATTCATTTCCATTTGATTTTTAATAAAATAACAAAAATTGTAGGTAAGTACTAATATATTTCTTTATTGGGATAATTTTTTTCTACTGAGTAAGTATATAAGCTTATGATCAGTATCATTTTTAGCCTTTGAGAGCAGACAATTTGGTGTGGCTGAGTACGCTCCTCATTTTTTTGGAACTACAGTCCCCTCTCCTAGTTTTTCCAATTTAGCCACAGCCTTTAAACATAAGTTAAATTAAAGCTTATGTTACATACTATCCATTAAAAAAAATATATTTGTCCTGACCACTTATCTTTTATGTGTAATAGCTGCCAAAGTTATAGTTAGATAAGTATTTTCCTGGCTTATATGCTCTCCATTGGTACCTTATCGATTTTCGATATCTTTGTTGTTTTCCTTTTATGGCTATTAGCTTCTAAAACAGCCTTATCAACTATTTATCATTGACAAACATTGTTACTTATTGATAATACCAAAAAAAATTTTTCATTTTTTTAATTATCGTGATTTTTTAAGTAATATTATTTGATATATTTTTCTATTATAAGAAAAATTGATTATTTTCAATAAATTTTATTAGCTTAATCAAATAAAATAGTTATAGTTCTTTATCTTAAAAAATACATTTTATTATTAAATTTTTTCAAATATTTTTAAATGTTACAATAATTGCATTTTTTGTGTAAATTAAACTGTTGAAAAAAACTCACTTTATGTTTGTACTTTTTAATTAGAGTTTCCTTTTATCTATTTAAGAGACATAATATTTATTTCTATTTTCCTTAATATAAGGAAAATTTTTTATTTTTTAATTGAGATGGAAAACGAAAAAATATCCAATGTATTTGATATGCAAACATTTTCTAAGGTAAGAGGATTTAATATTGTTTTAAAATAAATTCTTTAGTAATTTTTTTTATAAAAATGATAATTTGGTGGTGATGAATTATGTATTTGTAGGAATCATTTTCTGTGGATGAATTTCTTACAGAAAATCGTAACAAAATGTCATTAGAAAACATGCGAGTAGAAATGGGTATTTTCCTGAAAGATCTGCGTAACCAAATGATTAACTCATTAAATGATGACTGTGATAAATATTTTCATTTATCAAAAGGTTTGATTGGTATTGATCAACAATTAGCTACCTTAAAACCTGGATTACACGCAATTAATTACTCAATTATTGTATGCTATTTTTACAATAACTTCTTTTATAGATTTATAATTAAAAATATGTTACTTAGCTAGCTAAAAAAAATTTAGAAGATACATTACGTATGTTGGATAGTGAAATACAACTTAATAAACAATTATTTGATGATAAACAAGCTTATTATGCTATTGTAAAAGTTCAAAACTCATTGGAAAAACTAGAGAATTTATTGAATCAAAATGATTGTGATACTATTGCTTTAACAAGAATTGTTGCAGAATATAATCAACTTATGTCTAATATGGCTAAATCTAATAAAATCATTAAATCAATACATTTAAAGGTAAAAATTCCTATTTTAATTTGTAATTAATTTCATTATTTAAAATTTTTATTTAGTAGAATTAACTATAAGTAATATTGTCTAAAATATGATGAATTATGAGCAAACAATATTTAAATATATGAAAATAAAAATGTATTGAATTTTATTTTGAGTAGTTCATCTTGATTAATTTTAAGCTAAATATGATCTTTGTATTTCACTACAGCCTGTTGTACACACTTCAACTAGTATAGTATATTATAGTAAAGACAATGTATAATGTTTATAGGCACAATACTTATTTAATAATTTTATTGCTTAATAATATAAATATTTATCATTTTCTAGAAACAGTCAATAATTAATGATTTGATGATGAATCATTTAAATAATATGTTTGTTGCTTCACTAAAAACAAATTCAAAAGCAGTAAAGCGTTTTCTAGAACTTTACTTATCTTTGGGAAGAATTAAATCGGCTGAAGATGTATGTCGTGAGAAAGTTGTTGCACCAGAAATGTCAACATTTTTAAATGAAAATTATTTACTAAATTGTAAAGATGGCTTAAAAGGATTATTTAAAAAATGTTTTGAATTTCTTACATTCGATCTAAAACATCTTCTTGATGCAGCAGCCGAAAAAAATTTATTGTGAGTTTAATATATTAATAATAAAAATGCCTAGTGATGTTTTCTTCAATTTCATAAATATATAATCGTAGTAATAAATTTTTGTAATAAAAATTAATTACAAGGGTTTTATAAGATGTAAATTTTTTTTGTGACAATTACAATCTTAACGATATTATATTAAATGAATATTTTAGAAATTGTCAATATTTCATAATTTATTTTTTTATTTAATATCCATTTAGATTTAAATACCTGGATAGTTTCTAATTTCGTCATTATTTCAATTCTCATGATAATTTTTAAAGTAAAACCTGTTCTATATATTATTTTACAATAATGATATAAAAAAAAATACTTAAACATTTATAAAGAATTAATGCTTTGCAAATATCATTTAAACATTTTTACGTAATACTAAAAATTACAAATTTATTGCAATTATCAATAATAATTTTTATCAACATTTTTCTCATTGATTAATTTAATGTATATTTTATTGTGATTTGTTTTCTTAGTTTATTTAAATTTTTTACCGCATGTTGACTAGAAATTACCATTTATACATGATTACTCCACACTTAGTTAAAAAAAAATATTTTATTGTTACAAAGATTTCTGTTGAGGTCATCTATAATGTTAACATTAAATTTTGTTTTTAATTTGTATTAATTTGGTAAATTTTAAGGTTTTCATTATGTTATGAGGTTAGTTTCAAAAATTTTCTTATACACTAATGGGGAGTTTCTTACAGTGTTCTATTTCGGCATTCAAATATAATAGTTGAGATTTATTCTTTTATTTTAATAAATAAACTAAATTTTATATATTATTATATTATTGAAGTTTACACCATTAAGCATTTTAAATATCAACTGTTTGCTGGCTAATTGGCGTAAACAACATTTTTATAAACAAATTTTTTGTCTTAAGACATAGAAATAACTTATGGGTAATTCAAATCAACTGAATCTGAAAATTGTTAGTAAAATGTCGTTTATGCCTACTAACCTGTAAACGGTGTATATCATTATGTTTAATTGATTAATAAATACTATAAGGACTTAAAAAATTTAGAAGTTCTAATTCCTGCAAGTTTGATTTTGTTTTGAAAAGTTATTGGCCTGTAATTAATGATCACTTACAGAATAATTTAAAAAGCATTTATAATTATAAAGAGCCAAATGTGTTTATAGAAGTAAGTTTGCATATTGTATTTACTAACAAACATAAAATATGATTTTATTTTATTAATTTTACTATAGAATTACAAAATAACATTTGATGATTTTATGAAAAACTTAATTGATTTGTCTGTAACTCAGTGTGAATCTCAATCATTGTGTTCAACTCAAACTTGGGATGAATTTAAAAAATGTTGGAATTTACCAATTTATTACCAGTATTGGTAAGATTATAGTTACTTCAATTTTTTAATTAAGAAATTTATTTGTAATTCATAACTAGATAGCTTAGCTAGTTTAGTCAGTAATACATAGTTACTATCACTTTTTTTTTATTAATGCTTTTGTAATTATTAATTATTATATCGATAAAAAAAGGTTATTCGGATTCAAAAATACTTAAATATTATTTATTGTATCACTTATAATTGACATAATCATTACAATAATCAATACATGTTGAAAAAACTTAATAAATCTAGTGGAAACTCTTCCATGAGTGGGTACACTTTATGCTGGTGTTTGAGCATTTCATCTGTTACATACCCATTTTATGTATTAAAATACATGTAACTCAATAAGTATTTATCTTAAAGTTGTCATGGATTTATCATTATTTTTTGTAAGAAAATGGTTATTATGAAAGTTTAGAAAAAATAAAAAACAATTTTTATTATTAAAAAGAAATAATTAAAAAAGTCATATTTTTGGTCAGAAATAAATTGTTTGAAAAAATATTATAACAAAATTTTAATTGTATCAAAAGTTATAAGTGATAAATATTTCTGCAAGATTATTGATTGGATATTATGACTAAATCATAGTTAGTCAAAAATCCAATATTCTTAAGTAAAAATTTTAATTACTGATTAGAATTTCCCCAACTCCACTTATTTATGTAATTATAAGAAAAGCAAAGGGTTGGGTTCAACCTCGTCTTAAATTAAGGTAATAATTTTTTATGTTAGAAGTGTAGAACTTGATATATATAATTTAATATAATAATGATATTCTATTACTTTGTTGTACATTTGTGTTTTAATAGCAATTTTATCTTTTACAAAATATCTAAAATACTTTAAGTAAAAACTGTAAAATTAAAAAAATATTTACTAGAACAAAAGTTGTTCAATATGTCAAAATCTGGTGGAACACTTTATTTATGTAATATAATAGCATAAATATTGAATTTTATTCTTGAAACTATGTAGTGTTAATTGAAAAACATCAATTCCTTAATGTAGCTTGTTCTGTTAATGATTTATTCTTGTATTCTCCTGATTTTTGTATTTGTAACATGTAAAAATTGATTTTTTTGTTATAGTTTTCAAGAAATTGGTTGTACCATAGAAAATGCAATGTGTAACTATAGTTTTGAGTTGTGTAAAAATAATTTTTTCAAACTAAAAGTCACTGAAACAGTATGGGACTGTATGTGTTCATGTTTGGATCAAAATATTTTTATAATTGATCTTAGCCCCAAGTAATTATACTTTTGATACATGTATTATTCAAATAGTTAAAGCAGAGTTTATCATATCCACCAAAAAATACACGATTATCGTTTTTAGGAACTTATTACTCATATATGATAAATCGGCAGAAAGTAATTTTTTTAATAACTGTTTAGTACACAAGAAAACATTAAATTTTATGTAGTTTTAAATGATAAAGATATTCTGTTGCAATATAAAACACTTCCTAACTAGCTATTTTTACTAAAAATTATGATTTTTGCATTTAATGCCTAATAACTCCTACAAAAAGAGATTTCAAATAGTTTTACTTATTGAATTTTAAAGTATGTTGTTTAGCTTTAATTCAATGTTAATTTAAAGAAGGGCGATTTTTTGAAACATTGTAAAAAATAGAAAAGAAAAAGAATTAATATGATATAGGCATTATCAATAAATCAATTAAATTTAAAAACAATTAGTATTATTAAGTGAAAAATTATTTGTTTTTATGTTTTTTTTTTTCAGATTCATAAAATTAATTTTACACATAATTTCACGATACCAAACTTGGGCTAATGATTCTATAATCAATTCAAAAAAAGAAATTAAAGAATTCAGCACTCGCATTAAATTTCTTGAGTATCTTGAAGAAGATTTAAAAACTTTCTATTTTAAATTGAATGATATTTATAGTATGCTACAGGAATTATTAGAAATAAAAATATCTAATAACATTTTGGAACAGCTGAAGAGTAAGCATATGTTTGATGTTGTTTTAATATTAAAGTATCAAAAGGAATAGTTTTTAACAGTTTTAATTATTTGAGAAATTTTCATTTATTATAGCAGGCAGTAAAATTTTTGCAAATTATATCATTAATAGCTTCAATTAGATACAATTTATGATTTTTTGACATGTTATTGAGCAAAATTAGTTCATTAGGAGCATAGTATTTTGTTTTTTGTGTTTGTGCACATAATACTATATAAATAGACACCAAAAAACATGATATTGAAACCCAATATCTTCCTAGCTGTGCATTAAAGCTCAAATATACTAAAATTTGTTTTGTTATATTTTACTCTTAAATACAAATGGCATAATATTTTTGGATATTATAAAATATTAATACAATTTAGTTTTTATTAATATATCTCCCTTGGTATTTCTTTTAAGGTTGTATTACAGAAGTTAATTTAAATTCATTGATTAACAATGTATGTAAATTTAAAGTTCAGTTGGTAATTGATGAAGCTATGTCATACGTTATAAGGGTTACAGATGTACCTCGTTTATTTAGACATACTAATAGGGAATATCCAACAGAGCCATGTAGTTATATGAAATCTATTGTTATTACATTAAAAATATTACAAGATAAAAATTGTAAAAAACAAGTATTAGAATATGTAGTTATTAAGTAAGTATTTTGATAAGATGTAATTATAAAATAATCACTTTAGAATGAAATAATTATGGTTTTTGAAGATATATAGCTTACATAGATGATGTAATGAAAGCTATTAAAAAAACTGAAGAAAGTTTGAGGAAGTTGAAAAAGATAAGAGATCCTAACTATAAAGTTAATTTAGATGATGATAAAATCAGATGTCAATTATCATTAGATGTTAATTTTTTATTACTTTCTGTGAGTATAATCATGATAAGTTATTTTATATATTTTTATAACTCCAGAGTGGTACTTATACATGATTTTTATGACCATAAATTTTTAATTTAAGTATTAATTATCTATTACATAATCATTAGCATACATTACAATTTGTTTTCTAGATATATATACAGAGTGATTCACTTATCATAAATATCTTAATTAATCGAAAAATAAAAATAATATTAATTTTTTTATTAGTGTCCTTTAGTTCAATATTTATCTCAATGTATTTATTATAAAAAAAAATTATGTTCATCCCTTATACCTTATATAAAGATGTCAACTTTAATATTTCGAATGACAATTCATATAATTAACTAGCTTATTTAATAAATAATGATCTAATTAAGAAAATAACTAACATATTACAGTCACAGATTGTTTATTGTCAGTTATGACTATCAATAAATTCACTTTCTGTGTTGCCAGTTAGTGTATTTATAAACTCACAACAATGTGTCTTACTACCATTGATAATAAATTCTGCGAATATTGACGTTATAAGAAACCAATTAGTTATCTATATATGTAACCTTTGTGTATTATACATATATATTAATTCTAAAAATTCAAATGCCATTTACAATTAAATTTAAATCAATTTAACTAAAATTAAATTCAAAACATATATTCCCATTTAAAAAAACAAAGTTGACACCTTTACAAGGCATAGAGGATGAACTTAAAAATTATTAAATAGTTCATAATTCAAGAATAATTTGTAACTAAAGATAATCAAATAAAAAAATGTTTAAATTATTTTTATTGTTAGAAATTGAGTGGTTTATGATAAAATAATCACCCTGTGTACATGTGACCAATTAGCTCATCCACATACAGTTACAATGTTTTAAATGTTTACAGTAATATTTTCTTAACTTTTTACAATACTTTAGTTAAGTTGATGTTCTGATAATATTATTATTTTGTTTGTGCTTTGTAAGTTATCTACAAGTGCTTCTATGATGTTAGTTGGGTTGTCATACTCTGCATGTTTTTGTTAATACTCCATGCATTCTCCTATTATTTGATTGTGAGAGTAACTAGGCAAATTTTGCAGTTCGATTTTTTTACTTTAGATATTAGGTTTATAATTTGCGATATTTAGTGGCTAACTCAAAGTCTACATTACATTTTTGGTTATGGAAATAATTTATTTTATTATTATAATTCTTTTAGATTAATACTTGACTAATACTAAATTATGTCGATTGAGATGTCACTGTAAGTGAAAAAGATTAAACTTAATCATACCTTAGACAATAAAATGAGATATTATTATAACATAATATCACTTACTATTTGTAAAATATTTTCTTTTTGTTCTTCATTTGTAGTTCATACACTATTGTTGAATGAAGATCAATTTTCCCGTTTTATTTATTTGGTAATTTATATGTAGCTCCTCTATAGGTGGAAGTAGTAGTAGTATTTGCTGCCTGTTGGCTAGTTTGAAAAGATCCCGACACTAGTCAGAGATTTAGGTTATGTAGTAATTCCAATTGTTTCAACATTTCACGATTGGCCTAACTGAATATTATTGAACAATATTCTATTTCAGGTGATATGAATGTTTTTGTTTTCTTTGTAATATATTTCTGTTGACTTCCCAATTAGTGTTGGATAATACCTCGATGATGTTTAAATTAGCCTTACTATTTTTAAAAACTATTTTTTGTATGGGATTCCAAGAAAGTTTTTTGTCTAAAATTACTTTAAAGTAAAGTGTCTATAATCAGTAAAACAAGTATATTTAAAAAGTAATAAAAACAGATAAAGAAACTTTGAACATCTATTACTAAATTAAAGAAAATATCAAATAATTTTAAGATTGAAAGTAAAAGACTGATACTAATAATAATAACAATAACAACATTTGAATATATTATGATTACATTTAATAATATATGTCTGCTCCATACCATATCATAACATTTTTCTAAATCAAGAGATAATGCTGTTACGTCTTGTTTATTTTTAAATGCGCAATGTATTTCATTATGTAAGCAGTTTAAAGGATTACAGTTGTACAATATTTTCTAAAGCCACATTGTTCTATTACTAAGAGGTAGTTTTTAAGAACTGATTCTTGTGTTAACTTTTTTTTGAGCATTTTACTAATTGTGACGTAATTAAGATATTAGGCAGTGATTTTAGGGTTTAAATTTGTCCTTATTCAGTTTAGATATAGGAATCATTTCAGCTTGATGGAAATTCTGATGTCAAGATTGTTGTATATGTTTAATAAAATATTTGGTGGGACAGTTAAATATTATATAGATTTCATTACTTAATTTTGTTAACAGATAATTTGTGTTTTTTAAAAATACTGGTAAACATTTTACTAAAGCTATAATTTATACCGATTAAATGACAGTAGATATTTAACTATCCCAAGTTTAACCAATACCCAAGATAGCAGCAATTGATTATCAAATCTATTTTTAAATGTTAAATAAAATTACTGCATTATACCATTATGCTGGTATTGGAAATTATAAATAGAGATTAATAATTTCTATTAAATTAATAATTTGTTTTCCTTTTGCAATTACTTTATAAAATTGAAAAAATTACTAAAAAAGATGGATATAGTTATCATTGGTGTATATTTATAATGCATACTCCACCTGTACATTTTATGCATTAAATACTTATAACTCAATAATTACTCATCCAAAATTTTATTATAAGAAAAGTGCTAAAAAATGGATATTTTAAAATTTTAAAAAATAATAAGTTTCATTTATATTTTTTTCTTATTAATTATAAGTAATAAAAAGCATACTTTTGACATAGTCTAAGAATGTAAGAACTGTTTAAAAAAATATAAGAGTTGTTAGCTATACCATTCTATTAAACACAACTTCCTAATTGCTAATGGATATTAAATCCAAAATTTATTAACCTAGATTATACATTGTTCAGCAAGTAAAAAAATTGTTACAAACAATGACAATCTATATCCTGACTTACTGCACACTGTATAAAAGATATTTTAGTTGGTAAAACAATGTATTTAACTTTAAATATGATATTGTATTTTTTTTTAATATATATAATTATTTTCATTAAATTTTATATGTTTACAAATATAAAATAATTTTACATATTTTTTAGATTGGTAGTATGTTATTGCCTCAAGTAAGCGAAATCGAATTAAAGCTAGAAAAAGTGAAAGAAACAATTATAGCAAATAAGAGCTAATTTTTAAATGATTGTATAAAAAAATGTCATTATATATTGTGCATATAATAAAAGAAAAATTTAGCATAACTTACTTTAACTAGGTCTGCATGTATAAAACTGTTCTGGTCTGTCTTCACTTTCGTTTTCCCTTCTTTCTCTTGTATCTCTCAAACCCATACCCATATTACGTAAAACCACTTCAAATGGATCTGTCATCATTCTTCTTTGGTTTTGTAATGCCGTGGATGTAAAATTTTTGATTTCATTTTCATTTTTAATATCCTTAAAATCAATTCAATAAGAAGGGAAATTTTAAACATTGATTCTATAAAACTAAAAAATGTTCATACATTTTTTTATAAACTTAAAGTTTTTTTAAAACTGGTTTTTTTTTAATATTCATTTTGGGGCTTACATAAATTAAGGCTTAAAAATTTTATTTCTGGAGTTTTTCCAATACTTCCTAATAAATTATTGGAAATCAAATTTTTTTTTTTATTCCAAATCGTAAGATGGAACAGATCTATTTGACTACTTTTTAACTTTTGATGCAAATAACATTTCATTTTTTTTTAAATTTTTAATTTTTTCAACATTGTTCAATAATGAATTTTTAGTTCTTTTATTTAAAAAAAACCCAGCACAGGGGGGGTCGCGGCACAGTGGTGACGTGGCATAGTTAGATCAAGTATAATGATATCTGACAGTGATTAAAATCACTATCAAAAATAAACGCTTCGATGCAAATCTTTAGATAGTGTTTAATTTTAAAAAAATTGGTGTTTTATTCCAAAAGCTACTTGATCTGCTGGTTCCTTATTAATATCTCGATTAAGATAAAGTATGTCGAATGAAAAAGGGTTTATTAAAAAATATTATTTCTCATAAAAAAATTGTGTGGATCCATAAACTTTTCAATAAGTTATAGCATTATAAAGTTAAATNTATATCCAATGAAAGATGTATATAAATACTACTTCTCATGAAAAAATTGTATTGATCCATACATTTTTTAAAAAGTTATAGCACTTTAAAGTAAAAAATGTCAATTATAAAATTGAAAATTTTCACACAAAAATAGCATTCCTTAGCCATTTTCACCATGAAGACGAGTCCAGAGGTCAAATTTTTTTTTTCAAATTAAAGTACATTACATTAGCTTTAATTTAAGATATATATAAAAGTGTCAGACC